GAAGACATCATGACTCATTTTGGACATGAATTTGTAGAAAAACTTTTGAAAGGTTTTGCAAAAGCTGTGAGCACATCTTTGCTCATTATACTCTTCTTCATCTTACAGTACATTTTTGACATGGATTTTAAGTGCTTGTGCAAGTCTTCCATACAGCCTAATGATGTACTTTATTTGCTGGCACCTCCTGTGATTCTGACCTGGGTTTTGTTGTACATCGAATCTTGTAATCAAAGAAGATTCTGTAACATTTTCAAGAAAAAATGCTTCTTAAACTTTTTGTGTTGTTTTTGTCGAATTTTCCTGAAGTTCATTTCTGTTGGTGTCATTTGGTCCACTGCTGTTCTGTTGGAAGGAGACTGGTATTTTTGTTTCAAGACAAAATCTGACTCCAATCACATTGGATTGCCTTGCAAAGAAAATGCTCGTCTCGTGGATGAAGAAAATGAAAAAATAAATCAGTTTAAAATTGAATCTCAGGTATGGGCTACTTTCTAATTTAAATATATGTGAAATGATTGGAGGATAACCCTGCTGCAATAGAATATCATACCCCATATTAAACAAAAGCTAAAATGTTTATTCCCCCAAGGCCTTCTATTAGTGGGCCATCTATTGTAACTTAAGGGGCACTTTGGGTGAAATCAAATCCACTGTTATAATATTAATTTAATATTCTGTGTTCATGCTTTGCAGACTATTGCGATGATATTAATTTGCATTTCACTTTTGCTTTGGACCATTGCTGACGTTTCCTTGGCATTGTGTTATCGAATAAGGAATTGGAAGTCAGCTGAACAACGCTGCTGTCCTCCTTATTATAAAGTTGTGTATGAACATCTTCTGGAAGAGCAAGTCAGTAGCTTCCTGAAGGAGGAACTTACTCAACTAGCAACTGAGAGGGCGAAGGTCATTTGTCAAAAACATATCCAAATCATTAAAGATTATGAGAAAAACATTGATGATGATACCATCAACGTTGAGGATTCATGGCATAAAATATCTGCTTCCGACTTTTACATGGAACGTGAGGGACAAGAGGAGAGAAGAGAGGAGAGAAGAGAGGAGAGAAGAGAGGAGAGTCTAGAAGAGAGACCAGAGGAGGAATTACCAAACTCACCTCAAAATGGAGAAAATATACCTTTAGACAATATGAACATCTGAGCATATTAAATTTAATACATGACATTTTTAATAATGTGATTTGCTTGTTGCCAGGTAAGTCTCAGATCCATCTCAAACTGGTGTTACAGAACAAGTCATTCCAGTTTTTTTCAGAGTTGGTTCCTGTTGTGATGTGAGCGCAGTCCTCCTCTCCTAACTGCCCAATGCCATTACCATTATCAGGCTGCTGGGCTCTCCAGAAACTACCACAAAATTGCATTGTTAATATTAATTTAGAAAATATAATCTTTGTTCTTCATAACATGTATGAATTGTATGTTATTTATGTACATTTTTAGGAGCGTTCCAAATCAGTAGGCTCTTCTATAATTCAATAATAGTATGCAGTGTGTGTAATTCCCGCTATCAGCAAGATTTTTTAAATAATATTTTTATTTTTATTTTTTACAATAAATACCTGTAATTGAAAACTGCAAAGCTATAACATCTCTACAGAGACAGCCCCCCCTCCCCACACATCCCCATTACCACCAGAAAAGGTACACATTGCACTTTCAATGTAAAGTAAATGCCTACTCTGAAAAATAGAGTACTACTAATAAGCAAAAATAGTCCACTGTCATTTAGATAGACCAATGTCATTTGCACTAAGGGTAGTCTATTTGTATAACATATTACAAAAAGTGATTGACTGCAATAAAAGTAGCCATTATTTCTTTACATGGTTGATGTTAATAATTCTTCACAAATAAAAACTGGATTTAAAAGAATAGCGGCTCTCTCTAGTGGACACTGTGCCAAACTATAACAATTACTCATAGTCCTTGCATGTAAATAGTAACATCTCTGAAGAATGCAAAAGTAAGTTCATTATGTTAAAGTAGAAGCTGAGGGTGGGATTAAATAAGTTTTTCCTCTTCTGCAATTTTTTTTGTTCTTGTTTCTGTTGGCACGATTGCACTGATGTCAATATGAATGATACTATGTTCCATTGTAAAAGAATGTAAAATGTAAACATGTAAAATAAATACAATTAACATAAATACATAAAAATACCCCAACCAATCAAATTATTTAAATTACCCTTTTACTATGAACAGCCTACATATTTACCCCCTTACCTTGAAGTCAGTGGATCATCACTGACCCATCTCCAGGTCCCTTCTTTAATGGAGTCAGTGAGACCAATCCACAGCATTGTCTGTTCTTTGATGAGACCAGAGAGAAAAGCCTGAAACAATCAATACATAAATAAAATGTCCCTTACTTGTAAAATGTCAAATGTTGATAACATTTTTGTGCACTATACTTGCTCCTCTGTGCTGTCTACAACCACCAGACGGGCTCCTCTGTTTCTGCAGTCATTTTAGCTTTGTCTCCATGATTTAGACTCACTGGAGATGAGGTAACAGTTCCATTCAAACATTCTCCATCCTGAAGGACACTGCACTACATCCTCTGAAAAATAATAAGTGACATAAAATACAACCAAACGGACCACACATTTTAAAAAACTAAATTAAAGTTAAGGATCCCCTGCACAATTCCACCTTTGGATTTTATGTAGGCCTAACTAGTACTAAAGGTCTCATAAAAGCATTATTGTAAATTGTTGTTGCCGGGTGCTACCATAACAAGCACTATAGTTTAATATCTTGCAGCTCATTATTTAGCTGAAAGGGATAAAAGTGATTATTTTAGGTGTCCATGCATATTCATTTAGACTGTACACACTATTTTGTCACCGAAAAAGCATGTATGTAAGTCACACTTTTTATAATTCATGTGGCATTAATAAAATAGTGGAACATTCAGAAGTGGGACAAGGACAAGGACCTGAAAGGCTGTGAAGAACAACCATAAGACCCTAGTGTACACTGTAGCAGCAGGAGCTATATAATGTTTAAATTCCAATGAGTGTGCTTTTTGGGCTATGGGTTTTCTGCATCAAGAGACAAAACACCTGCTCGACTTTTTGGTAGAAATAATAATAAACCACATTATTTTTATTGTGTCCACACTCACTGTTCTGCTTTTGAAAGCTGAGGCTGGCATTCAGAAGGTCCCTCTCCATGGTTAGATGGGCTTTTATTTTGGTTAGTCTGAAACTGAAAGACACATAGAGAAGAGGTCTGAAAATGATAAGAACACTAACCACAGTAGGGGTGTGCAAAAATATCAAAATATAGATATATCGTATTGTTTAATGTGATGATACAGTATTGATATCATGGGTTGCTGTATCGATATATCGCCAAGAGTATTTTTGGTATATTTTACTAAATTATTTTGTTACAGAGCTACAGTTTTGTTGATTGTTCAGAGGAAGGAAACTCATTTATGTGACACATTTGACATTTTCACTGTTTTGATGATTAAAATGTTTGTGTTTCATGTGAACTTTGCACAAGAAATGGTTTAACAAAGACTTTTACTATCACAGCTATGATTTAGCCTTTATTTCTATTGAACTGTATCAAATCGATTTGAAATATATCATATCAAGTTGAAAGTGCACTTTATCGAGATATGTATCATATTGTGGCCTATGTATCGAGGTATGTATCGTATCGGCAACTGCTTAATGATACCCAGCCCTAAACCATAGTTTCATTGGCAACCTTCCACTATGAAACTACTGACAGTTATGCGAGTTCTGCCTGACTTCATGTTTTTGTGACCACTTGATCCATGTTAAAGTTAAATATTGTTGTTTGAAATAATGCAACACAACATTGAAAGATACTACTTGAGTTATGTGATAGCATTCCATAATGTTGGATAGTGGCGCATTAATTTAAATAATAAATAATAAAAAATGTTGACTTACAATGAGCTGCAATGGCAGTTAGGGAACACAACAGCAACATGCAAAGTATTCCCAAAAAAATAATAACAGAGCGAAGTCTTTCCTTAGAATGATGACCTAAAAATAAATATTCATGTGTGGTACACCTAAAAAAAATGTGTCACCACATTAAATAATTGTTATTGCAGTTATGATTATTATTATTATTGCTAATAATTTCTAATAATTAAGAGAATATATTTTCTTTTGCATAAGCTCTCTGTACTCCTGTGTGGATGTTGGGGAGTCGGGTGAAATTTGGAACCTTTGACGCTTGTCGCGCACCAAAGGTCTTGTTTTGAAAAGGTATGTCTTGTTCGACATTGATATAAATTTCCTCCTTCATTGCACTTGGATTCTGATAGTTACGAAAAGTATGTGACAGATGAATGAAAGTGAGTTTTGTTTTACTTAGGGGGAAGTGATGAGTTTCAGATTGTATTCACTATTTTTATCCAAAGAACTATAAAACATTTAAGGACACTCTATTGTTCTTTCTTTATTTATTACCTCCGCCAAGGAGGTTATGTTTTTGCCGGCATTTGTATGTTTGTTTGTTTGTTTGTTTGTTTGTTTGTCTGTTAGCAACATAACTCAAAAAGTTATGGACCGATTTTGATGAAATTTTCAAGATTTGTTGGAAATGTGAAAAGGAAGAACTGATTTAATTTTGGGGGTGATCCGGAAGAAATCCTGGATTCTGGATCACTTTGAAATTTTTGTTAACATTGTGGTAAATGGGGCCAAAAATTTTGTTTCTCAATATCTCGGTTAATTATTGACCAAACCCCATGAAATTTGACTCAGGGATGGACAATCGGATCCTCTTTCAAATTCCAAATTGAAAGATATCAGACAAATATTTATGGAAAACATAATTAATATGAGGGGGACTGTAGTCCTTGGCAGAGGTCTGCGCTCTCTAAGTGCTCTTCTAGTTTCTTCTTATTATCATTCACAAGTGCAAGCAAGCAGAATATTTTCGGAAGTATTTCATTAAAAATAACCAATACAAAAGCTGAAAAACTCAAGAACAAAGGGTTACTTTAATTATACAGAAAAGACAACAACTATACTGGATATACTACACAACAACTTATATGTACTATATTTTTTTTTTGTCACTAATACACTAAAAATGATGCTAATATTTAATGAAGAATATGACAGTTATCTAATTAAGCCTTTTGAACCATAGCATTTATTTGGCTTCATATCATTTTGATGGGTTCCTCTCTGAGACAACCTTGTCAATCCAGGCTTTAAGAGGCACAAAAATGATATGATCAAATTAATATAATCAACCTCTAAACACATTTTCCTTAAGCCGTCCACCTCAATATTATATTTAAGAAACACTTGCAAGTCCCATATACTCTCAAAAAGTGAATACCCTGTATCATCTATGAGCTTAAGGTCATTCAGCACAACTCAAAATAATGTCAGATTGTATTTTAAAATGAAGAAAAACAGGTTCAACCTGATAATTCCTTATTTTAGTGACTACTAGACCCAAGATTTAGCTATAGTCCAACATATCAGCATTTTTACCAATATTTTAATTTTAGTCTCCCCCCATTTTGCCTTATTCAGACATGTCAAACTCAGGCCTGTGAGCTAAATTTGGCCCGTAATATAATTATATCTGGCCCACGAGATCATATCAAATATGATTGATAATTATTTATTCAATTCTGTGAATTTGAGTTTGACACCCCTCACAGCAAGAAGATTCCAGGTTTGATCCCTGGGGTACCCGGGCCTTTCTGCATGTTTCTCCCCGTGTCTGGATGGGTATCCTCCGGACACTCCGGTTTCTCCCATCAACCCAAAACATGGTACATGGGTCTCCAGGAAGAATAGCTGATAGCGAATGGAGGTCACTTAAATACAATCAATCAATCAAAGCATTATTGGCCCTTGGTATGGGGTGGGGTTCAGGTTAAGTCCTGTCAGAGGGGAACAATGAAGGATCCTTTCTGCCCCAAGCAGCTGTTTTGTGGAGGAGTCCCAGCTAAGACCAAATTCCAGGCGGCTGTAGACACAGGGGTACTGTCGATCAGCCCAACAAACCCACTTCACTGCTCTGTTTACTGCCTCCCAGTGGTCAGGCCTAGAACACACATGAGAGATCAAAAGATGAGTGTGCCTCTTCTAAACATGGTAGAGCATAGTTCATGTACACAAATTATTTTAAGGGCCACTACTGAGAGCATCAAAAGCCATTAAAGGGTCAGATTTAGCAGATGTACTGACCTGCACAAGCTGTCCTCCAGGCAAAAGAGAGTACGCAGCATTTTTCCTACTGGAATGTTTTCCAGTCTCATCAGTTGCAAAACCAGTAGAGTTGCCAGTAATTTCAGGATGTCTGCATGGGCCTTCAATCCTGGGACCCAAGAATAATAAATAATACAGAAATAAATATTCAAAAAGCAAACAAGCATTATGGATTACCCATGTGAGCGTAAGCCTTACCTAGTGAGGAAATGCCCTTTCTTTTTAGGAAATCACAGGCAAAACGGGAAATGTCGCAGTTCAAAAGCTTACCGAGTTGTATTGTCAATTCCCAGTAACCTTCCTGCAACATACATTTAAATGTGTGCACACATTTATCACAGTATCTATATATTCAATAGATACAGATATACATTTTCTTACCGAGTGTTGCAAACTGAATATTATTTGCCATTTTGACATGCAAGTGCTGGCAGAAGTGGAAGCTATTTGTTGATTGTCTGAGGTGAGGCCCCTGTATGAACATAGTCTGGTTTTAAGAGGAACTATTTTAAATTCATCTGTCCTCTCCACCTCAAATGAGGCATACTCATAAGAAGCAGGATGAACTTTTTTTCTTTTTTCATTTTATTTTTCATCTTGCCGGCAGTTGTTTGCTGTTCACCAGCAATGGTCACTGAATCCAGGGTTATTGGAGGTGCCAGACATTGTTCTCTTTGGGCAGTGTCGAGACTAAAAGTACAGCTGGTATTGAAACTCTCTTCTTCATAATCAGCAAATGAAAATTTAGCGGTGAAACGTGGTGGAGGGCGTACTCTTGTGGCAAGGGAGGGTTTTTGGACCTTGGTAAGGGGAGGTGCTGGGAGTGGCTGCTGTTGACCCAAAGTAAAGCTGCTCTCTAAAGACACATCATTACTGAATTTTATAGCCTGTGTGGCCATTACACTAGCTGATCCATATGAACTGGAGTAATCATCAGGAAGTGGGCAGGCCATGATGGGTAATTCTGTAGGAATCCTGTAGGAAGGTTTTTGGACTGGGGCAAGGAGAGGTGGTGGATGTGCCTGTTGACCAAAAGTAAAGCTCTCTGAACAATGCTCTTTTCTATCTGATTCATTTGGCTCGGACAAACCTTTAGGAGAAAGTGGCAGAAGGGGTGCTCCTATGGCAGTGGGGGGTTTTAGGATTGGGGGAGGGGGAGGCAATGAGGACCCCTGTAGATGAACCATTTCTAATTTACTAGATAACGCTGGAGGGACTATGTCTCTCGGCTGGCCTGGGAACGCCTCGGGGTCCCCCCTGGAGGAGCTGGAGGACGTGTCTGGGGTGAAGGAAGTCTGGGAGTCCCTGCTTAGGCTGCTCCCCCCGCGACCCGGCCCCGGATAAGCGGACGAAAATGGATGGATGGATGGATGGATAGATCTAAAAACAGGGGAGGAAAGTTCATGAACATGTGCAAAGCGGGGTAGCCCTGTGGCAAGGAAACAATTTTGGAATACGGTATAATCCTGGGCATAATTGAACGGTGTACAGCATGGCGGTGGTGGCTGGCTCCAACACTGAAGGCTAAGAAGTGCTGGAGTTGACATTGCCCTTTGGTGTAACACTGGTGAAGAGTAATCAGCAGTAGTTGGTACAGCAGGTGGACCTGCTAGGCCAACATGAGAAGAACTTAGATCAAGTGGAGTGAGCATAGCAAAATCTTCTGGAAGCAAATCTCCTTGTGCCTTCTCTTCAAGGGACATTCTCTCTGGTCTGCTTGAAATAGAACCAAGAAGACTACTAGCACTGGTGTTCACTAGCTTGTTCTTCTCCTCCATCTTGCGAAGAGATGCACCTCCAAAGCCTTTATCAAAACACCTGACCTTTTTTAATGAGTTAGGTGGTCCTATTTCAAGATCAGCAGTTTCAAGAATTAAGTCCTAAGTGGATGAAACAAGGAACAAAATGTATTATTATAAAACATGTAAAATGATGGCAGTATTATTTTCAAGAAATCAATCTGAATATTGCTTCTTACTGGCAATGACTCAGCATCACTGATAGAACAGAACAAGGCAAGTTCATCTTCCATATCCTGACAATAAAGCAAAACCCAAAATATACTGAGTATGAACATGAATGATTACAAATGATTGTGTCTTAAGTTAATTGTGTTATTATGTGTTATAGTGTCCAATACTACATCATATCATTGCCAGAGGGAATATAATCCTGTTTATGTTGTTAATGTTGTACTATTCTTTTGAAACAATAACTCTGTATTTATAAAACATTTCTAATGACTGAGAGAGATGAAGAATGAAGAGGAGAATAATATTTATTTTATATAATACCTCATAATTGTAACTGCACTGAGGCCAAAGGAGTAGAAACTAAAAAGTATGGATATATATGACAGGACACATTAGGAGAAGCCACAACAAAAGGGGATGATTGCTGACAGCTGAAAGGAATTGTGTGTCATGCAGATGACTTTCTGTTGTTGTGTTGAGCTCCACTCGTGAACAACATGACCAAAGACTGCATTGTGTGTGGGAGCGGATCCAGCTTGTGGGGCTGACTCTCGACAATGAAAAATGTTTTTCATGTTTTTGGGCCACATTGTCACAACCCACTCATCGAAGCTGACCCTATCAAAATCAAAGCAATTAGAGACATGCCCACACCAAAGGATGCTGTTGATGTGAAAAGGGTTATGGGCATGTTTAACTATGTTGGCAGCCTCTACCAAGGAGGAAAGACAACAACATCCTAGCTATCATGCAGTTTGCCAACAGGAAAAATAAGATTGCGCTGCTGAAACAAGGAAGAAAATTGAAGGGGACTAAAGTTTTTCGACCGCCTACTATGGAGAAATGGACACTACACATAAAGCCAGATACCTGAAGAAGCTAAACAAAATCTGGAATACCTGGGTGAGCAACTGTAAGGTATTTATCAAGCTCAATGAAACACCGAAGGAGGGCAGGGTTTTGGTCATCCCAAGTATGGAGGAGCTGAATAAATATCCCCTATATACCCTACTTACAAACGAATAAGAACAGAGAAAAAAATGATTACTAATTTCTATTGTGATCTATTAAAACAAGATTGGAACAATGTGTATATGTAGGGACATGTTGATTAGGGTTATAATTTTCTGGAAACATTCTGCTCACTATACAATAAGCACTGTGTCATGACTGGTGCTCCCCTCCCTCCTTTCTCTGTGTGTGTGTGTGTGTGTGTGTGTGTGTGTGTGTGTGTGTGTGTGTGTGTGTGTGTGTGTGTGTGCGTGCGTGCGTGCGTGCGTGCGTGTGTGGTATATGGATATGGTAAAGATATGCCTCTTACAATCTGGAAAAAAAAAACATTCAAGGAAAGAGACAACGTACTGTGCTAGGAAAGTTGTTATGATACTGACTACTGCGCAAAAGACACTAAGCTGAAAGGGGGAGATGTACTCTGGGTAAATGAGTAGGAACTAATGAACTAATGAGTGATTATGGAGGGACATATTAGGATGGGGACTGTATGGAATGTGTTGGGAATAAAATATAATAAAGTATCACTTAAAAGCTACCTCATAAAGTGTTCTCTCATCACTACCAAGAGAAGATGTCTCGCTTCCCTGAAAATAACACAAAAATATATTGTTTAATCGGTTCAGGCAACCAATACAAGTTAAAATGTTTGGAATTATTATTTTTTGAACAATTACCGAAGAAGAGGAACTTGCAACTTTTTGCTTTTCCTCAGCCCAGCTCATGTAGGGCAAGAAATCGACATCTTCCTCAGCAATTAGTTTGGGTATGTCTGTGAAACCTCTCTCTTCTTCTGAGCCCTAAAACAGGTCACAATATACATTTATTGCCATTTGGTATAACGATTTTAAGTACATCTAACAAGCTCTTGTAATTGGCTCTTACTGAACAATATTGTATCAACATCTAATGATGTACATATTCTATTAAATCTTTTTGTGATATTTTATCTTTTGAAGACAAAGTTTATGTGGAAACCAAAAATATGATGTTTAGATATGATCGATGTATAGATAGTGGCTCGAGTGCGACCTGTTGTTGTGTCCTTAGGCAAGACACTTCACCCATCTTGCCAAGTATGGATGTAGTGTGTGATTGATGTCCCTTCAGTCTCTCCAACTACCAGTCTACTCCAAGGCAGTTGTGGCTATAATAGGCTCTGTGCACAACAGTGCCCGGAAACTGCACTGTTAACATTACTACTTCCTATTCAGTTGTGTATCTATGGAATTTTTGCTGAGTCGTGTTAAAATGAATAAATATTTAAAGATTGGACAACATGTTTAAAACTACACAAATCAAATAAATGCTTCACCGGAGGATACTTCTGTGTTTAGAAAAGCAGACGCTAACATTAATTTTGAGACAAAATAAATATTAAAACAACAATACAAACTGAAGTCATCTACATTTAAAAATAATTGAGTAGTCTCTATTTTAATTAATTTGAATAGGTTGTTTAAACTATGTCTCAGTGACATTGTGGGCTTGCTAGTGTGCTGCTGTGCACAGAGCCAGTTAGAAGGCACAATGTTGTATAAATGACTAACGCACAGTATTCTAAAATTACTTTGAATGTCTGGGAAAGACATGCATTATTATTATTATGCAATATCAGTACAATAGTGAAGGTGACATACTCTTTCCTCTATGGCCACAAAACTGGTGAACTGAGAGAGGATGGAGAACTCTTTACTCATCTCAATGACAAATGACTTGAGCTCAGCTTTCTTTTCCTGAAAATACGATCCGGTGTTATTAATATTATAGCACATGTAAAAACAAACACAACAATAACATACAAACAAAATCATAAAAGATGTAGCTTTATACTAGTTTAAGCAGATATACAGAGGCATACCTCATGAAGAACTGCATTTGAATCGAGGCTGCCATCTTCAAAATCCCTAATAATAGCTCTTGCAGTAAGTTTGTGAAGGAACTGTAAAAAAGATAAATTATCAATCTGATACAAAAATTTTATTATTATTAATATTATTATTATTTTATTATTATTATTAAGTGAGCAGTCTGATACATGCAAATGTTGGCTTACTTTACATGTTGAAGAAGAGCATATGATAATAAACTAATGAACTAAGTAACAACACTAATACAGACTTTTAAAAGAATACTTAGAGCAATAGTTACAAAACATTGAATATTAAGCGAACAGATCCAATATGTGTGTAAAACTTGAATTTGTTCTCTTTATGCCTTTGTCTTACAGTGCCCTTTGTCTTTTGCAGCTCACTTGTCGACACCATAGTTTTAATCTCCTCTCCACTAAGGTTACCAAGGAGTGTGGCCTGTAAAAAAACAAATTCCAATAATAAAAACTGTGTACATATATTTACATTACATTCCAACATGCACTGAGTAATATTTATTTTAATTCCAAATACCTGAGTGCAGTGTGGGACAAAGCCGAACACCAAAGTGTGGCAGTCATTAAACAGGGCGTGGAGCTGTTTTGGGGCTTGCACAGGAGGGGGTGCATTTGGGTTAAACTGTTGCCATTTCACTGACACAGATCTTGCCCCTGGTGCTAGCATACGCTTAATCTGAGAGGTCACCTGCAGAACAATATAAGAAAACAGATCAAACCACATAATTTATAATATAATAATATGATGGTGCTATAGAAAATATGTCTCACCTTTTCTGACCAGGTATGTTTGGATTTGGTGTCAAAGAATTCATAGGCTCCACCTCCAGCCTGAGCCAGAGCCCTCAGCATGTGCCGGTTAGCTGTTGGACTAGGGTGACATACACAAAATGTTGCAAAATTTATGTTATTCCTTTAAATTATAAATCAGGAATTACAAGACCAAGGACTGGCCCCATAAAGGAAAAATATATATTTACACTTATACACATTAGGTCCTTTATTATTTTTATTGTAAATAAATGAATTATATATCTCAAGATCTTACCCCAATAATGTTCGCTGATGATACGACTTTACTCATATCCAATTCAAACTTTAATGTTCTAATAAATCAAACTATTGCTGCATTATCTGCCTATGACAAATGGTTAAAAATGAACAAATTATCTCTTAATATCAAAAAACTAATGAATGAAAATAATGAATGAAAAAATCATTTCCAGCTAACCCTAAAATCAGAATTTAATTCAAATGAAATCCACCAAATTTCTGTGCGTCATTGTCAATGATAACCTAAACTAGAAAGAGCATGTTGACTGGGTGACCAGAAAAATTGGCATCTTGGCATTTTAAGAAATGTTTGTAAAATTCTGGATTCAAAATCTATACTTACATTATATTATAGTTTAATTTATCTGTCATATTGTAATATAGTCTGGGCAAGCACTTTCTCTACTACTCTGAACAAAATATTATTGCTGCAAAAATGTTTATTTTAGAACTGCAACTCATTCCATGCCACTAACATCGTCTGCAAATTTATTAATCAAACTTAACATTCTTAATATTTATGATATTAATATTTATCAAATTTGCATTTTATGTATAAAATTAATACAACTATGATCCCTAATCATTTCACATTTTACTTTAAAACCAATGCAGAGATTCACAGATACAATACTCGTCAAAATCATAATTTTCATGTTCCAAAATGTGTCACATCAAGAGCTCAGTTATGCCTACAATACAGAGGCTGCACATTCTGGAGCCAGTTTTCACATCTGGCTAGTGATGGCATCAGAAGCGTTGTTTAAAAAGAGTCTGAAGAAATGTTTGATATTTCATGATAATGTTGATAATCATTCAATTGTGGGATGTTTCATTGTATTTTAATCCATGTTTGAATCAAATGTATTTAATCTAAGGTGCGTAAAAGTAATTTTTTAAATTAATGCACAGCTATAATGTTCAATTTTAATGTATTCATAAAGGTGGAGGCTTTAATATAAGCCCTTTTGTTTTTTTTTGCCTCTTTCAGCACCTACTTTTTTTATCTAGTGTCCTTTTTATTGTTACATGTTATATATGTGCAAAATTTTAAAAAAGCAAAATTTATTACATTAGTGTGGTACGTTCCAAGAAAGTTAAAATGTCTCCATGGAAACAAGTAGGTGATGTAGTAACGAGGGATGAATAGTGCACCTTAAATATAGACACTATAAATTACTATGATAGGTCCAGACCTCAGTCCGCAGGTGAAGAGGCGACTGTGTGTGCTGTTCTCTCGGATCAGCTGCAGTGTGAGCTCCGGGTTTTGGATGTGACCATCAGACAGCAGAAGCAGGTTCCTCGTACCTCTGGTAGGAGGCAGCAGACTCATGGCAAGCAAGGGCCTCCACAGCTCAGTGCTGCCCCCGGCTGATGAGAAGTGCTGGGGGAAAGGTGTAACAGGCATTATAAAGATGATGATCAAATCAGGTATTCCTTTTAATATGAATTTTCAGAATAAGTAGACAAGCCAGTAGCTGTCAACTCTATGCATTATCCTTATTATTGACCACAATTTGTTAGATAGGTATTTTTTAATGTAACTTAAAATGATCTAACAAATTGTGCATGCATTTTAAAAGAATACTAATAATATAATTCCTACAATAAAAAACACATATTACCTTAATGAAATTTTTTGCTTCATGGCGAGCTTCAACAATTGGTCTGGCAGACAGAAAAGCCTCTGTGTGATCTAATTGAAAACACAAAAAAGAAATACTTGTGATATTTAAAATTTAAAGTTTATTATACTACAGTATAATAAGTTAAAGCATAATATTATCGCTTATATTGACAAAACAAACACTTATATTGAGACTAGAGATGCGCGGTGTCCGCAGCTTAACCGCGGGTCGGGCGGATGACGTGACGAAAAATAATATTTTAATTAAATTCGGGCGGGTGGAGGTTTAACTACTCAAATTAAAAAATATATATATTACAGCCTAGGGGTGGGCGATATATCGATATTTTAAATATATCGAGATACTTTTTAAACTCGATATGAATTCTGACATATCGTATATATCGATATAATGCTTATATTCAATTTTGATTTCGCCGCTTCGCTTGTTTACCTTCTCTCGCGTCGCCTCCGCCTCCCTGATTTTGTTCGCTCGTGTCTCCCTCACTCGTCACTACCACCGTGAACACCGAAAGTTGGTGCCAGTGAAAAGCTTCAAGCACCACGAACCTTTTCCACCATTTACAGACAAAACCATCAGCAGCACATCCTCATATTCCACCGAGTAGCGTCCTTTTGCCCAAAAGAAGCTAAACGAGCTGAGCTGCACGAGAAGTGCGCTGTTTATGCAAATGAGCCATGCGCTTAAGTTTGGTTTCTGTAAAATGTAAACACACGTGCGCAAAACTGCATTAAACACATTATTATCGCAAACGGGCTGATGTGGCTCTAGAGTCTTTATGCTTTATATATTGTAAAGTTTATTTATGCAGAAGATTTTAATTAATAATCTGCTGCAGTGTCACTTGTACAATAGTGTTTGGAAACGTTGGGTTTGATCTGCAGTGGATTGTGGGAAACCTCAGAGCTCCTTCTGCTGGTGAGGAACATGGATCTGTTAAAATAAGGAACATCCTGAACTTCCTCTGCTAAAGGAGCTCATGGTTCTGGTTCTGGTCTGGATAACAGAGTTAATGCAAAAATGAGATTGTGTTCAGTTGTTTTATTTATGAATGAAAAGAAAAAAATATGTTATTTATTTTATTTTACAGTTAAATTATTATTTATGTACTTAGGGTTTTTTGTAATCTTAAATGTTCCTATATGAACTGCCGACCTCTTACACTTCAATAAAAAAAAGGACCTTGTGGAATTTGGCAGATTTATTTTTGCAGTTTTCAGTTTTAGGGGGTTATTTTTTCTTGAACATATATCGAGATACAGCAAAATATATCGAGATATATTTTTTGATCCATATCGCCCAGCCCTATTACAGCCTATATTGTTAAGTGCTATGAGATATGCGTCTTTACTCCTATGTGCAATGATTAGAGTGGTGTGTGGCGTGAGCGTGACTGAGTGACTGCGTGCGCGCCCCCGAGGCACGCGCTTTTTGAATGGGCCCACGGAGCGCACAGGTGTCTATGTTTTACTGTATGTGAAATGAATGGTAGGAAGGCGATCAAAGCGAGTCAGGAAGCAATTGCCCTGTTATTTAGTGCATCACGGCAACTAAAGCCACGATTCTTGAGCAACGAACTGGCTCATTTATTGAGCCCACGCACTCACGGTGAGGTTCTGAACAGGGAGTTAAACCCTGAGCAACAAGCGGCATTTTGTTACAGACAATTAAGAATGCGAACATGCACGTTGAGCGAATAGAGCTATAGAGTTTAAATTTTTATCGACACTCCTTAGTTTGTTTGCTATATGATTGTTCTAAAATCTAAAATCAATCGGCAGATGGCGGGCGAGTGTGGTTTTGAAAATTGGTCAAAACCTTGGGTGCAAATGGATAGCGGGCGGATGATGAGTTTTGTGTCGCGGTTGTGGATGAAAAAATAGCCCATCCGCGCATCTCTAATTGAGACATCACATGTACACTTACCGGTGCCAAAGAAAATTACATTGAGTTGGACATTCTGTTCGAGGGTTTTTAGAATCTGCAGAGCAAGCATTTGTGCTGTGTTCAAGGACTCTCCTTTCATAGACTGAGAGGCATCCAGCAATAGCACAACTTCATCTGAGGTGATACAAGAAGGGGCCTCAAATTTTGGGTAAAAAACCAGCATACAAGCCTTAAAAAAAAAGAAAAAAAAAAGGTGAGTATAGGTGAATGTGAAAGGTGTAGGTATAAGGTGAATGTAAAAAATATAGCAAAATATAGCAAAAATATATGCTGTATACACCGTGCATCAGCATGATTAATATTTTATTGCCAATTACCAAGAATGCTTCTATGCAATATTGTACCAGCTATCATTCTATTTCCATTTTATGTCAATGCTGTTACTAAGCTGTAAAGTTAACCAAAGTATGGCATCATTATTACAGCATTATTCAACAATATTTGCATTGCACAAATTTTACAGAGGTAGTCATGAGTAGTGAAACCTGGCTGTCTTTGCTGGGATGTTTCTCGACCCACATCCTAGGCACGTGGACCTCAGTCAGAGTGACCAGGAGCTGAAAACCTTCTGGTCCCATAACTTCTCCGGGCAACACACTTACCACTGCCTTACAGTCAGTTTTCTGAAAATATACAAATAGGAATGAAATTAGACCTGAGAAATTTGTAAAAGAGTAAACTAATGTTATCTGTAAAATGTCCTACCTTTATTTTGACTTTATGAGTGGTACATTTTACTTCAGTAATTTCACGAGGCATTTCAATTGACATGTCAAGATTAAATTCTCTAAGGAGAAAAAGTATTAATATATTATTCCATAAAAAAATTAAACTTAACAATAGCATTTAATTATAATGACGCATATAAACTTAGCTTAAACCGAGAAATTTCACCTTGTATTAGCGCGTTCATCAGTGACACAGACTTTTTCTACAGTCACCTGGGCAAATTGAGATAAAAATCAGAAAAATCACCAAATTATAGTAATACTTTAAATGTATTGCATTTTAATTGCTTCACTATATGATCTGACAACAATTAAAAGTGACTTATACCTGCGTGGTCTGGTTGAGTGCTGCGCTCTCCTGCCATGGAGCAACACTGCTAGGCAAAGAGAAGAAGACACTCCCATCTTTAACGATCAGTTCAGACACAAAGGTAACTTTAATCAAGACTGTGGCACCAGGAGGCAGATTACCCACACTTATAGTAAACACTTCCTATATAAAGACAAAATGACAAGCTGCTACAAGTGATTTGTTATATAATATTTGATGAATGATTGCAAGACTCAACCCACAGGGGCATCCTGGTCCATCAGGTAGGCTCCGTGGCCTTTCTCAATCGCCTGTTTGTACTCTCTTCGAGCAGTTTCCTTCTCTTTTACCTACAGCAAAAATAAAAGAAAAGACAAATTATCACTTGCTTAAAACTAAAAGTGTCTATTTTTAAGGCAAATATTAGTATCCTCTCCTACCAATTAACTTTTTGTTCTCTCTCATCAGGCCCATTAATCTTCCAGGGAATTGCATTTTCAATTTAATCATCCTATTACCCATCCTACACATTTCAATATTAGTTTGTACACATCAGTTTTGTCAGTCAATTATTGACAATCAGTTGTCAAGAAATTCAAATTGAAACTCCAACATATTAATCTTTGGTAGGTATAGTGCATGTAACAATTATTTCAAGCAACTAGTCGGGACAATAACCTAATAACCTTTAACGGCTATATAACTATGATCGTAGGTTTGTATTTTATCACAAAAATGTTTCATGCCTCTCACAAAAAAACTGGTCCACCTCTTTATTTCCTGGTCCATCCCTTTATTTCAAGTAGACTGGATTATAATGGCCTCAAAGTAATCCACTAAGGAGTTACAACTCAGATACTCTTGTTCACTATTTATTACATTTAACTTACTTGTCCCACCACATGTTTGCCATTGATGAATGCTTCAAATCCAGATACTGCCGCAGAGTCATCCAGTGGAAAAACATACTTGGCCTCAATGGGCACGAGGCTCTCATTAGTGTATTTCTGAAAGATGATGACCTATATTTGACATAGAAAACATAAAAATTTAAAGTTATATTGCTGTTGTTTATTGTAATTAATTATATTATAGCATAAGGTCAAATACAATAGTTGTTATACCTGAGCAAGCAAGTCCATAAGTTTACATTTGATGTGAACAGCCTGCAGTGGTATCTGTTGTCCAGAACTATTCAAAAGTCCAGCAGTGACATTTTCAAATGGATTTTTTATATCACTGATGCCATCCTCAACTGTGCCTATCCCTATAATCATAACATGTCAAAAAGAAATTACACCCTAATTAAAGATTGCTGAAGAAAAGAGTTTACCTTCTTCGGGAGAGGGCAGACTTGGCTCCTCTGGTCCAACAATCTCAGGAGTGACGTTTTTCAGGTCCTCACCCTCCATGCTTAATCTCACCACATACTGAAGTTTCACCTGATCAGTACTGTACACCACGTATTCATTATCCTAAAACAAACAAACAAACAAAAAAAAAAATATATAAGTCTTTTTTTTTTTTTTTTTTTTCAGAGTCTGTTTTCTCCCAACATCAAATTTTGGGGGGAAATTTCTGTGTGAATTTATATTAGAGTGAATGGTGGTTGATCTGTCAGATCACCTCTCATGTTAGCTGCACAGTCAAAGGTATTACCTACTTAATGCCCATAGATACTAAGTGAAGACAAAAATTCTCTCTCTATTCTATAATCAAATACATGTATTGTTACAGTGTTACAGTTTCATTTTGTAGTATTAAGTTGAAAAGTAGCATTCAAGACCTTCTTCTATGTGATATGGATGGAAAACCAACTGATAACGAGGTACCAACTTGTTTTAGCATGTTTTAAAATGAAGTATTGTAAAGTTGCAACTTTCCCAGATAGTTTTACAATTGCCATATTTGTTCATGTTTCAGCTTCCTGTTATATGTGACATCTTGAGGACTTTCCACAATTAGAAATATATAACATTATGACATGTTTTACATTCTCAATTGCTATGGCAATGGTACAAATGTTTCATCTTTCTGAAACCCATCGATATCAAAACTAGTATAGGACCACATAGTAATATTAAAGAAACTATGATTACTTTGTATTAATTGCTGTAAAAGTTTTGTATTTGGACAACACTAGCATTAGTGTTGTAACTAAATATAGCTAACTATAAGCTTCAATGACCTACTAGTCTAACCACCACAAAAGTAACATTAACTGGTACCGTGAATTCAGACTGAAGACCAGGTTTGTTTTGAACCCCATACACACTGTCGTGACCCTCAGGAGCCTGAGTAAGAGTTATATCTTTCTTGACGAAGTCCTTGCACCGGCCCAACGCTACATCACAAACCAGCATCAATCGAGATCCATCTGTAGAACTGCACTCGGAATATTTCAGAGTAGTTCTATATACCAAAGCAGGACAGATGTTTACAGAAGTTATTTAAGTGTATGATGTCATGTAAGAAAGATTTTTAATTACTAACTTGATGTCATCAGTGAAGTAGATCCCACAGCCAAGATTACCAGCATCAGTTCTTTTTATGCCATGCTGGGCCACGGCAACATGAGGCATGAGGAGGCCACTATAAAGGTAATAAAATATAATACATTATATAATACATTACAGCAAATCAATTGATTAAAATGTATGAGATATGTTTTTTCTTTCAATTTAAGTAAACGCACAAAACCATGTCCCTCTTAATTTCATTCTAAAGTGGGACTAGTCTTACCGAGAGAGAATTCCTACAAAGTTTTGAGGCTTGGATGAATGTAGCAGAGATTTGATGTTTCCAAGTTCACTCTTAAAATTTTGGAGCTCCGGTGCTCTGTTCACACGCAAAATCTGATGGACTTGTATTTTACTGTATTTAACAGAAAAATGAAATAATAAGTAAGTAAGCTGTACAAAAAGACAAACAATATATTTCATATTTTTTACCTGCATCGAAGCAGAGAAGTCACAGCTTCGAACTCTGAGCTATCAGGGGGAACTGCTTCAATACCACATCTCAGCGCCCGGTATTTACCTACACTGGACAGTACTGTACTTCCTAAAGTCATTTCACTGACGTTCAAAATGTCTCTAATTAACTGTGAAAAGGAAGAACATGAGATTTTACAATTACACATATTCTAAAGCACTGATTCAATATTACATAGATTAGTAACAAGATTATAATAGTTACCTGGCAAAGGTCGAGCTCTTTAGAGACTGAAGACTGATTTAAATCCATTCTTGTGTCAAATTGTTTGGGGATAAGAGCACAGTACTCAAACCAGAGGGTGCTTGCCTCTTCCAATTTATGTTCAGTTATTTTTCTTTGAACCTGTAGTAAGAGTCCTTCTGCCCTGGTCACCTGTGTCAAAGGCAATTGTAATTTCTTCATGAACAAAAGTGAGAATCAATCTATCAATCATGTGCGATATTCCTGCCACTTTAATCAGATGGCAAAATAGTCCAACAGAAAAAAAACAAAAACATTTGAGTGGTCATCATTATAATGCTGTTTAGCCATTCACTTTTATGGCACCACTGGCTTAGCTGATGCTTAGCATATACACGCTGGCATTGTAATTGGGATTGAGTAACAGAATATTTGTGCAAATTATTCTTCCAATTCTCAACCCTTGCAATTGTTTAAAGTTCACTGACTTCCTGTTCAAAACTACAGAAATTAAAGACTTACGTCTTCATAACAGCATTTCACTGAAGATTTACATTTAAATGTTTTTAAATTTGGTTACTTGACTATTTTAACTTTACATGTATGACCCAAAGTAAATTTTTTTAAGTAAATAAATTTTAAAGTGGGCAGAGATAGGAGTAAGTGGAAACAAAAGTTTTCTTAGCACTCAAGATTTAAAGGCAGGATAATGCGGGATTACTCAAACAGGCATGAGTCAGTTGAAAAAAAAAAAAAAACTTATAGAAGGGGATTTTACATAATATGTCCCCAGTAATGACTATAAAGACTGAATGTTTCGTACATCGTTCAGACTGATCTTGTGAACTGGAGTTTTGAGGATGCGGTTGATGCAGCCCAGAGCCTCCTGCCACAGCAGCTCCACAAACAGCCCCACCTCTGGAGACAGCGTCCCTGTGTTCAGCTTCTCCTCCAGCAGCAGCTGCAGGTACACACCACGGTATATTAATACACTGCCAGCTATATATTCATTTACAGCACAGGTTAACTTTATTTTTAGAATCAGGTTTGAAATGAACATTTCTGCCACCACCAATCACTGTAGTCACTGAGTATTTAGTTTTCATCTGTTCAGACATTACACTTTGTTGATTAGCTGTGCCTTATCTTTAAATGAGTAACTTACACTTACAGAGAATGAAAAAAAAGATGACCCTGTGTGTTCAAAATAGACCTGTTTTAACTGGTGGCCATGGTCTACTCAAGAAAGCATTTTTTAATTAAAGAAATCTTACTTCAAAATACTAATAATAAAACTATTCAATACAGGATTGACTGTGTCACCTATGGGTATGCTTATTGTGGCTATACCGGCTTGTCATAGCCTTGTCAGAGCTCAGAAGCAAAGCAGGGCTGGGCCTGGTTAGTACTTGAATGGGAGATTGCTGGGAATTTCAGGTGCCACAGTCGGGTGCCAGTGGCAAATTTTTTGTTGTGCCCTTACGCAAGGCCCTTGAGCTGAGGTGAGGCTAGCTTCTCGTGCTGCCTCTACACAGGGGTGTGTCTGCGCTGCACATTTAATACAGAAATATGGATAAATAAATTTAAATCAGACAATATCAAATTTTACTGCACTGATCCTTTTTAAATCTAAAGACATAATTAGTAAGCACATTAACTATACACCAAATCTTGAAATACTGTTAACAGAATATGTGCAGGAAGATTACAAACCATTTTATTTTATACAGTTTGGAGTTTAGCTCACTTGTTTGAGTCGCTTGTCTTCAAAATGGATAATCCAGATTCAAGACCCAATTTGGGTCAAAATCATTAAAGCTTTTTTTTTTTTTTTTTTTTTTTTAAAGGTGAGATTCTTCCATGTTTGTAAAGAAAATATAAGCAACTTAGTGCCCATCAGCATTTTTGCATTTCTGAGCCTACTGCACTTTGCCTCACCAGACCAGCTGTTAAACTCACCGCACATGACTGGTGATGGTCGGAGGGCCTGATGGTGCAGATTGGCAGCTTTGCTTCTATCGGTCCCTGAGGCAGCTTTGGCTACAATATTAGCTTATCACCACTAAGAGTGGAGTGAATAATGCATTGGAAAGTGTCTTTGAATGTCCAAAAAAGGCACAATATAAATCAGATTTATGATTCTGATTCTTATTATTATTAAGACTGCTTGATGGTTGTAATTGCATACTGAACCTGCTGTAGTGGAGTAGATCCCATCTCTTGAGGACAAAAATCTCTCTGTTGCTTCAGACCTTCAGCCTTCATGCACTCTGTAAGGTCCTGGAACACCTCCGTGGCCTCTTCTGATGTGGACAGAAAATATATCTGGTCCCTCACAGCTGCCCCCTGTAAAAAACACATGTGTCCATGTATATATGTGATGGCCAGATCATCCAAACAGTGATATTATCTTGAATGTTGTTTTGAAGTTGTGCAAAATTTAAATATCAAGTATATCATTTATAGTACAAATGCTGCATAAGGGTTGTAAAATCCCAAGCAAGGGTATTAAGTGATATTTCTGCACTTTTGTGGATAATATATATAATAAAAAGTGAGCATTATTTACAGTATTTACAGTTTACAGTATAGTTGACTTATATAGGGCATACATAGATGTCACAATGTAGGAAGCAACCTCTTTATCTGTGTTTGTGAAATCCCTTAGTCGTTCTGATAGGATCCATAGCAAAGGAGAAATTCAACTCTTGTCCAGCTGACAGAATAGAATTTCCCCTTTGCTACTTATCTGTGTATAATTTAGCTACAATTTGAGGCAACAGTAGCTTGATTCCTGCTCTGAGCAAGTTCTGTCATTGTGTCCTTGAGCAAGACACACCTCCCACCTTGACTAGTATGAAAGTATCAGTCTTATCATAGTATTACAATTTCATATTTGGCTTACACTTATATCTCAACTAATTCAAGTCAATTATTGGATTGGCATAATATTGTCTAAATATAGTAATGAAGAAAAATATCAATATTCATTCATTTTGTCAGTATCGCCTAGCCCTCGTCATGGGTGTGGCCAGTTTTGTCATGTTTTTGTGATGATGAATATCCATTGCATCCATTCCATAAACACAATGTATATTCAGGCTTTTGTCTCTACTGTCTCACAGTTCTTGAATTACCTTAGATTGAATGTCATCCTTCCTGTAAGTCACAACACGGTACTGCCTCCCTCTGTCACTTTTAGCACTCTGCAGCTCCAGCAAATACCAACAATGGCTGTTAGGCTACAGAAAAATTAAAACAAGTTATACCTATAGTGAATTACATATTCAAACAGAGAATCAAACATTATTTTCATACCTTTTGAAAGATTGAGTATTTGGCCACTTGAAAGTTCTCAGGAAATTTGGGCAGACCATGGTCTGTTTCAGCGTATACTCTGTGAATGTATTATAACTGTAAAAAATCATGCTGAATTTTTTTATTTCATTACAACTGATACACATCTAATACTTAAAGGTTGTATAGAGGATTTTCCAAGGAATGAGAAATCCAGCGACTGTTTGTCCTTTTTCAAATGTTGCACATGCATGAAACCACCCCCCCTCGCCCACAGCTCCCTACGTAGAAACGCCTCCTCCCTCCTCCTCCTTACGCCAGAAACAGGTTTGTTTACAGCCGGTGCGCTGCACATGACTTGTATACAACTAACTATAGTGTTGGTTAGGCAAAGGCGGAGAAGTGAGGATCGGGGGAGGGGGTGCGCGGATATTTCATGCGAAGAGAAGAGGTGAGGAGCAGGGAGAAGAACGGAACGGGGAGAGGAGAGGAGAGGGGAGAGGGGAGAGGGGAGCGGTGCGCGGAGATTCCGTGCGCGGAGAAGAAGTGAGGAGCAGGGAGAAAAGCGGAACGGGCAGCGGGGAGAGGAGCAGGAAAGGGTGCAGAGAAGGGTGCGCGGAGATTCCGTGCGAATGAACTAGCTACAACACGCAGCAGCAAGTGGACTCTTTCTTTGCCTTGAAAATTACGTTTTCAGGCATAGGATATCGCATTCGTGTCCTGAAAAACGTTTGTCTAGCTCTTGGAAATAAAGTACGTTTTCATAATAAGCAGAAGTTACCTGTCCAGAAGTAATTTGGCGACCAGTGCGTCAGTCTTCAGTCGCGCCATCGCTGGAATGAATCTCCAAGAATCACCTTAGTTTGGCTTCGCTGCTTTTCCCCTTGTCTTCTTCTTTCAGCGACCTCAAAAACTGACTTTCTTTTGCGGCTAACTGCTCCTGGATTCTTGTCTGCCATTGCAACAAACTTTGTGCGAACTGCGAGGAAGATATAGGTCAAAAAGCCGCTAAGAACTGTTGCGTTGGTGGAGTAAACAGCGTCTGTGCGTCTTGCGTCTGTGGACTGCGTGACAGGCGTACGTAAACCATGTAATGGCAGTGCGCAGGCAAGTCAGTTACGCTAGAAACGTAGGGAGATTGATCAGCCAACAGATAACAAGGCAGTGTCGTTATCTATTGGCAAATGTTTAGCCCCACCACGTCCAGAGTTGATGAATTTTTATTCTCTTTTTTTTTGGTCATCATAATTACAAGGCTACTGCACCTCTATAATGCGATCATTGACAATTTGAAACAAAAAAAATCCTCCATACAACCTTTAAATGTGATTACTGTTTAAAAGATCTGAACATTGAATTGCATACTAATACAGAATAAAATATATTTCCAAACCTATATTTGTTTTTAATGATCCTTCCTCTGTCCTGTGGAGACTCTGCCCTTTGCGATACATTGAAAAGTTGCAAAGGTATTGTCTGGGATGTGGGAGTAGTATCTTTACTCTGGGACCATTTGTCTAAAAGGAATTAAATCAATAATCAATATCAATAAATCAGTTTAACACAGAATGATCAAACAGACTGAAATCTATCACATTTGGCAGATTCCTCAACACTGCCTTAGTCACCAACTCTTGACAAAACCTTATGCACACCTTATGAACAAACATGCCAATCAATAAGACAAAGAGTAGTTAAACTTGCTGAAGTTAAAAGAAGACAGAGAAATTACAAATGCAGTCATTTTTAATACTTGTCTAATATTTTCAAAATAAAATACTATTTGGTTCTAGTTAAATGCACACACTTATGTTCTTTTTTAATAGCCCTACATTATTGCTGTATTTGCACAGAGGTGCTTAAATTTATGTCTATTTTAATAGTTATTCATCTTGATTTTCTATTGCATATTTATATTCAATTGCTGTACTCTAACTTTGCATTGCAGCCCTGAATTTTAAACTTTGTAACAAATATAAATGCTTCCCCATTTTTCTTTTTAATATATAGGACAAAATGTTCACTATATAATAATATGGGCAGGTCCTACAAAAGAGAAATTATCTGCAACTCAACTTAATACTATTAAGTAACATACTTTATACAATGTAAACCTGATTGGTGACCAGTAAAATTCAGTACCTTTATATACATTAGGAAGAGAATTTTCTGAAGTGGAAATGTCCAACGTAAAATCCTCCACTGGCAGTCGACAGTTTGCCTCCAGGCAGCGGTGCACATAGTCCACTCCAACCACAGGGATCTGATGTTTCACAATGTTACGAAGTCTGCTGGGACTCAGACTGGACACACCGCTGGCCACAACCAAAGAGCACTGGAGAGAAGAGAAGAAGGTGAAGATGATAAAAAAAAGGTCATATACTATCAATGGTAAAAGAGGTGTCTCTGTAAGTGGAACTCAATCAATGATTCTTTAAATTACAATGTTTACAACTTTATGCATCTAGTCAAAAGAATATTTCTGGCCAAACCTGTACAAATATATAGACCTATATTATACATGTATTGTATTATAATGTATTAGCAAGGCAGTCAGGAATTTGTTTGTGCAAAATGATGAGAACTTGTAAGTGTACAATAATAACAAGGAAACAAGGAAATAACGAAAATAAGTTCCTGTTGTGTTAACTTCAATGCTATGAGGGCAGACCTGTTTATTGACCACAAAAGTCATGTTTCCTCCATTATCGGTCACAGCGTACTTGATCTTCTTCTTGTCTTTGAAAGGCAGACCCTTGAGCTCAAACAGCACGGAGCAGTGCTCGAACACAGCCATGCCTGGAAGAAACGCCCACTGACCGTAAAGCAAACTCAATGTACTGAACTTACTGTAGGATTATTACCGCAATCATTTCCCGTAAAGGCAACGCGGAAGCAAATTCTGAACAACCATCCAGTGACAATATAATATATATTATACCCATATATATTATATTATATATATTCTATGGTTAACAGTTCATTGTTGTTCCGACTTTATGGATAAAAAGGTTTATAAAGGACACGTTACTGAGTTGGCAATTACAAAAGCTTAGAACTAAATCTACGTCAAATGCTTATTTCAGTGTCTTGTTACCTCTCACAAATTGTATTACTGCATAAGTGTTAACTTCTATGCTAAAGAAAAAGACAGAACAAACCTGTACTGCGACTCTCCTGTGATCAGCCTCTGACTGTTTCTCACTGTTTTTCTTCACTTGGACAGATCCACGTGATCAGAGCTCCGCCTCGTGCTGATCTAGTTCCCCAAAGCAGCACAGTGGGTAAAATCTTTTTAAGAAGGGGCTGGAGAGGAAATGAAGATGTTTCAGGCGGCGGCTGCGGATTTATTTATTTAACGATAAGCCTAAATCACTCACTAACAGATGATTCACTTAGCCTTCATTATCCACATGTTTTAATCCATGCACCTTTTTATTTGTAGAAGCGTTGCTATTTATTAAAACTCTGGGTTGTATCAAACAGTATGCTGTGTAACATTTATTACAAACGAACAGCAATTATTTTTAAAACGCCGATTTAACATACTAGCACTTCCGCATAGCCTGTCACAATAAAAGGCTCTAATGTTGGCTACATAAACTAAAGTACTCGAGAAGTGTGTCGCTCTCACTTACGCAGAGTTACAGTCAAATAGGTACAAAGCTTTGATCAATACTCCTGTTACTATATGGACCCTGTAAAATAAACCCAAACTAAACTAAACAAATTAAACTAAAAAATAAATCAGTTCAGCTGTATTCTACTTCATGACTCTTTCTAAGAATATTTGTGGGTTATCTGCAGACCCAGAGATTGATCTTCGCCTTGGCTTTTGACCGAGGTATGTAGTATTTTTTGGCACGGTTCATGAAATAATCAGAAAATTATTGTCTTTCATTGCGTTGTCAAGGTTGAAAACACAACATTACCAGAAGTGTTTTAACTGAACCCAAATGCTGCTCATTGCTTCTAGTCTCACCCTCTCTATCACATCCTCTCTCTACAACAACAGACGAAATTACTGAGGAATCTAAGACAATTGAATAAATAAATAAATAAAAACAAGACGAGAAACTAAATAGATAAAGTTTATAGTAAAATGTTAAATGGATAAAAATAAAAAGGATATCAAAGAATATTAAAAAGACTAAAACATTTAAAAAGAAAACTATAAAAAAAATAGGAAAACATGAAAAGATCATTTTGATGAAGGTAGTAAATCCGCCAATGGATGAATGAAAAAGGGGAAAAAATATTTAAATAAAAACTAAATTATGCAAATAGAAAGTCGACTATTATGAAAAAGTGAGTGACAAATAAGGGAAAAGGACAATGGGAATGAAAAACAGAATAAAAGTGAGAAAAGACAAAGAAAGGAAAAAATAAAGGAAAATTAAAAATAGAAAAAGGAAAGCCAGTACAAACAGCGCAAATTCATTTAAAGTGCAGTTGTTTGTCAGAACTGGTGAACATAATTATATTGTCTCTGTACTTTATGTAGGTCTATATAGCAGCAGGCCGTGTGTGTGTGCGTGTATGTGCGTGTGTGTGCGTGCGTGTGTGCGTGTATGTGTGTATGTGCGTGTATGTGTGTGTGCGCGTGCGTGCGCGTGTGTGTGCGTGCGTGTGTGTGTGTGTGCGCGTGTGCGTGCGTGCGTGTGGTGTGTGGGTGTGGATGTGTGTGTGTGTGTGCTGCAGCCAAGGTAACAGGGACACACAGTACCACCTTAAACAAGCCTAGCAACAGGGATTAAGTCCAAACATACTCACCAGCAGATCCTGTCAGGTAGGCTAAAAAACTCATCAATTAAAAGCATGTGCTAAGGTGTGTTATATAACGTTGTGGGCTGCTTTGTGTTACAGATTTGTAGTTGTTTCTGACAGAGAGTGATATGAAGGATTTGCCCCTATCAGTGCTGAGTCGAGGGTGTGGTCACTTTGTCCCATGTGAAGGGAAGCAAAATGGACGATTGGATGTATGCTTCACACCAGAGGTATAACTCATACACTAATCTGTCATTTATTTGAATTCACAACATAAACACTGAAGCCACAAAAGCCAGGCTTTTTTTTGTTGTTGTTTTTGTTTATTGCTCTGAGCGGGCTTGCATTTCCACAGACTTGACTTTTATCCCTAAGAGAACCTGATCCTGCTTGTTTCCATGGAAATATTCCTTTAGCTAAAATCTTCCACAGTATGGCATAAAACTTATTTATCCTTGGAAAATGGTCTTAAATATGGTATTTTATTATTTATTTTTCTATGCAACATGGCCACTTATTTTGTAACCATAACTCATTTAAAGATTTTTTAAAATCAGATTTATTGATCTATTGTTACATATACAGTAGGGGTGTGCAAAAATATTGGAATATCAATATATCGTATAGTTTAATGTGATGATGCAGTATCGATATCGTGGGCTACTGTATCGATATATCACCAAGAGTATTTTTAGGTGTGCTTTACTAGATTATTTTGTCATAGAGCTACAGTTTTGTTGCTTGTTGAGTGAAAGGAAACTCATTTATGCGACACATTTGACATTTTTGCTGTTTTGATGATTAAAATGTTTGTGTTTCATATGAATTTTGCACAAGAAGTGGTTTAACAAAGACTTTTAGTATCACAGCCACGATTTAGCCTTTATTTTTTATTGAACTGTATCGAATCAATTTGAAATATATCATATCGAATCGAAAGTTCACTGTATCGAGATATGTATCGTATCGTGGCCTGTGTATCGAGGTGTGTATCGTATTGGCAACTTCTTAATGATACCCAGCCCTAATATACAGTATGTTTTAAGTCCCTGCTGCTCCCAGTTTTTGCATTGCATGGCTCAATCTGACAGACCTCTTCAGTGATTGATGCATCAACTTCAATCTGCCACCTGGGTCTCTTCCTTCTCATTAGTGTATTGCCCTAGAGCCTGGCCAATCCTGACTTACACCTGCAGGGTCACACCTATAAAAGGACCCGCCCCCTGCCACTCACATCTGCTGTTCTGTCTGTGGACTGCATGCCACATTTGTTGTGTCTCTTGTATAGTTATTGTTGTTAACTTTGTGATTGAGACACTAATAGTCCTTGGTGACTTTTGAGTTTTGAATCTGGTTTGTTTTTCTGTTTCTGTATTCCTTTTAAATAAATAAGAACTTAAGTTTTACCATTTTACATATTGGTTCTTTTGTTACTTCCCGTGTCCCTAGCAGATCTGGGTCGTAACATTTATGATATAATTGTTTTATATTATGACTTATCTAAGCACTGAGGTTTTTTGCAGATTGTAAATGAATTAATAAAAATATATCTTACTATAGTTCTAAACTCTAATCTAACTGCAGGATTACTACATTTGGAAGGCCCGTGGTCCTTTGCTACCACTGTCTACCAGTGACTGCGTGTTCACAAGACCAGAGTCTATGCTCCCCAAAACCTTCAGCACCCGGAGAGGAGCACTGCTACTGTACTCACAGGTAATCATGTAAAGTATTTTAAATATATCAAATATATTAAAGAATAATTTAAAATAAATGAAATAGTATACAGAACTGATTGAAATGTGTACATGGTGTGCTTACAGGGTTTGGTCACTTTGACAGCATGTCCATCAAATTCATATGAAAGAAATGATTATGGAAAGTGCAGTGCTCAGCCCATCCAGCAGGGAGAAATCACCTCAATACGCTCTATTCTCAACTACAGTGGAGAAAATGTAAGAAAAAAAAAACACAAAAAAAATAAAAATTGTATATATATATATATATATATATATATATATAGTATACTATAGCAGCTGCAGTTTTATAATACTGTTCTTATTAGGAAAACAATCATGGGCTTCTCACCACCACAATTCCAACCCTTAATCATCCCCATCCTCCTGATTTAAAATACTTTGAGACTGGGCATTGTAAAGAGCCCACTTCAGAGTATCATGTGGGTATACAACTGCCACTCTCTGCTGATAGAGGCTTTCTTGTACAACAAAGTCAACATGAAGGTAAAATACCTGATACAGAATTATTCATTAGGACCAAATGTGGTTTCTATATGTTCATGGTCACTACTTACTCTGCTTCATCTCCCATGAGTAGATTATTTTTAATGTCTGCAAAGTTGTGATTTTGAAGCTTTTATATATTTAGGAATATCAAACCATAAATTTGATATTGCATTGTATTTTCAATAGGAATTATTATTTCACTGAACAGTATTTTCTTGTAGATGGGCACAAAATGAGGATAGACGTGTTTCTCCAGATGCCTTCAGCCGCTGCAGACTCTTGGAATAATATGGAAGCCTTTCCCTCTGAAGTAGACAAAGACTTAATTATGTTTGCCAAAGGTTTAATGTAAAAATACATTTTCAATTAATCTTTTCCATTAGAATCCATTAAGGACCAGTGTGGAGCAGACCGAACTAGTGGAAGGGATTGATGTTGCCAGTGGAACTGAGCCATTAGATTTAAACAGCAGTAATGATCACGGTAAAAGATATCTGGACAAGGCATCCCCTAAACAGTCAAATACAAAACGATCTAAACAAGGTAAATGTTTTCTTATACAGTATAGCTTGTGAAATAAAGCACAATCAAAACATAGCAAAACCATTTTTCTTTTGTTCCAAAAATAGGGGTGTTGCTTCCTCCTCTGAATACAGGACAACTAGTCAAGTTTGAATCTTACAGAGTGCATCCAGACCGGGTTAGGGAACCTCAAATACAAGTGACATGTGCATATTGTTATATACAAAAAGATTTATTGTGTCTCTGTTTGGGCACATCTACCTTCCTGACAGATACTTCTGTATTTTTGTAGGTAAAAGGGGAGTTTTTCAAAGAACAGTGTGCAGACCACCTACCCTCAATAGAAGAAACATTAGCAGGGAAAACAAGAGCTTTGAGTCACAAGCCATTGGATGTCCAGCCTTCAAAAAATATAAATGGACCTCTGCAGCCCTTCCTGCCTCGACTGGTGCCTGAGAAATATGAGGGTAAGAGAAAAATTTTATGAAAACTGTAAATTACTAAATTATATTATTTTTGAATCTACATAATGGGTATCAATATGCCCCTTATATTTTCTTAAATTAATAAACATATTTATTCAATTAGAAGTATGTTTATAGCATTTGATTCATAATGACTTACTTTATCCATCCACAAGAGAAATACTTGGACTTGCATTTTCGTGCATTATGAAATAATAATAATAACATAATAATAATAACTAAAGTGTAAATGTGTAACTGTTACTAAAGTTCAAAATAAGTAGCAAAAATACACAGCAAATTCAAGACTGTTAATTTAACTTGTATATTGTATTGTTAATTTTAACACTTTTACCATGTCATATGGGGTCCACAATAAAATGAGTTAAAACTACACTTTCCAACGTGTAGAAGGCTCAACGCTGGTAAAGTGATGTAACCAAACTCCTCAAAGTTTAATTTGACACTGATTAAGATTAGATTTTTTTTACACTAGTGTATAGTGAAAAACTAATAACTCTAAATTGCTGTTTTAACACTTTAAAGTTAACACTTTATGAAGTAGAAATAGTGTAGAGTCTTCTTTATGTTACACTATTCAATAGTAACTCTTTCTTCACTAAATACAGAGTAAATGCTGTCGTCATTCTAGTTCATAATCCCTTTTACAAGTGTAAAATAATGAAAACCACCACAAAATTCCATTTCAGCTTAACTTGTATTAAAACAATGCACATCATACAATCAACACAATTTAAACAAGTCATATGACACAATACTATTTTTGCAAAATCCAGCTGTCAGCAGGAATTCTCTGTGCCCTCAACCAGTTGGTCACAATGATTGTCATTTATTTTTTTAAAGTTGATTTTTCAATGCAAGCAGTCAATGGATGAATCAAGATCTTGTTTTGAATGAAATTCAGGCATGCTCATCTCCAAAAATGAGAGGCGCATGTCTGACTGTTTGAAACAAGATGTTCTCTCCATTATATAAACATAACAATGTTCACAATAGAGGCAGTCCTGCTAATTATGAAACATTAACATTGCTGAAACTTTTTACCTCAAGAGTCAGCCTTTCACTCTTGGGGTTTCTTTTGACACATCCAAAGTCCATGTTGTAGACAGTTCTTTGAATACAAATGTAAAGTTTGTGAGAGTCTGAGGACCAAGTACCTTGAAGTGTTCACCAAATTCAGCCAGGTCAATGATGACATAAAAAACCTTTGTCCTTCCCACTTCAGTCACAGGTAGAAAGGCCGTCCAGGCTCAACCAGCAAGAAATGTGTCCATACCGATCTGTAAATAAAATATAGAATAGAATAAATATAACATTCAAGTAACCAACTTGCAAAACGGGCTATGCAATATTTAATGAGCCATGAATAAAAATGTAAAAGTACATATATAGTAAATATATTATGGTGCATACAGTATATAATTATTTGTTTGTTCCTATTAAGCAGGTTATTCTGTTTTTGTATACAGGAACCATTCAAATAAATAACTTGAAGGATAATTAGAAAAAATGTAGCCCCCTAGAAAATATTATTTATAATGCAAGACCCACAAGAAACAAAACACTTAAATGCCATTAATCATGAAAATAGAATGAGATTAAGGCAAAAATTACAACTACTTACCACATATAAAAAATACAATTAGACCATTATGAAATTATTGGTGAGGTTACATTTCAGTTCTACATTTAACCATTTCATGACATACCTGCAAATATCTGATGAGATGGTTAATGAGTTGAGCCTTCACTTTCCACTGTAACCTTTAGGAGCTGGGGATGCATGTGAACCAGCAGCAAGACACCCTCACCCTAAAGAAAATACAAAAAAATAATAAATCATTTCTCTTTTTGACTAAAGGTCAAGAGCATGTTAAGACATTGCATTGGGTAAGACATCGTGTTACATACACTGAGTATAGGGCAGGCCTGCCATTAAAATTACCTAATGTATTATGCTAACACATTTACTTGAGTCACTATTTACAGATATTGTACTTTCTTCCCACTGTAAAAATACCAGACATGAGTAATATTTTATTCATCTTCGCAACTGCATTAACTTCAAATGACAAATCAGATGTTTTGTCCTGTTACTTTTGACTTAAGTTACTTGAGGAGTAGTTTCCCGAATACTTTTACTCTTAGCTACTTAACACATTTCTTGGACTTCTACTTTTTACTTAGACTTGAGAAATATATATATATATATATATATATTTTATTTTTTTTATTTTTTTTGAAGTAACGTTACTCTTAATTTAATACAATTTGTGGCTATTTTACCCAATTTTCACGGACATCAGTGCCGGCAACATTGACTGTCACAGGTAAGTTAGTTAGCTTACTACTACTCAACACTACTACTAGCATTAGACCAAATATATTTAGCATTTTTATGAATTAAATTAACTGCAGTGTCTTAAAAAGGTAAAGTAATCTGACCCGGGGCATGTGAGTGTTCAGGTGGTTGGACTTGAGGCTCAGTGAGTTCAGTTCTGCTAAAAAACAAACGCTATTAGCTGTTAGCTTAGCTTCAGACGGTGAAATGTGGCTTCTCTCTCGGACTGTAGTTCTCCCGCTAGAAACATTACAAAAGCCCAACACTGATGTAGTGTAATATTCAGAATAGACACTTTCTAAGTGTTTGACGTTAACGCTGTGAATCAACAGCTACGTATTTTACTCTACAGCACTGTCATAGTTTAAATAACTCTTGACTATGTTGATACATATCTGGATTTTCTTCACTTTACTCACAACAACAACAACAACACCATGAATTTAACACTTTTGAATTTGCTGTGTAGAGACTTGTGTGAAATAATCTACAATTATACAATTTGTTTATATACTAGAAATTATGCATGTGTGTATTTGACTTTTTGTTTCAGTTTCACAAGAAAAGGCCCAAAAGCAGAGACTGCAAAATACTGTCAATCCGCACAGCAAGCACAAGACACGGAGCTGCAGAATAACTGAGGGGCATGCAGCTGACAACTATAATATTTTACTAAATCCAAAAGAGGGTATAATACATCTATTTAAAATGCTATATTGAAGTAAATTTTACTGGGCACTGTTGTACTTCCAGAGTGTAATGTACCATTTGGGCTGCTCACTGGAAAAAGGGGCCCAGGTCATCAGAGTTCTTTAGCATTTTTACAAAAACTCTCTGATGAATATAGAGCCCCCGACAATACGGAGGTGGTGAGGGGGGTCCTGCCACTGGAGCTCAGAGGTAAAACAATTGAGAAGTCAAATTATTAGGCAAGGCAAGGCCTAATATATATAATATTTTTATTTCTGCAAGACCAAAACATAATCGTATCATTTAGATTTGAATGGTCAGTCTGTTGGGAGTCTGCTCTTGGGCCCTGATGGTGAAATTATCCAACTCTCAATGTTTGACAACATCCAGAACTGCACTCAACAACAAGGTAAAATATGTAATGATGTCACAAGTTGAATAGAAATGTACTATTGTTTAGTAGCAAGCAATCTGTTGTATTGATGTTGTTGGTTTTTTTTATAATATATTTTGGTGTTCCTGATGTGTCATTAAATATAAAATGTTAAAAGTAAAGACTAAAAGCTTAAACAGTTGTAAACATGTAGTATATGTATAAATGTATATTATTCCATTGGCTAATCACACAGCTTCCATCCCACCCTCCCCAGCACCCTCTCACATGCTGCATACTCACTTTATGCAAGTCAAGAGATACTAACAAGATGACTGTTTTTATTTTGATTAGCTCTACAGGTGGTGTCAGCAAAAGGAGAGAAACTGCCTTGGGTTGTAATGCTGCAGCCTGAACAACACATCACAAGTACTAGTACATAATAAGAAAAAAGGCTATTTTTGTATTCCTTAAACCTAACTTTAAATCACTTGGGGTAGTTTTTTTTAATTTTTTTTTCCATCTCTAACCATTTACATCTTTCTAGATAAAAATAAGAAGACAGGTTTACAAATAACTGACATTCAACCAGGTCTATCTATCAATATCAGTATGGTAAGCTTAAAATATATCTTCCAAATAAAAGTTAATGGAAATCTGCTATGGTGAAATGGTACACTGAAGAGGTGGGGCTTTTCAGTTCTGCAGTTTTAAACAGAAAGTCGGTGTTTCTATTATTATTAAGACATTTTAGATTAATATTGCAGTTTACAGTGAACACATATCTAGTTTTTTTGTAATGTAATTCTTTTATTCCTTTTTAAACTCCCAAACCCTCAGAGATCAACAGATTCTGGTCCTGGATCACTTAAGGCCTCTTGTGACTTGGGTAAGTAAGCACCATATTTGACATTGAGGTTGTTTGGGGACGTTTCCAGCCAGTTTTGATCATTTTGAAAAATTGGTCAAATTTGAGCCGAAACGACAGGGCCAGACCTGACGAAAAATGTCATTTTTGGCCATGACAGGTTTTGGCCCCAAACTGCCTTCAAATGACAAAAGATGCTCCAATATATATAATATAATATATCATTATCATCTAAGTTCACAGAAATATTCTACTTACAGATGACATGGACAATAGTGATATAAAAGATACTAAAACTTCAATAAATACAAGACTTAAGAGTCCTAAACTAGATGCATTTGAAAATATTGTCCCATGCTTGTCCACTGTGGATGGGACAGAACTTGAAACAAAGTCAAGAGAAGACACGGTGGTAAAAGACAAAAAGAACCTCTTAAGTGGACAATTGTCTTCACTACAGCAGGAGTTAGTATTATTCCATCCTCATGCATATTTGTTTATTAATACCAAGCATGAAATATATTGGAAATATTGAAGTATTTATATTGATTGTAAAGTTTTTTTTTTCTTTACAGAGATGTCACAATAAACAAACCAAATGAAATGCCAGCCACCAACATTAGCCCCAGTTATGCACCAGAACAAAATACTGTGAAAGACAGTAAGAGGCTGACAACAATAAAGGGCACTGAAGGGAGTCCTGTTTCCAAAGAGTAAATGCATAATTTCATTTTCTGAAAATGAATCTGATTGTGATTGTGCATTTCTTGATTGTAATTTTTTGACTTAGGGCAAAAAGAAAAGACTCTAGATCAACTACCAATGACCAGGAAGAAAGAAAAACATTGCATGATTCTCTACCTGATAGTGGGCCAGATAAGAATGATAGCAAACGTCATTCAGCAAACACTGTAAGAAATGTTGATTACAAGTCTGAAGACAAAACATTATTTATTGTACAAAATCTATCCCATCAGACTAAAGGAGTAAAAGGCAAAGAAGCAAAGGCAAAAGATATAAAGAAGACAAATGATAAAAGTGTGAATAAAGATACTGTTGATTCGGAGGATGCGCCCATTGACACGAACAAGAAGAAAAGAAGAGGAAAGTCAAAAGACAAAGACAATCCATCAGGTAATACAACCTGTTGGTCATTTAAATTAAATTCAAATTTAAATCAGATCCTTGCAGATAAGAAGAAGTTGTATTTTTTTCAACAAAATATTTAAAATTTTGTCAAAGAAATGGGCCATTATAGACTTTCAGAAAACTTTATTGTCTGTATATTTATTGTTGTCATGGCCATAGATCTAGGTTGCATTTGGTTTATTAATTTGCTGTAGCTCAATAGATGGATCTTGTCACAGACAGATTGCCAAAACATAGGTAACAGTTGAAACTGAATCACTGTTTCTTACCCTTTCTTCAGACAAAATTACACCTGATCTTTTAACTGACAAAATCACAAACAGCAGCCAGGATACTGAAGAGGAGGTAAATAAACAAAGAAGTATTGTTTTTTCTGCCAAACAAAAACACAAAAATACAAAGCTGAACATGATTGAAGACAGTGCAGACACAGATCATTTCATCATAAAGGAGCCTGGACTGAAAGCGGACAAACTTAGCAGGTCTATAAGGCCTCTGCGATCAGGGGCCAGTGGATCTGGTCTAAAACACAGCAGCTCTCAGAAGTCCCTGTCTTCGTCCTGTGAAGGAGGGACCTTCCAGGGGACCACCGCTCCCCTGTCCCTGTCCCACAGCCGTCTGTCCTCATGCTCCACGGTCATCATCCAGGAGGAGCGTCTTATGCTCAATCCAACCAAATCTGAGGTAAGAGTGAGACAGAGACCTAATGTTGGAATGAGTGATAAAATGTTATTTCTATGGGACAAATAAAAAAAAAACAAAAAAAACCAAAATGGGACTAAACTGAAATTAAAGCAGGACATGAAAAGAAACAAACATCAGGAGTAAACTGATGTTTACTCAAGCCAGGATCAAAGCAAAACAAATATGATTGCACCCTTATTGTCAGCTGTTACAGAAAAGTTATTCAGTCAAACAACATTACCATTCACCACAAGCGGTTTTTATATTAAGTATTAGGACTTAATCAGAATTCATGTTAAACACCGTATGGTCAACAATATTTGAGACTGAATGTAATGACAACATACCTTCATATTAACATGGCATTAAGATTATATCACTGTAATATTTCAGGTGGTCATAATAAACCAAGACGATTACGCCACAGTTCATGAAGCTGAGAAAATGAGGATCCAAGGAGAGGAGGGGGAGAGGAAGAGGAGGCAGGAAGAGGAAGAACAGAGACGGCAGCAGCAAAAAGAGGAACTGGAGCAGAGGATGAGGAGTGAGCTGCAGAATGAGAGACAGAGGAGGGCAGAGGAGAACAGGTGTGATGCTCATTCATTGTTATTTTGAAGTGTGAATATGTCTCAAATTTACTGAGATGATCTTTTAGTTTTGCTCTTAAATGCAACTTGTAATAACATTCAAGACAGAAAAACAGATCTTTCATTTTTAGATAATACACTGACATATATAAACACACATTTTTTTGTTTGTTTTATTTTTGTTTTTAGTTAACATGCTAAGTAACTTTCTGGTGGATGTCCACAATCTAGTCACATAGAAATACTATTACTTTTACTAGAATGTAGCCGAATATGTTAAATATATCTATCTTGCATGTATTAAAATACCTGTGTTAATACTGAAAAAAAACAAAAAACAAGGTGGTGGACTCTCAACTACAAAAGTTACATAATGCACCAAACTGAACTGACAAAAAATGCACTTAACTGGCTTATCCTGTCAGAAAAATGTGAATAAATGATAATCACCTAAAGACAACTGGACTTTTTTTCTTCCAGACTAAAAAAACAGGCAGAGGATGAGGAGAAACAGCAGCGAGAGGAAGAGGAGCAGAGGAGAAGGCAGAGGCAGCAGGAGCAGCGCGAACGGGAGATGGGGAGGCAACAGGAGAGAAAGCGACAGATAGAGCTTTTCCAGAGAAAGAGAGAGGAGGAGGAGCAGAGGAAGAGGGGTAAATAATACAATAAACTAATCACTGCACGAAAAAGGATGACAAAAATGTGTCTCACTCATGCATTTCAATAATAATAATGCATTGGATTTATACAGTGCTATATAGTAGTGTTTTGTTTTTCTACAGCTGAAACAGAGCATTTGAAACTGCTGGAGGAGAAAAGTCTCCAAGAAGAAAACTTAAAGCTCCAAGAAATGTCTGTGAGTGAGAGAGCAGAGTATCAGCGTAGAAAACAAGAGGAGGAAGATAAACGAGAGAGGGAAGAGGAGGAGCAGCTGAGGAGAAAGGAGGAGGCCAATTTTTTAGCTGCAGAGAAGGCCAAGATTGAAGAGGAGCTATTGGCAAGGTATAATAAAGCCAAAAATAGGTATAATAGGTATAATAATATGTATAATAAAACCAAGACAAAGAAAATGCTCATTGAACTTATAATGAGAAAATTTACTTTTTAACTTTTTGTTTTGAAGGGAGATGGCCCTCTTGCACCAGAGGTTATCTTTTAAAAGGGGCCTTGTGGTGGAATCAGAAGGTTTGGTAAAGAGCCAGGGCATCTCCAGGCCTTGGACTTATTCATACTTCACTTTGTTACAACAGCTGGATTTGTCATCTGTAGGAGAGCGCTACACCTGACCTGCAATATACAGTATATGCAAAAAATAAAAAATAAATTGCCAATAAATAATCATAGTCATTAAAAAGCTGTTATTGTGTCTCTTTTGTTGAAGTTGATAAAGATTAAGTCTATTAATAAATACAGATTATGAATAGTAGTTGGTAACGTTGTTACATTCCGCACCACTAGAGGGCAATACAAAACTACTTGTATATTGATGTAAGACTATTTTTGAGTAGAACTTTCAGCTATGATTAATTATACATCATATTTGCATTTACAGATTAAGTACTGATAAAGTGCAGAAACTGAAACAAGCAGGAGATGAGACCAGGATGAGACGAACAATTTAGATACAAGGTTAGGTTCCGAAAGCATCTGTCGTCCATCCTCTAAAGACGATCTGTGTTGACCCGGAAATACATCCACTACTGTGTTTTTGTTTTTACTGATGTGAACGGTGTAGAAAAATATTCGATCCATACCTTATCGCGCTAGAAACAGCTTTTAGAACGCTGTTTTTCGTGTTATGACTTCGTTTTTTAATTAGTTGACCCACCGTAGGATTCGGCGAGCGTTGGAGCTTTTTTTTTTTGACCAGGGCAGAGCATTTGCTTTTAACCAGGCTTCAAATTGTTGCTAGGTTCATCACGTTGCACGGTTAGTATTCAATATTGTTGTTATTTTAGTTTAATTAACACACCTTATTATTATTTATTGTCCTATTTTTAATCATATGCGACAGACTGACGGTGATCAGTGCAGTGAATCATTCAACTGGTTGCAATTTAAATTAGACTGAGCTTTGTAGTCGTTACACCTGAGGCAGTACAGCGAAATTCACCCGGGACAGTCCCAGTTTTGAGCCCTGTGTCCCCTGTCCCAGCAGATTTATCCAAAACCAGTGAGCGGTCTCAGTTTTTATACAAGAAATGTCCCAGGTGTCCCTATTTTTGACCAACCTGATCCCTGACAACAGTTAAGAGAGGCACAAACTATCATTTGTTTAGGTAAAATACGGAAAAGCTGCTTAAATGTGACAAAAACACAAAGAAAATGTGACTGTACTGACTCACATTAGTGCTGATTAGTTTCCTTAATTACGCACTCCTTTCACAATTTTATTGTTACCAACCAACCCAAACCCAGGGATGTCCCATTTTTAAATTTTTTAAAATCTGGTCACCCTAATCTAATCAGAAGTGCAAGAGAAGTAATATATTTACCCAATACAGTTAAAATGCATATAGCTTTAATGAAATACGTTGTACAAAGTTTTCATGGTACAATTGCTACACTGACATACATTTAGTAAATATGCAAGTCTGGGTCAATAATATTAAGTTATTTTTTGCTACACATACTACTAAAATGTCAATGAGTAATGGTTAGACCTAATGCGTAGTCTGGGCCTCTTACCATATTGATCTTGAATTAAGGTTTATTAATATTCCAACAAACTCATTCTATTCAAATTTGTTCCAGCCATTGGCACAATGGATGTGAGCATTGCCGTCTCGCTGATTCGGGGACAGATGGGTGCTGTGGTGGAGCGAGCGGTCAATGGAGCAGTGGAGACAGTCCTGGCTGAGATGCTCAAAGTTGTTGGTGTGAAATTTGAGGAGCTGAAATCCCAAGTAGCGGTGATGAAGAGAGACATGGAAACTTTGCAGCGAGAGAAAGTCCTCAAGGAGAAAGAGAATGATAACATAAAAGCAAAGTTGCGCTACACTGAGCTCAAATTGAAGTATTATCGACAGGGCGTAGAGGAGGAGCTACAGCAACATGTGTCTGCTGCAGCTCTGTCACACCTCTATACACCAACCGGACAGGCCACAGGACAGACCACAGGACAGGCCACAGGACAGGCCACAGGACAGGCCACAGGACAGGCCACAGGACAGAGAGCGGATTCTGAGTTTCCACAGTCAAACACAGCCCCCTCCTGCTCTGGACAGACCAGAACCAAAACCACAAGTACATCTCCTCAGACCAGTGGGCGACAGAGCGGGCGAGGGCACAGTCAATCAGATGTGTGCGGAGGCAGTTCCAGTGCATCAGGGATAATACTGTCTTTAATGAACACATCTTCTGAGTGTCTGGACAACAGTACAGGTATGCAACTGGCAGTCCAACATAAGAAAAACCTTTTAGAGATTAAATTTTCAAATGTAACTGGAAACTGAGTCATAATGGTTTTATTGCTGTAGTTAGTGAACAAAATTTTAAAAACAATACTACTATGCAAACTAGTATGGCCATATAGTCTAAGCTGCAAGGCTTATTCATTCTGCTTCATATCTATTCTCATGTAAGAAAACCTACCTAACATTTACATGAGCCTCAAAAATAACTTCAGCTAATAACAGTCTCTACCATATCTTCTGTTAAGCAGCTTTGAATCAAGATTCCTCTGTAAATAATTCAGAAGAACACAAGCTCGAATGGACCATCACTCTGCAGCCAAACACTGAAGGAGGGACCATAACAGGCATCCAAGCCCTTTCATTTGTGTCAGAACAGCAGTCGACAACAGGCTCAAGCACCTCTGAAGTTTCAGCTCATGCAGACAGTTCAACACTGCCCTGCTCCCCTCCACATGTAATATTAAATAAAATGTACCATATGCTCAATGTGTTATATTTATATGTTATATAATTGTGTCTTATTGACATAGGTGAAGCAAGAGCCACAACAGGAAGATGAGGTAATCTATATCAAAGAGGAGCCAGAGGAGGAACAAGACGTAGGTGCTATGTTTGATTGCCACTTGCTTCCAGATCGAGCACCAGAGTCAAATGTAAGATCATGATTTGAAAATGACATTGGTTTTTAGTTGGCAAATTATGCACTGGAATAATTATCTTTATTAAATTAATTCCTTTAAGTAAATCTTTTTAAATGATTCATTATATTTTTGTTGATTAACACTTTATTTTGTATTATTATTATTAGGCTACAAGAAATGGGGCAGATTGGTTAGGACCACAGACAAGTGTAAATGCAGCAGGAACCTCGTCTGGATCGGCCATCTGTGAGAATGCCTTTTAATTTCTATTGCGTATTTGAAAACTAGCCACTGCAGTCTTACCAATCCCAAGGTTGGGTAAATATAGTTAAAAACCTAGGCAAAACTATGTAGATAACGAATATTATATGATGCTATAAGAAAACCATTATTTGTTCTTTAATACTTAATGCTAAACGACTGACCTTACCCTTTTAGCTATAATGTCCCAGCTAGCTGCTTCCATGCCATCCTCTGTCTCAGCATCTTCATTCAGCACCTTCACTCAGCACCCTTGGTCGAGAAGAGCTCTCGGTTTACCTGAAGAATACAAAAAACACAGAAAGGAGCAGCAAAGGCGCAGCTGGATGAAATGTAGAGAACTGGAGAAGACTCTTCCTCAACCTCAGCTGTCTGAAGTGGTACACTATACCAAAGCCACTCGATTGTCAGTGAAGATCTAAAGCAGCAGGTTGTAACTTCTAAACACATTTGTTTTGCAGTTGCGGGAGCGTCGTGAAAAGACTAGATTAAGGGTTGCCAAATGGAGAGCAAAGAAGAAACTCCAAGAAGCAAAGGTCAGATCCAAACAAGTTCCACTTTGAAATTTCAGAGCTAAGTTCAAAACAGCACTATGTACGATTAAATAATTAGCATACAACACCAGTAAATGATCTAGATGCGCAAAACCCATATGCCATCAAAGCTGTCACTATTGTTAATTACAGTTTGCTTTTGGTTTCTATTCCAATGGTTTACATAGCCTATTGTTATTTAATCCTCTGCAGTGTCAGTGTCAGACATGTAAGCGACACTGCCTGTAACATGCGTGTAGCAGATTTCATGGTTAATACATCACTTAACAATGTAGTGGATACTGTGCAATTAAGTTTTCAATTATTCACATAGCCACAGATCTCACCAGCTCCTCACTCACTTGAAATCACCAAGTACAACTTCCCACAAAGTCACTGCATCAATTATGTACATGGAAGTGTTTTTCAGTAACCTAATGAGTGTGTTGTACCCTCTTATAGGCTCGAGGGGGCGCTGCAGGTGCATCTCAAACACCTTTACCTGGAGGAAACCAAAACCAGCAACTAGGAGCAACCTGTAGTAAGACAACAAACTTTTTTGCCCAAATAAAAATTGGTCCCCATGCTTATTTTATCCATGGAACTCAAATGCTGTGTGTTATTAATGTGGTCAGACCAGTAGATCAGCTAAAGCACATAATTACCCCAAAAAGGAAATATTTGTTATTGTCATTAAGAGAATCCAAACTCAGTTCAGTTTAGGTGTATTAGACAAAAATAATGCTTAAGAGAATTAATCGTAAATACTATTATACCTAGTAAGAACTCATATGTTGGCTGTCGTTGTAGGTTCGGTGACTGGTTCGCAGGAGCACACAGTTCATCTCCAGAACAACTTTTTCTGCAGTAACGCCACCTCAGGACAGCCCCAGCCCCCCTCACTTTCCTTTATGAGCCCCTCCTCATATTCCACAGTGTTCCCCAAAGGTCCTGGCGGAAGTTCAAACAGTGCTCAGCAAACTGTTACATCGTCTTCCTCCTCATATCCCCAGATCCAAGTAACACAGCAGAACACGCCTCTGAATGGTCCAGACATTATTGACTAATAATGACTCACTGCAGGTCACTTCTTTCACATCAGATTTACAGTTTACAAACAGTGCTATCTAATACTATCCAAACATAGTATTTTATTGTTCATTCATAATTTTACATATGTTGCTTGCATCATGAACATGTACGACATACACTGCCTTGCAAAAGTATTAGCCACATTTCAGGCTTCAAACATAAAGATATAAAATTGGAATGTTTTGTGAAGATTCAACGCCAAGTGGGACGTGAAGTGGAATGAAATTTATATGATATTTTAATCTTTTTTTTTTTTTTTTTTTAACAAATAAAAAAACTGAAAAGAAGGGCACCCCCTTTTCTAAGTGCAGCCAACTGACTGCGTCAATTCACTGATGATTTCTGAATGATCCAACGTCGACTAGAGCCCGACCGATATTATCGGCCAATATGAGCACCTGGAGACATATCGGCTATCGGCCGATATGCTTGCTGATATGGGCCGATATTTCACGTGGGCATGTTATACCTCGTTATAAAGCTTAGACTCTCTACATTATGTTCATTTAATCCAATTTACAGACAGATAATGTCCTAATATGTGGCTCCGCATCAGTATTTATCTGCGGTGTAATTTGTCTGTGTCCGTACTGTCCCTGAACACACCACCAGAGTCACTTCACTCACGTGTGTTTTGTTTACACCCGCAGCGGTGTGCAACACTGAGATTATATTCTTTTTATGGACAATCGATTTGAGTCTGGATTAAAAGGACTTTTATTAGTGCAGACTTTTGACGTGGGAGGAGCCTGTGTGAGCGGTGAGTGTTGGAAATACATCGACTTTGAAGCTAGTTTAGGTTTTGTTAGCGATTAGCTGCTGTAGCTCTCACACATAAACAGGTTGTTTTCTATTGGTCTATTGTAAAGTGACTATATTGGCCGTATATTTGTTACTGGACCTGCATTGATATGTAAATTAGCTGTGAATAGACGTGTGAATGATCCACATTTATGCATATAATTAATTACCGCGGTGCGCAGCATTTACGGCTAAAGGCTAATAGCGGTAGTTTACTAGCTAGGAGTTATGGGTCGGTCGCGATCGAAGCGGCTCTTAGAGCGAACAACGGGAGCCTGCTTCTTATTGGGAGCCGTGTTTTCTCTTTTTCCCACTTTTTTCTCTTCATGCCGCATGTAGACCTGTAGTTTGACAGCAGCAGGGGCTGAAAACGAAACTTTCAGAAATCTGCGTGTGCATAGGATAAAAAAAAAAGTGCATATTAGGCTGCAGTTCAGCATAAAATGAATAAACCAGAACTAATCTTGGGCTCGAATGAAGGAGAGAGATAGAAACCGAGTCCCGACACTCAGTCCTGGTTCAGCTCTGGTTTAGTCCTGTTTTACACATGGCTTAAATCTGTTTTAGTCCTTTTTCAGTCCTGGTTCAGTTCTGGTTTAGCCCTGCTTGCAACAAAACAATCTCAAGAGTCGCTTGGGAGCCGAAAGAGCCAGCTGCTTTAGTGAGCCGAGCCAAAAGAGCCGGTTCTCCAAAAAAAACAAAAAAAAAAAACTGGAATACCCATCACTAGTAGCTAGAATGTGATGCAAAAATGCCATTAGGCCAATCTACTGTATGTAAATATGATGTAAAGAGTCAAAATAACAATAAATGTTGCCTAAATAAACCCAATTTAGAATCCACTAGAGCCAAACCTAAGTTTTTTAATCAATTCAAGATTTACAGTCAATTTTTACATCACTAAATATATCGGCGTTTATATCGGCTATCGGCAGCTCCAACTCCCATTTTATCGGTTTCATATCAGCCACAACAAAATCCATATCGGTCGGGCTCTAATGTCGACCTAAATGTCTGATAATGATAAATAGAGTCTGCCTGTGTATAATCACTCTCAGTATAAATGCACCTGCTCTGTGATGGTCTCACAGCTCTGTTAACAGAATATTGAGGAACAAACAGCATAATGAAGACTAAGGAACACACCAGGCAGGTCTGGGATAAAGTTGTGGAGAAGTTTAAAGCAGGATTAAGATATAAAAAGATTTCACAAGCTTTAAACATCTTGCGGAGCAGTGTTTGATTAATTATACTGAAATGGAGAGAATACCTACCAGGACTCAGCCCTCTAAACTTTCAGCTCAGATAAGAAGAGCACTGACCCGAGATGGGCCAAGAGGCCCATGATCACTCTGGGTGAACTGCAGAGATCCACAGCTAAGGTGGGGGAATCTGTCCATAGAACAGCTGTTAGTTGCACACGGCACAAATCCGGCCTTTATGGAAGAGTGGCAAGAAGAAAGCCCATTTCTCAAAGAAAACCATAAAAAGTCCCATTTGAAGTTTGCCACAAGCCACCTGGGAGACACAAGAAATATTTGGAAGAAGGTGCTCTGGTCAAATGAGACCAAAATTTAACTTTTTGGCTAAATGCAGAACATTATGTTTGGCATAAAAGTAACACTGCACATCATCCTGAACACACCATCCCTACTGTCAAACATGGTGGTGGCAGCATCATGGTTTGGGGCCGCTTTTCTTTAGCAGGGACAGAAGACAGAATTGATAGGAAGATGGATGGAACCAAATACAGGGCAATTTTGGAAGGAAATCTGTTTGTCTGCAGAAGACCTGAGACTGAGACGGAGGTTTACTTTCTAACAAGACAATGATCCTAAACATAAAGCAAAATCTACAGTGGAATGGTTCAAAACTAAACATAACCATGTGTTAGAATGGCCAAGTCAAAGTCCAGACCTGAATCCAATTGAGAATCTGTGGAAAGATCTGAAAACGCACACCCTACTTTTCAGTTTTTTATTTGTAAAAGAAAAAAGTTTTAAATATCAAATACATTTTGTTCCACTTTTTGATTGTGTCCCATTTGGTGTTGATTCTTCACAAAAAAAAGCAAATTTTAAATCTTTATAATTAAAGCCTAAAATGTGGCAAAAGCTCAAAAAGTTCAAGGGGGGCTAACATGTTCGCAAGGCACTGTACATGTACATGATACAAGCAACATTATCCATCATAAAAATTGAATGCACAAACTTTTTTTTTTATTACAGACCTTTTAACAATATAGCGTGTTGTCACTTAAAACAAATGGATGTGCACACTGATTACATATTTACAAATATCTTTTGGATATATGTATCACAATTGACAAATATTGCTTTTTGTTGATTAATAATGTATTTACTTAATAATTTTGTGCTGTTGTTTTTTTTAATATATTTTACATGTTAAGCACGATGATGAGTTGTCACTATTTATGAGTTAATACATTAAATCCACCGACTGTCTAAATCCACTGCACCACAATGTAGAGTAGAATCACCAACAACTTTAGATGTCATCTTATTTTTTTCCTGATACTATCTTTGCAGAAATAGCTCCTGGTAGTGTGTAGAATAGAAGTGCCAAGAACAGTGCTGTGATCAGGATCAGCAGTCCGAGGATGATGTACTTCTTGTAACGGTTCCACACCAAATAGAAGAAGCACTTGAATGGATTGACAAACCATGAAAAAGACGTATCTGGACGACTGCAGAAAAGAACACTCTAATTAATTTTCCAAAAAAAATTATGAAATATTCCAACAGTATTTGGTCATTTAGTTTTGTTAAATGACCTAACTTGAAGATAGTCTTAACTACCTTAGTCTTACAGACTAGATTTCTACAGGAGGAACTGAATTGTAAATGCAAATTTTTTAATCAAATAAACCCCCAGGAAAATGGAATTGCATTCTTACTTTGGTTTGGGTAAGGGCTCGGGTTCATTGCGGGCTTTACCAACTGGGTTTTTCGTGGCCTCCTCTGCTGTCAAAAGATGAAATTCAGCTTCCACTTTTCCCTTTTGAAATCAGAGTATTGATCAGCATAAATTACGACACCCAGCCTTTACAACCACATTACAAGTAGATATTTTTAAATATCTAAAAATGTATTTTTACAGAAAATTTGATGTTGTGAAATGGTTGTTGTTGTCTTCAATGTTATGTGGAGTCCAAGACAAATTTCCCTTAGGAATACTTAAAGTTTGTCCTATTCAATTTTATTATTCAAACATTTTTTATTATTATTATTTTTTTAAATGATAGCTCGTATCAGCCTTTGCTACCATTATAGGTTCAACTAGCATTTCTTTCTTGGTCACATTGACACTGGCCACTGCAGATTACAATTAAAATGCAGTTTTTGAGATGCTCAGACCCAGTTGTATAGTAAGGCAACGTGTCTTGTCAGGAAAAAGAGTTTGCTTTTTTTCTTTGATTCACTTTTCCCTTGATCTTGAGGTTTATCCCCAACTACATTGCACTGGAGGTTTCTTTACCTAGCAATCACAATCACATCTCTGTGATCATCATATCATGCCTGATTAGTGTATATGATAGATCTTGTCATACTGTCAGTTCTCCACTATTGGAAAAGGGCCACCATCCTCTGGCCCTCTTCTGCTGAAAGATGGAAATATTCTCCATTCCAGCTGTTAAGAAGTCTCCTTTGCACAGCTTAGAGGACTTTGCTCCAGGAGGAAACTTGTGAAGGTCCAACTCCAATGTCCCTGAATGAGCATTAACTCATAAGTAAAGTAACCAAATACAAAGACATAGACCAAACATAACCAAAGGCAAAAATAGATATTAACTCACCGATAAAATCATCTGATGAAAGTGTTTCAAAATCCCAAACTTGAAGGATCAGAATGGCAGGAAATTTCTTTTCTGCTTTATCCAAAGAAAAAATGTGCTCTTTTTGCTGCACAACTATCATCTGATATAACAAAATCGTCAAGTAAATACAATATAATTATATAGCTCTACATTATAATGTTTTTTGAAGTACCTTCTCAGCAGGGAGATAGTTAAAAGGAAAAACAAAACGCCAGTTGAAATTCCCCTCTCCAGTGAGAGAGTTGTAGTGAACATCTGTCTCTTGTCGGTCATTCTCTAAACCTTTTAACCAACTGATAAAAAGATTTAATGAAGTAAAATTTAGCACAGTTTTAAAACAATACAAGCAAGAGTGTAGTTTTGATTATACTCGTTAGGATTAAGTAATGGAAGAAGAAAAAAGTCGAATCCAGTGTGCAATCTATATGTCTCTTCTTAAAGAGGAAGAATAGTAAGCAATACAATTTATGATACAATATCACTCTTCACCCTTTTACATAGATGTCACTGGAGCTTTGACCAGTGATTATGTTGGTGTCTTCGAGAACCACATCATCAGTGTTCCAAATGATAATCCTCAGCTCATACCTGCTCAGTTAAAATACATAATTTAAGAAACGTTAAAATATAAAACTTAAAAGTACTGCATGCAGTTTTCATAAAGGTAATTCACTCACGGTTTGGGTTTTCGGGGGCTGATGTCAACAGAAGGTCCAGGACACGGCATGTCCATTGGAAACATGTCCACCCACATCTTTAGCTGACCCTAAAAAAAAAAGATCACCAAATAAAGACTAAATTAAACAAAACATTCATCCCAAAGGTTTTATGAGCAATTGCCAGAAAATTACTATGGTGACCAGTGGGGTTTACTATACACCTTTTTGAGTTTTATACCTGGTCCATGCCGGGACGACTTTTGTGGTACAGTGTTCTAGATTCAATGTGTTCAGGAACCAAGCTATAACCCATAATGTCTGACCACTGATTGAGGACTTTAAGAGATAGATTCTCATAGCATTCTTTTGGCTCTTCTGTGCAACAGAAAATAATCCCTCATTAGACAAAATACATTCTTCAGTAAAATAAATGTACTGTTGAAATGTAAAAAAAAAAAAAAAAAGTTTATTTACCGTCATGCATGGAAACCGTATTTCCAGTAAAAACTTTTTCTCCAATAGAGATGCGTCCAGGTGCAAAATTTGGACCATGTAAACCATTTTCTCTGCACAGTTTAGACAAGATCTCTGAGGGTTTGAGGCAGTCTCTCCAGGCATTATATCCCTCTCTGTCCAAAGAAAGAAAAATATAACAAACGTTCAGTACCCTACTAGTTTTGTTTTATCTAGTTTTACTAAAATATATATATATAAACTATTTACTGGAATTGCAGAAATAATGTTATGTTTTTGGTATGTTTTTTTATTCTACAAAAAACACATTTTAAAGTTTAGCATAATTAATTCAATAAAATTGGGTCCCAAAGCAGAATTGGCAGTGAAGCGTACACACTCGCTATACTCAGTGGGGAGTCCGCAGGTGGCCCGGTGGCGGCTATAAAACCTGTTCTCCAGATCAATGAGGGTCTCTCCCATCAGGTCGTCTCCGCCCACCAGGTCAAAGTCATAGATGAGTACAGTCAGCAGCGACTCCTGGGGGAACTTGGCCTGAATCTCAAATGACCTGGGCAAAAAACATACCTTACCTATTAATCTGAAGACAGTGCTACAAATGAGTTGACAGTACCTTCCGAAAATGGGGTTGAGTTGTTTGGGGATGTAGTTGTCTCTGTCTTTGATTTCATTTTTGCCGATGCGAAGAACAATGTAGGGGTCTGCTCCACCGTCCGGGTCAGCGGGTTGCAGATTGGTGGCCTAAATAGAGAGAGGTCATATCTACACAAGTATGGAGCTCAACAGTGACCAGCCACCCCCAGTACTAGAAGTAAATTTCTCATAAATTTTTCCCATAGACTTTATATTAAAAGTTTGAAAGCTTACTCAGGCATAATCAGTTGTGTGGTGACTAATGAGCATAAAACCTATAATTTTATTTAAAATCTGCTTCTGAAATTATATAAACTGTACAGTTATTAAAGTATTTCACAGAATTTAGCATTTTAAATGTGCTTTGTGGATTTACCACATTTGCAGTATGGATATTAGTTACCACGTACCTGGTTAGCCTCCGACATGTATTTGAACTCTTAATATTTGAAAATAATGGAAAATGTACTTGTGGAACTGGTGCGGGCAGTCAGTGTAGAGCTTCATATAACTATGAGAGCATTAATGTAAGATAGAATACCATGTTACTCATTTGTAATTTCTAAGACGATAATAGATTTTTTTTTTTACCCGTTGCCCATTGTGGGAAAAAAAAAAAAAAAAAATATATATATATATATATATATATATATATATATATATATATATATATATATATATATATATATATATATATATATATATATATTAATTCTTTAATGCAATGTATTTTTGTAAGCTGCTAGTTTGCTTGTAACTATATATCTGCGCGGATAATTTGCTAGTTTAGTTAAAGAATGTAGTAGTAGACTAGACTCACAGAAACAATATAGACCCGAATAAGGACTTGGACTGAATGGTTTTGAGGGATTCCGCGATTGACTCTGAAAAAGTCAGCATCATCCTGGAAATCCTCATCCTCGTCATCAGGCACTTTATAGAGGCAAAATCGGCCCTGTGAACAAGACGTATTAAGAAAGTGAAAAAACAGTATTAACAATCTCACAAAAAGTGTGTCAAATCAGTCGTCCAGGTAAAAGAAAAGGATAATTTTTTTTTTTTTTGAGAATCCTTCCTTGAACAGAAATGGAGGACTCAAACATCATTTGTCTCCTATTTACAACCCTATCCTCAAACCTAAAGATGGGATAGTCAGGTCAGGCCCAGAGGTGTGAAAGCACTCGTTCTGGCCCTTAATAATTATGCTAATATGACCCCACACTCAGTGCAAGCTCAAGCAGGTGTGTTAGTTTCAGAGTAGTTTCAGTGTAGTTAGCTCTCCCTTCAGGCAGATATAAGGCAGTGTCCACCAGCATTTTGACCAAAACTGAAGAAGCAGCTTGGATGAGCTGCAAAACGCTTTCAACCAAAATAAACTTTTGTCCAGTTGATAAATTGAATTTCTCCTTTTGCCAATCTCACAGGAATATAGGCTATCCTTTAATACTGGACTGAATTGTATTAAATAGTGTAGACTTGCCTTAAATTTACCAACAAATCTTTCATCATCATCTTCTTTGTTAGCTTTCCCTCTGTACAACTCAAATGTGTCAACCCAGTCATTAAATTGGGCAAACTCTGACTCCAGCTCCTTTGTGTAAAGCTGTAAAAGACAAAGAGTTTAATAAAAGTTTTTTAAAAATAGTTTGTGTATTTTAAAAAATTACCTTAAGTGTAGCAATCTTGCAGTTAATTGGGGATGGAAACAGAGTGTCTTTGGCTTTACTTTTCTTTTTGTCTCCATCAATATGGCCAACTAACAAAAACACATTAGGAACTATTATGAATATCATTTAAAAGATCAATAATATAGATACAAGGCACGGTGTATATTAATGGTAATCCACACAAAACATGCAGTCAAGTGACAAGAGGGGCACCCAGGATGCCAAAATCAGGTTAACAAAAACAACAACAACACACTGCCCAGTTAAACACCAGCACTAAGTCCTTACCAAGTGAGCCTATTCCTTCACTGAGCAAGGACTGGTACGCAGAAGCTGCAATAAACAATAGTGTGTGTTGGGATGTACTTGTACATATAATGCATTTTATTTACACAACTTGGCAAGAACTTGGTGTTTTATCTGATTTGTCTTGTAACTGTTAGTTATTCCATTCTGAATGTCAATGGCAAGTCTTATACATAATACAATAAATAAATAAATAAATAAATAAATAAACAAATAAATAAATAAATAAATAATGGTAACATGACATATTTGGCCACAATTTCAATAAAAATGGGAAGGTGTTAATTATTTTTTAGAAATGATAGTAACCTACTTTTTGCAAATAAAGGTGTCAGAGTGGTACCATCATTCTGTTTAGCCTGTAAAGCAGAGATTAGAGAAGAATTTTAAAGACTGCAAAGTAAATATGCAAAAGCTAACAGGTAGTGATCGCCTACCAGTTTTTCAACAGAGGCGTAGTATTTGGACCACCAGTCAATGACACACTCTGCGGATTCATCAGCGATAGTCCTTCGCCTGTGCCGAGTGGAACGAACACGTCTGCTTGATTTAGGACCCTTAATAATAACAATGATCATTTTAACTTAATAATTTGACTCATAGAAACCACTTAAGTCATATAATTTTACTGGAAATAAGGTTCACCCTTTCCTTCTGAAGTTCAGGGGGTTTAGATGATTGATCTTCTGGTGAGTGACCATCTTCTACTAAAATTTCACAGTGGGGTCTTGGGGTGTCAACAGCAACACTTTCCTCTGCTTGTCTGCTCTGATCTAAAGTAAATAAATGAACAGCATCCAGTGGTGGTTTTAAAATCTATATTCAGATTATATAAGACGAATTTCTCACCTTCAGAGGCTAGTATAGTAATAGTTGTTGAAAATTTGGTAGTTGTGGGTGTTTTGGGAGCAATCAGTGCAGAGGTGACTGGTGGTGGCACATACGTATAAGCTTTTAAATTGCTAACAATGTGATTTCCAACCAGTGTACTGCGACCAAATGCCCGCCAGTCTACAACAGTGATAGTCAAATTGGGGTGGATGCGTTCATTCTCTGGTAACTCCTGCAAAAGAAATGAAAACATGCTGATACAGTTTGGATGTGTAATTAACAACTTCATTTGTGCTTAATTTAACTTAATTTAATATGTTATGTTGTGCATACTAGTTCAATGACATCAAGCTGTGTAGGGAAATTTGGGTTTGACTTGTATTTTGGAATGACGGAAGATCGCAGAGATTTGTTGGCACACTCTATGAAGACCTAAAGAAACAAAAGGCAAGTTAGAGATTTACTTACTTGTACAGATATACTACAAAATTAAAATACAGTTTCTTTATTTACCTGTGGCCGGTCCACTGACAGCAGCTGAACTTTTTTCAATTGTCTCAGACCCCAAAACAAAACCTGCCGATTAACATTTATATAAAAGTAAGTTTTTGATTACAGTAATGACTGGAGTTTGGTTTGTAGTATAAATGGAAACCACATAGTAATACTGAGAATAGTTTTTGATGCCACATTAAGGTAAAGTACATTACAACAGAAGTCATATAAAAACTCAAACCTCCAGCCTGTAAGTGCTGAGGACTGGACGGATGTTTCGAGGAACCACAAGAAACCCTGCTTCATTTGCTTCTAATTGTGGAAGGTTCCAACGTTTGACTTCTTGAATCTGCAGACATTATTACGACAGTTAATTTTATTCACATTGCAACATTTCAAAAACATCAGTGAATGTTACCTCCATAAGTTCAAAAGCCGCCAGCACATCTCCACCACTCAGGTTGCCACAGTGCAGTGGGAAATACTGGAGGGCTGGTGGAGTGTAATCAACAGAAGCCAGTTGGACAGTTGGTACCACCACTGTAGACCCTAGGTATTCAGGTTTACCCTAAATCACACAATAATATATCATAATAAAAGTTATATTTACAGTTCCATAGACTTCAAGATTATGTCCCGGACTGTAATGTTTATCATTACTGTTGAAAATATGCAAAACAATTTCAGAAATAAAAGCGGACAAATGAATTAACATCAATCAAAACATATTTCAAACAACACATGAAGAAAAGAAAATAAGTCTGTTACAATTATATTTAGTCGTACACCGCAGAAACTACAATGTAAATATTGAAAGTGTGAGTCAAACCGTACCAGTGCGTCATCGTCATACACCTCAATAACAATGCGTGGTGGCTCCTTCTCGATGTATTGCAGGTTTCCCCCCAACACGATCTGGTTCATTTGTAAACACTGGTCCCACGATGGACTGAGAGTTTGCTGAACTATCTGCAACAAAACAGAAATATGAGCTCAACCAGAAATGTAGCCATGCTTCCTTTTGTGATGAGTGTGGGGCTTACATTAGTGTTGTGGCTGTGTGAAATGAAGGTGACTCGAGCAAAAGGGTCGGATAAACCGGAGTTGTCTGCAGCTATCAAACCTCTGGCCTGGTACATGTGACACCTAAGCTGGAACTGATGCTGCTCTAAAGACACAAAATGACATGTTTGTGGTGCAGAAATCAGTAGTCAGTAGTTGTAATCAGAGTTGCTTAGGTCTCACCTGTGACGTGCAGATACAAAGGTGGGTTGTTTGGGTCCGCAGCTTCTGTTGCACTAAAGCCTGGAGGCAGGTTGTCTAGCATACTCCAGGCATCAGAGAAGGCCCCAAACCAAAGGTAAACATCTATCTTAGCCTGAACTGACAAGGTTAGGCCTCTCTTCGATGAGGTCTACAGAGATGGAGGCAACAGATAAGTGAGATAACATGTTTAAATCACATTTTGGACAACACTGAAAAATGTCTGATGAAGCCACATCTGTGAAGGCTGTAACAGGAAACTTCACTCAGACTGAGCGTTTGGAGACTACACTTTTGAATTTCCATTGATGCACATGTACAAACTCAGTGATTACCTTCATGAACAGCGTTTGTATTTTTCCACAGTTTATGCCACAGGTTTCTATACTGCTGGAGTACAGAATGTCTCTAGCTTTAACACGAGCATACGCAATGCGTTTATTGTTGGTCAGTAACCAGATGAACAGATCTGGGACTGTGTGCTGCGGCTGCAGAATGCAAAAGAATAACCAGGTTTAAAATATCTTCCTTTTCATAAGTCAGAAGATGAATGATGTGATCTGTACCTCTTCTACAAGGAATCGCAGTTTCTTGGTAAGTTTTCTGGCCTCCCTTAGGACATCTTTGACAGTGTCATTCTTTCTTAACCTCAAGGAAAGAGACATTGCTTCATCGACCATACTTTGCTGCAAATGAGAAGATTTGGTGTTGGTGATATTTCTTGTAGACTGACACTTATCAGGCATAACATTTGACCACACAATCAACTGATGTGTAATCAGGCATAGTTCACACAGCTCTCCAATTTTCTTGAAACACTTAATAATTACAGCAAAGAGGTTTAAATTAATTATACCTCTACACCTTTCATCGAAAATGGTCAAACTCTTGAATTATTTGACAAGCTTAGTATTTTTTTTACCACATTGGTTTTGATGACAAATTGGATTTATCTGTACTGGATCCTGTCAGATGTAATTTCATGCCTGCATGGCCAGTGAACTGAATCCATGAATTTTCTGATTAGATGTGATTTTTGAAAATATCTCACCAGTTCTTGCTTGCACATGGTGAGGCGCTTCTTGTCCAGTAATGTCAGATAGTCTGACTTCACTTCAGCTCTAACCATGGCATCGGCTGTAGTTATGAACTCTCTACAAAAATATATTGCCATTACAAAAAGTGAATTTTGTGCATTTTTATGTCCTAATTAAGATATTTCATATCAAGGAGAACAACAAAAAATAATACTTGGCATCTGTGCAAAACTCTACAAGGACTAGTCTGAGTTGAGGAATTACTCCAGGATCACACTTCCGGTGTGCACTCAGTAACAGTGTCCAAGCTCTCCTCCTTAAGACAAGATATAATAATTGATTAGTTAGACGATAAATCGGCAATGATGCCAAACCAACAATATAATGTAATCTCCACTCACAAATTGGTTGGCTATATTTTCCAGCATGTTGGAGATATAAAGTCGGTAGGTCCTCCCCTCCCACTGACTGATCAGATTGATGCATGGCTTTTGTTTCTCCAGAGGCAGATACATATAGTGCCTGAGAAATATACTGTTATATAAAACAATCAACAAAATACACTCAATTTATGTGTGAAATGGTGGAAACCTGTTGCCTTCAACTAAGTGTGTTTTTTCTGGAGTAGTGGAAGGCTTGGATGACCTTGAAAGGTCAGGGGGCTCTGTTGAGAGGAGAGAGGTTTGCGAGCTGCTGGGAGAAACACTGAAAAGGTCTGTTCCATCTGGGAAATCCAGAGCTTTTCTCCTGTGGCTCAGAACAGAACTGGGTGCAGGAATAGCTGAAGGCAATGCTGGATCAAATATATTGCCGTAATTGCCTAATGAATAGTGTCAATATAAAAGACATAACCCTTTAATAAAAACAAACACAACGTTGCACCAAGAGAAAATTCGATTACTCAAATAAGAATAATGTTCTTACCCAGAGAGAACTCAAAGCTGATTGGTTTGTCTCCAATTTTTCTGTCAATCATAGAGGCCTCAAACAAGGCTCCAAAAAGAAAAAAGTTCTCATTTTCTTCACCCTAAAGACATACAGGTATAAGAATCCTGAAATGTGACTAGTCTTGTTGTTTCCTGAGGACTTAGCACATCTGCTCTGCAGTGTTTACATTTTGAAATAAACCCTATTCATGTTGCACCTTAGAAAGAGGTTCCACAGGGAGAACCTCCGCCTTGCCTTCCTCAGCAGTGCCCCCAGTGGCGGCTGCTGGTGGTCCATCTTTGCCTGGTGCTGTCTTTTCATTCTTGATGTCCTTAATGGTTTTGATTCTGCTCTGCTTTGACTCTGAACCCCCAGATAGGATTTCAACAACTAGTTCAATGTAGATACGTCCCCTAAAACAAATAATTGTACATTTATCCATGGGTATAATCCAGGGATTTTAAATGTATTATTCACCTAAATGAAACTCCTTCTCCAATGCCCTCATTGAGTTCCACAGTGTCATCTCCCAGTGTTTGGGTCCTGGAAGAGCCGTACAGGTTGATCCAAGCAGGACCAAATGTTGGTAGAAAACCTTAGGAACATAGAAAAAGTATGATGTTGCCAGATCCTCTTTTACCAACATATAAACTGTATTTTTTTGGATTGTCAAAAATAGTATTTCAGAAGTTAAGGATGAAAGTAGTTTATCATTTGCAAACTAGAATAATTAAATTTTTGTATTTATATAGTCTTAGAATCAGTCTGCTCTTACCCCGGTCTCCATCCTGTTCATTGGAGATACGCCGGAGATCAAAGTAATGAGTACCTATTGCTACATCATTCACACTTCCTTCATCCCAAACCTAAAATTGTAAAATTGTATAACTAAAAGAACCAAATTTAATAAAATGACAAATGTTGATCCTTCAAAACTACATTCAGACCTGAATCTTCATTCTCTGACACAAAGGTGGAAACATCTCTGTGAAAACGACCTGCTCATTCCAAACAGGATCCGCTGAGGACCGCTGAGTGGATGTACGACCCTGAATTCAAGCATTATAAGACACATACTGTAGATTTGAATAAAAACATATGGCAATGATAAAAATAAAACAGCACAGAAAAGTGACTGACCACTTGTTTGAAGAAGCGAACCTCCACATAAGGGTCAATGAGCGTTGTGCGGTCTCCAATTAAGGCTTTGGTGACATTAGCCATGATGGTGGAGCTGTTTCGAGGCAGACCTTCAGCTTTATAAATCCTCACAGAGAACTGGGCCCAAGGACGCTCAGATGGAAATCCTTCAGGTAAGAGCAGATTCCTGGAGCAAAAATACAACCAACAGATCACAATAATTGACAACATTCTTTATGCTATTCACATAAGTGTATTTAAACTACTTGTCTATCTGTTCTTCTGCACTGCTGGTTTTGCTGACTTGCTCAATGGAATCTCCTTTTTCTGAGACGCTGATGTCACATTTCAGAAATCCTTTCACTCCAGTGTTTTTGTCTCTTGGATCTGTAAGTTGTGCCCATTTGTTGTTAAAGTGATGGCCTGAATAACAGAAAGAAAAGAGGGAAAACCACAGTCACATTTTTATTCATCATCACAAATGGAAAATAATCAGTTACCTGGCTGTTTGTAAACAGTCCAGACATCAAGTTTAAAAGAGCCAATGAAGAAACTACGCAGCATCTTGGAGTGAATGACCTAAACACAATGTAGATACAATTCATATTTAGGGACATAAAATAAAACAACATAATTATGTATCAACTTTTTAAAAATTTAGTATTTACAGACAGCTTGATGACTTTATCAAGGAAGACTTCTTTGTGGGCAAAAATATCAAAAACAAAATACTAATAAGAGAGAAAACACAGTTAGTAAAGGCTATATATATATATATATATATATATATATATATATATATATATATATATATATATATATATATATATATAATATACATGATAATACTTCATACTTCATTGTAAAAAGGAGCATTGGTGCTTTCTTTCACTGATGTCTGCTTCTTCTCATCTCCAATTTCTATCACAACACAGGGGTCAATGTTATCCCCGACCAGTTGACGTGCCTCTGTGATGTTAATGGTAATCTATGGGAAAATGAAAGCCACTCAATTCTCAACCAAGCTTCAATACATGGCTGAAAAATCAAACAGTTATGTTGAGTGAACACTTACCCTGAAGTTTTGGGATTTCCCTTCACTGTCCTGAATATGGGTATTAAGTTTGGACCTGTATAGTCAGTGGTTAAGCAAATAAACATTAAATGTTCTGAGCAGAATTCAAACCCCTTTCTTCTGTGTGCAAGCCTTATGTTTTATCAGTTACACCATCAGAGCTAAGAGAATATCTGCCACTGACATGTCACAAAGTAGTGACCTGCACAATGGAACAATGCTGATTTGTTCAAAAGTTAATATGTGAAAGAGGTGGAGAGGCAATTTTAAGATGACTTGAAACAAGTCAAAGGTTTGGCAAAGAGGGACAAAAATACAAAAGATAATAGTGATTGTCACTCAAAAGCCACTCAATTTTACAGTGACCCAAAGAAATGAAGAGATCAGTTTTTGTCTAAAATTTTAGGAGTAAAAATTAAAAAATGTTATGCCTTTTATAGTCAGGTCTCTCCCTTCTATGGACAAAACGCTGATTCTCATGGTCATCTTCCTCCTGACATTCATCTGAGTGACTCTCTGCTTCGGCCTCTGGAAAAAAAAAAATCTGAATTAAATGATATTGCCAAGCCATTATTATGCTCATGTGTACAGTGTCATTAAATCTTTATGACAAGACATCTGTAACTCCAGTGGTTTTCTATATTGTCTGTAACAACCTCAATTACACAATAATTATGACTGCATATCACCTCACATGTACAAGTGACTGTTTGACAAGGGTTTGTCTAAACCACACAGGAGGTAGGCCAGTGAGAGTGTTTATTTTACGGATCTTACCCAAAGCTCCCTTGTTTGCTAGGATCAGGTCTGCCTTGGTTTTCTTTTTCTTTAACTTCCTCTTGTTCTTCATTTTCAGACCAAAGAGGTTCTTGGCTATTCTGTTAATTCAAAAACGCCAGGTTAAAGATGTGTAAAATGTCCTACTATCTATATTGTTGAAGATAAGAAAAAAACAAGGAGGAAAACAAATAGAAATGATTAGTAAAAAACTAGAATAAAACAAAGACAAAAAAATCTATGGCGCAACCAAGCTGCTGTTGTACCCATGAGAGAAAGGTGGTTGTTGACAAGTGCTCAACGTATATTATATAATCATTTATTTATTTCTATAAAATGAAAATACATTAGAATATTAAAATACAAATTACTTGACAATACAATACAAAATACAGTGTAAGATGTGTGAGAAGAAAGATAGGAAAATAGTAGAAAGAAAGAATAGAAATAAAATACATTTCATAAAAAAACTTTAGATAAAGTGTATTTTAAGGAGAGACAGGATTTACAGAGAAAACATGAAAAAAATAAAATAGAAAAAACAATGGTTTACTTGAATGTTGGTTCCATTGCAGTTGACAAGAGGCAAAATCAAATCCTACAGCTTCAACCGTTTGTTCTTCCAAGCTAGACTGAATGACAGCACTTCTGCAGTTGCTTAGATATGAGGCAAGGCTAGAGGAGGAGGATGGCTCATTGGTTTTCTATGTAAACAATTAAGTAGTCTCCCTTGAAATTGTTAACGAGCCACTTAAAAAGACATATAGTTAATGTAATACTATACATGCAAACAACCAAGATTTAACAAAACTGTACAGTGGCATCACATTCTCACATCACATTAACATTCCTGAGAGGCTAATAAAATGTAATGCAGACTGGGAGCAGCTAAAATTAATATAGTTGCATGTAAACATGCAACATTATTGGAGCATGGCCCCATCACATACTAAAATCTGAAAACCAAATTGTCAGTTTAATCTTCAAAGTGATAACTATTCTGGGAAGAGTGAAGCCCTTGTATGTATGACTGTGATCACATGAGCAGGATGTGAGAGAGGCAGAGTTAACAAACCCACCTCTGGTAAACAACAGTTGGATTTAGTCTCTGAGAGGAGCCTGTCACGGAGATCACACGCACTGTTACAGCTGCAGTTTTACAGGAACCTAGTGTTCAACTCAAGCCACTGTAAAACAAATACAAAAAGTTACAGTTACAACAAAACCATGTTATAATTATAATACTTGTAATACATAAAAGAAATACTTACTTTTTGGTAACAGAGGTTTATGGCCATGAATACACTCAAATACAATATTGCAATACAATTTTATAAAACTAAAATAAACTAAAACAAAAAAAATATTATGACAAAATAAACACACTCTATTTAATCATCATTTTATTTTGAAGTCTGTTAAGTGCATTGAGTTTACATATTAATTAATGCAAAGTTTTTGCTTAAATGTAAACTGTGGAGTTCAACAACACATTTTGACACTTAATGCAAATAAAAATAAATCTTAACCCCCACCTTCTCACCCCCTCATTGTGGGAATTTATACTATCAGCACCAAACATTCCCTACAGGACTAAGGTGTGTTTTCATGTGACAGATTTATAAACTACAGACAAAATTTGTACCAAAAGTTATAAAACATTACAAAATGAAAGACAAAAAAGTGGACATTCAAATGTCATTACACAGTGATACTTTCCTACAAAAATTCTCAGATACTGACAGATACTAGCTCGTACACAAACTATGTAGAAAAGTGTTGGCTTAGCACTGATTTTGACAGTCCATTAAACATTGTTTGGTTTAATTAGACAACTATTTGCCCTTATTAAATACTTCTAATTTCCTGCTTGTCATCTTCAAAGTAGACAGGGAGTCCTCACAGCAATGTCTACAACAAAGAAAGCGCGAATGTAATCAACATACCAAAAATCAAATAACATTTAACTTATTTAAGCATAGCTTCTAATTCTATATTGTTTCCAGAGTTTACATCACATCAGTAAATAAAAATTTGTGGGTATAAAAACACAAATTTGAAGTACATTTATATAAGATAATTGACATGATGTAAACAATTACATGCAATATAAACCCATCTTGTAAATTACATTTCTAGTATTGCATATTGTTCAAACGGTAAGTTGTATGAAGCTATATTGGTTAAAAGTTTTCAAGGTGCTGTATGTTTCTATACACCTAATATACACCTTGTAGTAATATTCTGTAACATTCATGGCATAGGAAACTTATGGTAATATGGACTGTATATAAATGAGAGCAAAATGAAGAAAGAAGAAAATGAGAGGAGCCAATATGCCTTGTACTTTTCTCTATAATTCATATACAGTCTCTGGTAGTATCACATCAATTCTATGAAAAACAACAAGAATCAACTATAAACTAACAGACTAAGTTGTTGCCTCTTTTATTCAGCGAGGAATGCAGGATAACAATACTGACCAAAGCAGGCAGCATTAGGGTGGAATGTGCAAACCGCCTCTCCTACCTGAGTTTGTGGGACATGAGAGAATGAGGTCTTAGGAGCAGCAGCCTTAAAGATTGGCTGAACTGGAGAAGTTTAAAACATTGTGTTGGACTTTAAAAGTACAGAGCATGTCAAATGATGCTTCAGTAGACTTACTTCTGCAGACACCACTAGGGAAGCACTAATAATGGTGAAACAAATTAATTAAATGTTCCAGGTAAGGCTTGAAGTAGTTAAGTACAAAATGTAGCTTGACTGATGGAGGGGCTGCTTGATTCTTTATGGAAATGTTATGGAATTTTCACAGTATGGCACTGAACTTATCCATCACCATGGAGACAAGCAAGAAACATCACAAGGCCAAGTTACAGGTAAGGTCTCTGAAGCAGCTCCCCATCCACAGTAAGAACATATGTTTGTCAAGGTAGTTTTAGCAATAAAAACTGAATAAATGCAAGATAGATGGTTTAATGCCATACTGTGGAACATTGCAGCCAAAGCAATGACATATCCATGGAGACAATCAGACGGCGTACCAGAAAAGTTACATGGTGAGCCTTAAAATAATATAACAAGAAAAAAAGGTGACTAGTCCAGTTACAAAAGTGGAAGTGTGAAATCTTCATAGTCCATAACAGAGTAAAAAAAAACAGCTGGATAAAACTAGATGAATAGAAAAGGTGGAAAGGTTGAACCCTAAAAGGCAGTTCTAACCTGTAAGAGCATTAATACCTGCAGGAGACAGTATGAGGGCTTGTAGGATGTCAGACAAAGACACTATCCCCCTAACCACCTCTTCACAATCCACCAACACCAAACGATGCACCTGACAAACAGACAACCATAGTTCATATTAAGAAACATTTAGTGAAATAACAATGCAAATTACCTCAGCCTTAGCAATGCGGTTCATAATGGTCTCTAGAGTTTCATAGGGGTAACATTTAAGTACACCCTCCACCCAACAGGTCCTGGAAGAAAGGGCTTCTCGCATTGTCATGTTTAAGTTGTTGTAGTTCTTTTGAGCAGCAAGGTTCTGAAACAAAACACCAAAATGAATACAATATATCTTTTACATACATATAAGTGTATCATTAACTATGAATGAACTTACAATTACATCAAACCTGGAATACAGAGCCACCACTTTGCCTAGAGAGTATGACACTTAAATGTAAACCAGACTTTTTCTAACTGAATGCAAAAGGTTTTGCAGAAGAATCAAACCTTGATCATTGACCACTGGTAAAGCTGATACTCTTCTTTCTACAAAAATGGTTAGTGCATCATAGACAGAGGCGGATTCCTGCACAGTAGCAATCTCTCTAAAGGTTCCAATCCCCACTTCACTGATGCGTCTTTGCAAAAATCTAGGTTTAGGAATCAAGTCACCCTGATGAAGAGGGAAGAAAGAAATAGATGTAGATTAAAGTGCATTGAGAACAGTACATAGAATAGTACCTCAACTTACAAAAATATAAAGAAATTTGAGAATTCGCTTGTGAGTGAGGATATGAAGGACATTTCCTGATGCGGGATCAATGATGGGCAATCGATGGATCTTATTTTTCAACAGCGAATAAACTGCTTCAAACAGACTACAAAGGAAACAGAAAAACCCTAATGTAAACACTGAGATATGCTTCTTCTAAAGATCTTGCTCTTTGTATATTTATGATCCTGTATCATGCAATATTGACTCCTGTGCTGTTCTTTTAGCCATGTTGGAGCATTGTTAGCTCATCCAAAACATACAAGAGTTTTGTTTTCCATTGATACATGTTTGAGTAATCCTAAATATCTTCAAAGCTCAAAATGCTGTTTTGTTTTGATGTCATTCAGTGGTAGTTTTAAACTTATCAACTATTTCTAACCAAAATTGACCAGATATATACCACAGTACACTATAATAACTATACATTATTGCCCTTCCTAAAAATTATTTTGTTTTACCTTTTGTTCAGTTGAGATTACCACAGAATGTCTACAAAATCTCCTGGTGCACCAAAAAGCTGTTGAAGATGTTTCGACAAGTGTTTGAGAGAACACTGCCAAAATATGCAAGATTTGTTTGCTAAACATGTGCGAATGAAACTAAACATAACTCCATGTATGTTTTTGATGAGGAAAGTTGAATAAAAATAACTTAAAATAGGCTCTTTAGCATATTTTTCACCTGCACTCAGGAGTGATGCTGATCAGCTTATTAGAAGCATATTCGAGGTAGATCTCTGACAAAGAGAGTCACAAAACAACTTATAATGGTTTGGAATTAATAATAATAATAATAATAATTTAAAAAAAAATCTAATAATTTTCATTTGCATTTTAGTACTAACCTCTCCAAGTCTCTATTTTATGTTCTTCCAGCTCATAAATCTGAACCTGCACACAAAGTACATAAACTACATAATACAACAGTCAACAATGTTTTATGATAAAACAGCCAAAGTTTAAATTCTTGTAAGTTTGTAGTTAGGTACAGCCATTCAATATTAACCGGATCAAACTTTTGTGACACCAATGTGCTCACCAGAGGAGACTTGTAGTAGCGATGAAGAATGTTGATAAAGTCAGTGATTGTCAACATGCCTAAGTAAGATCAGATAGGAAAAGCATTGTTGTTACTACACATTTTACAAAAACAAGCAGCATCAGCAGCATCAGCAGCATGCGGGCATTGTGTAAAAGATTAGCTTTGGAAACTACTACAAGTCTTTGATAGGGAGTTCCAACAGGCCTAAAGTGATCCCAAGCCTGGCGTTCCTGTTATGTAACACAGCTGAGGTTGTAATGGCCTTTGAGCAAAGTTTAATGTCTAACCTGCTAAATGCAGACCCACACGACTGCTCTCACTTGAAACCTCTGATCCACAACTGAGAAACTTAAACCAGGACGTGCCTAAAACCAGAGAGCTCCTCAAAATAGGTCAGAAGCTGAAACAAATCCTACCATTTATTCAATCTAATAATGTTATTGTTAATGTTATGTAACAGCCCATTAATGAAATAAGATGAAAAATGTTGTGAAAGAAGTGATCAGCAACTTCACTCATATATAACTAAATTAGTTTCCTTAAAGAGGACATTTTATGAGCTTTAATTTAACTGAGCTGTTATATTTCAATTGATTCATGCATGTTTGAGTAATCCTGTATTGTTCTGCACTGAAGGTTTGAATAAATGTGTTTATTAGCTAGCGCTACCCACTTCTCTGTTATCACTTGCATTTAAAAAAAATAAAATCAGATTGTGGGTCATACAGCAACGGTTTAAAAATCTTGTGTGACCCTTTTTAATTTTTTCTATGAAGTTGTTTTTGATTAACTTTTAACAATATAATACAGAACATAAAATATACGATAAAAGCATGTTGCCTTTTTAAATAATAGTGTAAAACTTTAATAATAATTTTTGTGGTGTTCAAGACTATGTGATACAACAGTAAGTACTTGAATATTTCAAGTATCTACTGGTTTCCATTTGTCTCTCAAATGTAGTTCCAGAGTATAGCATAACTTACCTACAAAACACTGAAGCTTGTTGTCCCAAAGTGGTGCTGCTCGAACACCATTTGCCACTAAAGCAAAGAAGGCCTTTTTTACCTGACAAAAATACAAAGATCTTCACTAATATGCAACTAGAATGATTAAATGCAGACCATTATTGATTGTTGATGATGGGACAGCTCTTACTTGCAGGGTTGTGTCGAAAATGACCAATTTGGAACTGGTGGGGATGGCATCGTAGCAACAGTGGCTTTTCATAAAGTTCATATAAATAAAGGTGTCTGGGCCTGCGGTGTCGCATGATGAAAGTGCATGCGTGGCATATGGACATTTACCTAAACACAAACACTTCAGGATTGTGTTACATCTCAGGGGCATGTCTTCAAGACTTTAGTCCTAAGGTTACAGCTACTCCACAGTTCTGGCAGTTCCTAAACATTTAACACATGGCTAAACACATAACTTGTTCATACCACTGGTCTCTGTAGAAAAACTGGACTCCTCTACATCTTCATCATCATCATCAAACTCAAATAATGGAATCTGAAAGAGAAATCTGTAATTGAAAACTCATGTACAGTACTTAGGTAAACCTCACTACGTCAATACACCACAATCAAATTAAAACATTTAATAAATGTTGACCAGTAGGTTAGTAGGTTAGCTTATTTGCTTAGGTGTTTATTTCTGATTTTCAATGTGCGACAAAAGAGATCCTTGAAAAGAGCAGAAGGAAATAGCGGCTTCTCTGGTATGGCAGCCTTTGTTGCTGTTTACATTGTGCAGACAAGAACATGCTGTAGGGTACAAGGCATAGTATTGTGTAAAGTACTTTTTGGTTTATTTAGTGAATTAGTCTACATGCACAAGTGTTTCTCTGCCTTACCTCAGCAAGAGGCTCCATGGCTGGGAGAGCAGTCTTTGTGGAGACAGAGCAGCTAAAGACGCTTCAGGCAAAACAGCACTTGAAGACAACCTGCTAACTGTCAAACCAAACTATATAAAGAGCCATCCAGGTCAAAGAGACCAGACCAAGACATGACAAGAAGTTTGTCAAAATGAATGATGCAGAGAGAAGAATTCAGAGACAAAAGCTCAGTATGAGAATCTGTGTTGGACTGGCCTGAGCGAGCTGGGTGTGAAAGTGTGGAAGAGACGAGGTCTAAATCTGGACTGAGGGGCGAGAGGCCTGAGCTATTCTCTCTCTCTCACTCACACACACACACACGCACGCACACGCACGCACACACACACGCACACACACACACACGCGCACACACACACGCACACACACACGCACGCACACACACACAAGGAGAGGGAGAAAAAGGGAGAGTGAGAAGGGAGAGGGTGGGGGATTGAGGGAGACGTTAAGTTTATAAACATCACGGCCCACAGGCAACACGCCTAGGCAAAGAACTGTATCTGCATCCATCTCATGATATACACCATTTAAGTGCAGAAGCCCAGTGTTTAGTTTTTAACTGTTCATTCTAACATATGTTTTTAACTTCAACATAAAAACTACCTTATATAGTTAAATAATGGTATCACTTAGCAAACATGGAAGTTTAGGGGAGCACTAAGCTCAAAACAAGGCACAAATAAAGTTAATTTCTTCACATTTTGTCATATTTAAGTTTATGGCTTTGCACAACGTTCAAGTTTCATTGGGCCATTACATGTTGGACTATTTTTAGATTGAGGCTGCAGTCAACTAACCCTTCCTTAAGTTATGACCGCAGCTGTAAAATCTACGGGCAAGTTGAAAGGCATTTACTGAATATAAGAAATCTAATAACTTTAAAAAAGAGCTGGTATTTTTTTCCCCTTGCAGACGGACAGTTGATTTACTGTAATCCCACAGAAGCACTCAATGCTGACAGAGGACCCCCGTAATAATACATGCACATCTAAGGCTACTGTCACTGCTTAATATAGAGAAAGATATTAATAGTTCACAATTACACTTCAAAAATGTCATAAACTGTGCTGACTAGCCATACATTTCCACAATGTTTACATATTGGACAAACCCTACACATGCAAAATCAAGAGAAAAAAATAATACCCAGAAACCAGATTTTTGATTGTATCACAAATAACTTTTATTTTGGAGGCACACCCTCAGTTTGAATAGGCTTTAAAGATAACAATGCACAATAAAGTTAGTAAAAATATAACAATATTATTAATACTTACAACCGGGTAATGGCAGCCTCACATGCCAATGTTAAGGCCAGACTTTTACTATACTTTTCAATAGCTTTAGCATCTTCAGACAAACATGAACATAGCAATAGAGTACCCACTTTATGCCATCTACCTTTAACCCTAATGTAACACATCAATCAACAGGTCTAATAACTACCAGCTATCCATTTGGCATCTGTTATCCAGCTGCTTACAATCTTGCCTGTAAACAATAACAATATTCACAACTGCTGCGCCAATGCACAATTCAAATACAATATAGGAACTTCAGAGTTATGGCAAAAACAATCTGGTGGTAAAAGATGTCATGAAGGCATACTTATTTTCACATATTTAAATGTTTTTTCAAGTAACAATTTCAGAAAAGGCCAGTAGTCCTATAGCTTTTCAGCATTGTGCCTAAACTAAAAAAAAAAATAAATTCAAGTATTTCCATCTGTATTGTTAAATGAATCATACTTCCTGTGCACCCACTGAACAGACACTTAACTGCAGAAATCCTTACAACCCACTACAGCATCTGTTGCAATGCAAATCACCTAGCTAATTCACACAAAAATCTAGAACAGTTTGAGCCACAAGAGGGCAGTGTATGCATTCCAACTTTAGTTTTGTAATTTCATAGGTGTCCAAGTGAAATGTATGAAATGTATATTGGCTGAGGGATGTCATATAATTTTATATGAAGGTTAACTTTATAATAGTGACCCTTGTTTGGTTGTGTTGTTATAAAAGTGTTTATGGTAGGTGGATAAATGCCTGGAAGACTGTATATAAGCACCAGATTTTAGTAAATGGAAGCTCAAGTATGAATGTTTTTCTTAGCACCACAATATTGTAGTTCAAGATTAACTCCTTATGTTACATTTAGTCTAAAATCACCTGTCTGGTACGTGGCAAGAATAACTTGTGTGCTCATTGGAATTGTAGCTATGGTTCTAACATTTGAAGTTGCTTGGGTATTGAAGGAAAGCTTCAATTTGCTCCTAAACTATGGTCAAACCAAATCTCAGAGTGAGGCAAACTGTTGTGGCAGCAAGCTGTGGGAGAGGCTGGGCTGAGGGCTGACACAGGCGCTGCTCGTCACACTGGAGCAAGGACTTGGGGAGAAGGGAGCACTGGAAACAGAGGCTATTTCACCATCTGAGCCTTCATCTCCCTCAAACGAATGCTGAGTATGTGTGACCACCACCCTGAGGAGCAACAAAAATATTAGTGTACACTATATCTAATACCGACCCAGCATACAGACAATGTTCAGTTATAAAATAATTGGCAATAAAAAGTAGACGCATACCGGGATGGACTGCCAAAATCTTGCTTCTGAGGTTCAATTCTTGATATGTAACTACACTTGGACCACTAAGACACACAAGATAAGCCATTACACTAAATCTATATATTATGTCAGCACTAAAAAGTAAGAAATTAATTTCAATAATTACAATGTGAGCACAGTCATTGGTCCCGAGATGCACTCCTTTCTGACACAAAGTCATCAACAAATTTATTCCTAATGAAAGAATGACATCATTATAAAAAGTTCTGCAGCTTATTTGTGTTTTAAACACTGGATGCAAACCTTTGGTCCTGTTGCTCCAGTGCCTCTGTTCCCACTGGTCTAATAAAATGTTGAGGTATCTGGGACACTCAAAGAAACGCAGGTATCGAGATGATGACACTGAAGGAAAGATGCGCTCAAAGTCTCCTCTGCGCATCAGCTCGTCCTCACTCTCAGCCAAGACACGCACATCCTCTGGAGTCAACACATCCAGCAATGTGGAGAAAAAGTCCTGCAGAAAGCATACAACATGTCATTTACAAAGCAACATAACAAGAGAAGGTGATTTGTGATGGGCTGTGGCACAGTTAATACCTGGTCAGCAAATCGTTGAGTGAGGTAAAAGGCCCGTTTCACCTTTTCATCAGCAGATAAATCAGTTTTGCTCCTCTCTCTGTGACCTCCACACAAACTATTGAACAAAATAAAATAATAAAAAACAGTATGTATTGTAAAAGTTCATAAGGGACATGTTTTTGCTACATCTCATAAAGACGTAACACATATTTCTTGTATTTTTGTGTCTTACATCACAACATTTTCTTACCTGCCAGTGGAACTGGAGGGACTACAGTTTGCAGTAGACATAACTTCTTTTTGGGGAATATGAAAACCTGCCAGGTTGAGGAGATCTCTGATCATTTGACCCTTGATGGCAATGTCCAGTGCACTATTGGAATGAAGACTGCACCAGACAAGCAGCAGAGTTACACGAGTAATCAATAACTATGCTCCTATGTACTACAGTACTACCTGGGTGATATGTTGACTTCCAGTATCCATGGTTTGAGTTTCTCATCCAACATGATGTCAAAGCCAAACAGCTCATGACAGCTGTATGGGGTTTTGAGGTGCATCTTCAGCAGGCTGGTCACATAGGGCTCCGACCTAAACACAACAGAGCACTGTAACTATCTGGTTCAGTTTTACTGGCCTTTCTCATAGATTCAAAACTTACGCTATGATAGTTTTGATCACAATGTCTTTGATCTTCTCCCATAGCAGTGTGGTGTTGATCCCTTTTGCACCAAGATACTGCCACAAAGCCTTCAAAGCCCTGTTAACAAAATCAAATAAAAATAAGAAATAAGACTGAAAACTGACCAACAGTAGAAAAGAAGGCAAGAAGGACATACCATTTGTGACCCTGACAAGCTTTGTCATCACTGTTTGCCTGATATTCAGAGTTTTTCTTGTTCACGCTATAGTTGGTTAGATGCATGAACTTATTACCCAGTGTCTTCATGGAGGAAGAATACCTAAAGAAATATACATTTAAAAATTAAATCATGTAAAAGTAACCATTAATTAAACTAAAACTCTAGAACCGACTTGCAGCTGGCAAATCGAACAAGCCCATCAGAAAAGATGTAGATCCTCAGCGGGTCATAGGAAGTCACATAAGCGTAGATACGAAGGTCAAATTTGTTACCACTGATGAGGTAAGGCTTGTGTAGGTACCTAAGAGACACAACAACACAGTAAGAAAGACAACTAAGCCCTGATGAAGACCAGGTTGGTCAAAACATGTTGGCTTTGGCCATTTAAATAAAGGCCTTTTAACTATATTTTTCCTCATGCGATTTTTTTTCTTTATTTCTTTGGAGTGCCTGAAGTCGTTGTGTTTTAAGTAAGAAAGACATGCCAGAAGATTCCATTACAGCACCTCAAACATAAAAAATTAGCTGGTTTAAATGAGCACACAGCTTTTAATGGGTTGATGCAAAGAACAACAATCTACTTTTGGACTAGGAGAGGTCTCTTCCGGGGCATCTGACTCCACTTGTGAATGACCTGAATGCCCATTCCTCGAGCAGAAGCAGGCTGGTGAGGAAAAAAAAAAAAAAATGTTTATTACAAATGCTTTTTATTTTTTTATCCTGAATATCACATTATAAAATACATACTGGTTTGATGATCCATTTTTGCTTGGTACCACCATCCTCCCAGGCTTTTCTGAGCTGTTTAATGTCCTGAGGAAGAATAAACGTGCGAGGGAAGAAGTTGAATTCTTGTTTTCCAAAGCGAACTGCCATTTTAGACAAATTCCTCCACAGTCGATCTTTTCTGCCAATTTGGAAAGTCCCTGGGAAGTGATTCAGCTGTGACAGGAATACAGCCAACAAGTTATTACATTTACACCAAAAATGTATAACCCCGGTGTTAAACCCCTGTTACCTTCTGGTGTTCCCCTAGGGTCTTAAAACAGACAGACTTCATGTGGTGACCCCAACAGCCCAACCAGTCATGGCTTTCTACAATACATAAAACAGTAAATGTAGCACAGTCCTTTTATAGTCTTACTCACTTTTCCTACATTGAAAAAGTACTTTTTGTGACTTTGAAGTGGGATCTAGCTATAGTATTTTTGACAATATTTGGTGTGACCGTGCTCATCTTCCATTTCAGCAACCTCCTCTGTTCAATGGGCAGCAGCTCCACTGCAGAAACAAACAGAAAAGAGATTAAAGGCTGTAATTCAACACAAAAAGATAGTATTAGCATATAAATATTCTTAGACATATTATATCATCATCATATTCTGTTAAATTGGTGTAGCATTACCTTTCTCATTAGCAGTGCTGAAGTAGAGAGTTGGTGGAAAAAAGGGGAACAAACTGGGAACAAGAGCAGGTTTCTCCTCGCGGTCATCTTCAGCCCCCAGTAACATTGGCTCCTCAACACTAAAAAACAAGCACATATATAAATCACAAATGACACATAAGAGAGACATACATCAGCGGTATGTCACCATGCACAAGCACAGCTTATACGGTTGGTGGCTCAATCCAAATCAAGTATAGGACCCAGTGCTCTACTTAAATTATTCATCCTCACTTTGCATCACATCTCTCTTTCACCACTAGCAAGTTTCAAAGATATTTTAGACTTATGTGGCTAAAGTATGTATGTTTAGTACCATATGTATCGTGTAGCCATTTTCAGGGAAACAGTTTGATGAGTTTCTAAAAATTTACAGTAAACAATTCCATTTTATAAATTAGTTGAGGCAAACAGCAAGTCAGGTAAAAAAAAAAAAAAAAAAAACACCTGTTAATATATTTCACTCATCTACAACAAGAACAACTCCTGATTCTGCTATTCTGCTTAGTGACTATAAATAAGACACTTAACTCTGCTGTCTACATTAGCTAATGTTGTTTTAAGTTCGCCAACTTCTAAATAACAGAAGCTGGGATCAGCTATCTGTCAAGTTGGTAACAAGAGTGGACTATGGTCTGTACAGATGATCGTTTGCACTCTGTACCAGTAACATGACACTTCTGTTTGAATTTGGGGTCAGCTAAATCACACACCTTTGACAGCAACAAAGCCCTCAACTATAGTTTACAAAAAAGCAACTAACTAATAAAAAAAAAAAAAAAGTAATTACTCACATGATAGGCATAAAGACTCAAAGATGGGTAATCATGAATTGACTCAGGTCTCTCCTCTATGAGAAAATCCTTCAACACTACTAGGTTAACGATGGCATCTTTGGGTCCTCGGATGCACTATGCTTACCAGACAGAAATTAGCTAGGAGGGGTGTGGGGTAGAAAACCACAAATAGCAGCCCCTTTTCAGGCTATTTTTTGCAGAGAATCAGCTCCCAGTCTTTGGTGGTGACTTCTACTGTGGAGGCCATTAATGCAGAGTACAATACATGTCACAAAGCAGCCGACCTTTCCACCATGCTCTGCTGCTTTCAGCTGCATTCACAAAGCCTCCAACATCCCACAGCATCTGACTGTATGGTAATATAATGTAAGTTACACCTGTGAAGGGGGGAACTGTTGACTATGTTAAAGGATCATAACACATTTTGTTACGTAGTTGTATAAATGACTGATCAATAAACAAAATTTTAAAAACAAGTTTTGAAGAAAAATGTACAGGGCTGAAGTGGAGGAGTGACCTGAGCAGGTGTCAATCTCACCTGTAGTGGTCAGGATTTTGTATGGACAATGAACAGCTACAATACTGGGAATAATGAGTTGTACCTTGAAAGTATCGCAAGAGATGATGTAGATGAGGCACCATTGACCGATGAGCAATCTGAGCCATCTACAAAATATGAGAAAAATTTTAAATAACTTATCTTGGGAAAATGTATACACTGTAAAACAATCTATAACATCTAAACGAAATGTGCAATAGTTCAATTTAGATACATTTTAAATAATACCATCATCGCTGCAGGCATTTTCCAGTTCATCAGGTAGGTCCTCTTCAGCCCCGTCAACTTGCATGTCACTTTCAGGGCTGGGGGCACAAATATTGTAAATTTTACATAAATTAAAAAATAGACAAGTTTCTGTATGTACTCACTCATTGAGGAATGGCCCTCCCACAGCACACTCCTCTGAAGAAGAGGAAGGGGTTAGAGATGATGGGTAAGAGGATGCAGCTTCACTGTCTTTAGTTAGATGAATGGATGAGATCTGGTTTGTGACAGAGCCTACCAGAACCCCTGTTGAACCACAAAAATATAAAAGATTTTAACAATATTGCATTTAGTCAAATTACTGATTTCTTATTTGGTCTGCTTACTAGAGTTTATATCTAGTGCTAGGGTCTGGTCTTTCTGAGTGGGTTCTGGTTTAGTTGCAATGTTGTCATTTGAAGTTGTTGAATCTGCCAGAGGACTGACTGTGAAAGGACCATCACCCTCACAAAAACGTAGATTCACCACAGCTGGGCTCTTCTCTTGGGGATTATTATTAGTGAGATCTGCAGTTTTACTCTGTTTGGAAGACACTTTATTTGTGCACTTCCCTTCGACTTTGGGGATTTTGTTGATGGAACAGTCAGTCGTCACAGCAGTTGCCTGTGGCTTAAAGGTGCTAAGGCATAGAGGTTGTCCTGAAGGCAATGAAGTTAAAGAGCCAACCTAAAATGCCAACAGCGGGATAGAAATAACATTTGGTTATAAGACATTATAGCATTATTATACTACATTTTTAAAAATCATTATTCTAATAATACCCACCAAATGTCCGATACTTTTTTGCAGTGTTTGTTTTCCTCTTACGAAAAGATCCTGGTGATCAACTGATAAAAGATGGCTGAGCTTCAAAGGTGCATCACCACTTGTCTCCACTTCTCCACGGGTTTGTAAACAGTTTCCAGGAAGTTTCCGGTGTTTCTGCATAGTAACCGTGACTTGGTTTTCCTTTTTAGGATTAGAAGATTTAGTTGGGCTCCCATTGAGCTGTGGCAGGACTGGAGGTACACCTGGATCAATGGTAATTTGACTCTTGGCAGTAGGTTTACTTCTGTCCCCACACCCCAGTTCTGAAGATGCCTTTAAGTGTCTCATGAAAGAAGCATCTAAACAACTATTTAAACAAGGTGAGCGATTGTCTAAATCTCTTCTCTTTGTCTCATCTACAGATGATTGACTACAAGGCACTTTTACAACAGTCTTGGCATTTGTACTAACAGAGTTGGTGGTACAATTAGCACCAGAGGAGGATAAAGGCTGGCCCCCACCCCAAAGGTACGATTGGTTGGTGGGCATGGTACAGCTTTAGAGCAATAAATTGGGCGGTAATGGTCGAGTAAATGACTACTCCAGACTAACTTAATGTGCTGTTGTAGATTGTCAGCTCCAACAGTGTCTTGGAAATCCTGGAAATTCCTGGATTGGTAAAGCTTGAGAAAAAGTTCTTGCTATAACTTGACCAGATGTAATCATAGCTGCAAATATAATGATCGCCAAATAACTCAGCATCTCAACATTTTCCCTGCAGCTGGAAGTTTTGACGGCACTGGAGCCACATGAAAAAAATGCTTCATTCAAATTGTGTTCAGTGCCTCATGTAACAAGACCTGACCGGCTCTTTTATGCAGAAGAGGGCGCACACAGACTTGATCTCTTAATAGTGATGAGGACTGGAATGACTTCTAGAGTTGCTTCATTCTTCGTTTTGACTTTACAGGCTTCTCCCAACACTGTAACAAAGCACCAGACAAAACGAGAACATAATTTAACTGTAGCAAGCTCTTCAGTTTAGACATTTCCTGAGTTATTTTCCGACTTTGAATGACGTTTGTTTCCCATCTTGAATAGAAAGAAACGTTGCACATGTCATACCATGTGCCTTCCACAACTGTGGCTGAAAATGTCCACCTTTAGCATAATGAAAAACAAAATTAAAACGGGATACTGTGCGTATTTCATAAAATAAACAGGTGAAGCGAAAATTAAACTGACTTGGATCACCCAAACGAGGCTGTCAGAGAGAGTGACCTGATCTGTGTCTTCTCTTCTGTGTTTACCGCGACACGTTCAGTGATCTTAGCCATTAGCTTAGCAACAACTAAACAGCGCCAAGTGTCCAGTGACTAGACCATAGCACCGACACAAAACAAGGACAGCAGAACAGGGCCTTACACACATATACCCACCTCGTCGGGTGATTTCTACGCGGAATAATATGTCCCCGTATTTTGGCGTGTCCTGTGTGCACTTTATCCCATCAGATTGGCGCTAAATAAAGTCTATGGCCTCCGGAGATCGTGTATGAATAGGAGGTTCACTCCAGTGTCGGATTTCCCCCTCACAAATCACAGAGCGGTCCTGAGCATAAAGCGCCCTCTACCGGCGTTGTGCGGGTGACACAATCTAAGTCAACTGTGACGAAGAACATGATATATTTTATGGCTATTAATCACGTGTAACTCGTAATAATAGGTAGTAAGTCTTCATAATATAATGCCCATAGTCTAATGTTCTTAGCCCAGAGGTCCAAGTTACTTGCACATAACTCATTATGCCACTAGAGGGCTTACTCTGAGACTAAAACGTCCTGCTACATTCGTACCTGCCATCCTACGGCCCTTACAGGTCTGATTACATCAGTCAGTGTAACACTGATGCACTAGGCCTATTACTACTGTAACGTTAGGTGATAAAGGATTCACAAGTATTGTGAAGTATTATTTTTCTTAAAAAAAAAAAAAGGCGGGTACTACTTTTGTGCATAATCTAGACACATGTTTAAGTATAATTTATTTTTTTATTCTATTTGTACAAATACACATCTGAATATTTGTGTATGGTATTTGACACTAGATGCTTATGACAATTTGACTACTTTTTATTAAATGCATTACTATACATTTTTGCTTTGTTATTCTGTTATAACGTGTAAGATATAGTGTCCAAGTAATTTCCCTCATAAAGTTTGTCTAATTAACCTTGGATATGTCATACTCACTCACATGTCCATCATTCTGTCCTGCCTCTGCTTTGATGCACGTTGTCTTCTCTATTCCCTTATCTCAATCTCATTTTACTGTGGCAAGTTGGTGCTCGCAGACAGATGGAGCAGAAGTCAATGTGGGAGGGAGGGACCATTAAGGAGGAGAGAGAGAGGGAGGGAAAGAGAGGGAGGGGAAGGTGATAAAGTGACTGGAATAGAGAGACCCAGCGCAGACTGAAGCTGTGCAGAGCACCAGGACTCTTTACCAAAGCTGTGGACCTTTCTTTAGGACCTTCTTTTAAACTTTTCACAGGAGCAAATGGATTACTGATATTAAGGAGATTTTTTTACTTAAAAGAAGGAAAAACACACATAGAAGGACAAAACAGACAATACCAATTAGTTCATTAGGTAGTATGGATGCAGAAACCAAGAGTAAGAGCAATCAAAATTAGAAGAACATTTTGAAATTCTTATTGCATAACTATTTTTTCAGTAAAAAGATCTATATGCATCCTTTCTCAAAGTTGTTACAAATTGTGGTCAAGATAATACAGAAATATCAATTCATTATAAGACAAGAAGAGGAAAGAAAAGTATTACATGATATACTGAAGATAATGCACCAAAATCTGAAGTGAAACAAAGTGAACTGTAACAATTACAAACTGACCTATTTATAAAAAGCACCATTGAACTCACCATGGGCTTTCAGACTCTCTTGGCAGCCCCTCTGTACCTCCTTGCTCTCCAGACCCTGATGGTGGTCCCGGGTGGGTCTTTGGCTCTGGGGAGACTGGAGCGCTGGGTCCGGTCTGGTCTTCAGTCACTACAGTGGAACCAGTTGAACCGTTGTCTCCGGACATCCTCACTTTCTGAGGCTGAGTGCAGGAGGCTGTCCCATCTCCCATTATCCTCTGTGGCTGTGTATGTGTCAGAGCCACACACCGGAATAGGTGAGTCAATTTCTGCAGAACTACGACTATTGTGTCCTTATATCTTTTTTAACCTGTTTCATAGATTTTCACTGAATCCTAAATAACTTGCAATTTTGTGGAAGTCTTACTCTTTTCCATAGCACTCAAAAGACAAAAGAGCTGTTATCTTTTTGGTGGTGATGAAGTATTTTTCATTAAGTAGACCTAAACCATCACAAGTGATAAAAATCTGTGACATCTCAAGTAATTAATGTAATTTTGAGTTCACTTTGAACTGAATTAAATATTTATTTTGTAGGTTTTGTTGATACTTTTGGAAAATGCAATATCTGCAATTGCACCATTATGCATTTTTAAACAAATTGAGTAAACCTCTCAGTAGGCTATATGAAACATTACTCTGTGATTTGGTGGCGGTATTTTATGATATATAACTTATTTAACATAAATAAAACCAACCTATTTGTCTCCAGGATATTCCGACAAGGTGATGGCCCTTCTCCCTGACACATCAGTCCCGCTGGGGTACAAAGCGCGGGGCAGTTACAGTGTGGTGAATGCAGGACACAGCCCCCACAGACACCAGGCTCTCTCCAGCTCCACAGCCCATGATGCTGTGCTGGTCCTAGACCCAAGTCCAGGGGAGAATTTTGGACACCCAGTAGTTCTCTTCTATGTGGACATGAACGTGACTAAGAAGAGGTGCTCTCATATGGATGGCATTTACCTGGGTGAGTTAACAGCAACATTCATTATATATTGTTATTACTAGTGTGGCAAGAGAACGAGGGGCAATGTAGAAAAAAGCACACAAAACTTGGCATTTGCTTGCAAAATATGTAAGAACTAAATACAAATGTTGCAATGAAATGTTACAAGTAAAAATAAAATAAAATAAATAAATAAATAAAGCAATAATTATTTGCAGCATAATATACTAACAAAAATGTAGCAACATGTCTCAGTAAACATACTGAACTGTGCATTGATTAAAATGCTACACTTATAAATGCATTGGTAGTTGCTAAAGAAAAAAATTGAATCTTTTTAAAATCCTCAATACACCCACAATTTAATTGTTCTTAACTTTTATTAGTATAAAAAAGAAAATATATAATCTCTTACGAATAAATAATGCTGCCACTACTGTCTTAATCAAACATTTAAGAACATTGCAGTGCTTAGTTATTACATGCTTTTTTTTTTATAAAGGGTGCAGAAAGTAAGAGTTAGCGCTGACCTTTTAAAGTTCCATTTATAGCTAACTCATCCTGCTTTATAACCCTAGACACACCTGCCCTTCGTATGCACACAACCTAAGGACAATTACTTATTACCAAAAAATCTAAAGAATAGATTTTAGTTACATGAATTGAAATGAAACCTCACACATAACAGGTCTTAATGAGTGGGCTGCTGGGGTGCCCCTGTGGTGCCCCTGTGAGCTGGGTGAGGGCCAGATGTGGAGGTGAACGCACACCTGTCAATTATTTATACACACACATGCAGTGCTGTGCCTCTTGCTGGCTATACAGGAGGGGCTTGTACCTTGTTTAACCTAACAAAAGGAAAGAAGAAGAATTTTATGAATAGACTTTTAAACAATGTAATTTCATGACTTTCAACTAAATAGAAAACATTTAGAGACAGACATCTTGTATGTGTATAAATATATTGGAATGGTGTTTAACTGGATCAAAAGGCAAGTAAAAAAAATTTAAGCAGCATCTTTTTGCTATTTCAATCCCTCACACAACCAAGTCTACCCCTTTCGATATTATAAAATGAAAGATATGGTACAACAACCAGAATAGACATAACCAACAAGACATTTACCATTGAAGCACACATATTTCTACCAACAAAAACATGAGATGTAAAACTATATCTGTTTTATTTTAGGAGAGGAGTGTTTAACACTTGCTTTGAAAGGTCAGTGTCAGAACCAGCTAAAGCGGCGTCTTCGGGCTGGCCTGATCAGTGGCTCCAGTCGGATGGTGGAGCGGACCATTGGAGGGCTCTGTGAGGTCCACTTCCTCCCACTAGTGGTCGGTGTGGGGGACAGCAACCGCACCCAGAGACTGAAATGTGTGGGTAAGTCCAAACATGCTCTTATGGGCAGAAGTTTCCCAGATTCCAAATTGCGTAGCTGCATTTGACTCATTCTCATTGTCCCATGTTTCAAATTGGACTCCCACAAACAATAAATAAACATAAGACAACCTATTACCCTTTCAGCGGAGCATCTGGCAATATCTTTCTTGTTCCTTTAATTTCTAAATCAAATAAGGAAATCTGGAGAGCAATGATGTTATGAACACACATAATGCTTCAACTTGCCCGCCAGTAAGACAACCATCTAATCTAATATTGATGCCATTTGGTTGCACAGAACTCCTAATGGGGATATAGTCAATTCCACCAACTAAAGGATCAAACGTAAAATGGGATCATAGTAATAGCCACATTTGGTTGTAAAATGTTAATAACTTTTTTGGTACTTTGTAAAGTAGAATTATTCTCATCTTCTGCCAAGGCCGCCCACTTCTTCAGTATCTGCCAGCCACCTGGGGCTTGTAATCGAAACTGTTTACAAGGATTCAGTTTTTCCATGTAGTTACAACAAAGTTTTAAACATCCCACCTACAGGTTCAATTATCCTCAAATTTAATGTCCCATAGCCTCAGCCCAATATTATAACCTCATTTTCTAGTCCAATTTCTCTGTCCATTTTCATAAACATGCCTGTGCTTTCATTTCATTTTTTATTTGTTCTTTTTGTTCTATTGTATGGAAATGTATTGTCTACTTAACATCTACCCCTTTCTGAACACAATAAGACATAAACATAGATTACCTCATATTTGGATTAAATTAAGAATGATTCAAGGATTACTAACACAATTTTGCTAATTTAATTTACACTTTTTTGTATTTGAACAGTTTGAACAGTAGACTGTTCCATTGCTTTACACCAATACATTTATTTAAGTGTAGTTCTTGCAAAAGGCAGGCAAAGTTTAAAGTCATGTCTTCTAATTTCACTATTTACTGTTGTCAGATAACACAGAGTTTGCACCGTGCCCTCCGATGCTACCTTTGAGTATGCCCAGTTTACCTGTCTCTAGCTGTGAACTGAACAAAAATACAAGAAGGTGCCATCAGCAGCCTCTGGCCACACACCTGTCCTGCCGACTGTACCAGACCTGTGACCATGCTGTGCTCCTGTCAGGTGGGGCTCAAGTTTGTGATTGCTTCAAATACTGACTTGCATTCATAGACAGTTAAGATGGGAGACAGGAAAAGGATTTAACATCTATGTTGCATATTAAATTACATGTGTTTTACATCAGAAGAAAGCATGCCTTCTTACTAAGAACAGGGTTCCCTTTCCACAGATATGACATGTCGCTATGCATGGTGGTGTACCTGATTGGTGCTGTAAAAGTAGATTTAAACACAACATTACCAGAAAAGCAACACTTGAAACACGCAGGTGTTACATTTTCTACCAAAAAAAGTTACATAGTGCAGCTTTAATTTAGAGGTTATAGCACAAGTCACAGTAAATTACTTTAGTAAATGTGAATGATTATCAATATGTTACGCTGTCAGTTCATAAAGAATCTGGCTATTGTCTGGTCCACCATAGGCACATAGTTGTTAAGCCTGCAACCCCTAATAAGGTTAAGTGGAGAATAATGAAAGTGATTTATTGTGTATGTTACCCTTGCTAATACAGTTGTATACTTTTCTGTAGGTGGATGGCAACAACAGGTTACTTTCCAGCACCATGTACAAAACCTTCAGATGTTTTATCACATGCTTCGCAACAATGGTTTTCATAAAAATCATATTAGAACCTTCTTTGCCAACAGTGGACAATTTCTAGGTACTGAAATTCAACACAAGTGAACACTTCCATATTTCTGGCAGCTTCAGTAAAATTAGTATCTGATCTTTCTTTTCACAATGTTTACATATTCCCACAGAGGAAATAGAGGGTGTGTACCCTGCTACAGAGAAGGCAGTGATCCGTAACCATGTGTCATACATCTGTCGAAAGCAGCACTGTGCGGACACGTTGGTGCTGTACTTGAACTCACCCACGCGCAGTGACGGGACCATGTTGCTGTGGGACACCAACCTTGATGGCATTGTAAGTGCATTTGTGTATAGAAATCTTAAGTCATCTTAAGTTAAACAGTGATGCAAAGTTTTTTTTCACTAATTCAGTGTATTCATTCTGACATACCATTTACATTTTGATTTACTAAATTACTACATCCGCATGTATGTGAATGACCCTTAAACAACATATTGTCTTTTTTCATTAACCTTTATCTTATCTATTTTAAAAATATAAAAGAAACCCTTTTTGCTATGTATCTGACTTATGCATGGTTTGCAGGCTGACTTAAAGGAGCGATACTCTGTGAACGAATTGCTGACTGACCTGGCAGGCTGCAAAGCCACCAGGGTTCTGCTCTTTGTGGATCAAAGCTACAGTGGGGTGTTGTACAAAAGGCTGAGAGGATCCCCAAAACACACAAATGTGGTTCTGATCCAGAGCCCATCTAAACAGTCCCACAAGTACCAGAGGGGCAACCCAGACTGGGACCAGAACAACTGGGCATACATCAGCCCCCCCATGTGTCTCCTGGACCATTTAGGAAAGGTGCCCATCTTATTATTATTATTATTTTTTTTTTTCAGTTTTTACAATCATTTATTGTTTATTCAGAAACCTTAGTGACTCTTAGTGACTCCTCCTCTTCTTCTCTCAGGGTGCTGGGACGTCCCATCTGCTGGAGCCTTGGGCTGGTCTTCTGAATGTGACACTGGCTGGAGCTCCTTGTAATGTCACCCCTCCTTTGACAGACAGTGAGTTGCAGAGGGAGTACCAGGGCTGCCAAAACCTGCCCACTGCCCTATGGCACCAGAAACTACGGAGAGTCAACTAGAAAGGGAACACAGACACAGGGACAATAATGTATGTAAATCAAGGATATTAGATAGAAGTGGACCCAAATTTGTAAGAATAGAAGGAAATAATTACAGGGCAAATAAGTAAGGTCACAAATAAAAACAGGCTTCATATAGGTTTATGTTGCTTGCTGTAAATATTAATGATTGACTGCACTATTAGATACAATAGGTGAAAGCGATGAACAAAGACTTTTATAAATCATACACCGTGGAGTTCCTTGTAAAGCTATAGTACAGTATAGTAATAGAGTATGCCCACTATGTGGGGTAGTCCCTGGTTATTTACACCTCATGTAACCTAAAGACTATATGATCTGGCTAAAGGGATCCGTGAAATACTCCCAGCAGCAGTTCCCTGTGTCTAAGTCTACATCCAGGACTCAGAGTTTTATTAGGCCAACTGCATGTCCCAAGAAGAGCGTTCAAAACTATGTGAACACTGTGTGTGTGTGTGTGTGTGTGCGCGTGTGTGTGTGCGTGTGTGTGTGTGGGAGAGTTCAACAAGAGGACATCCCACTCTAAGACCACTGCAGTTACACTGGGGTCAATCTGATGAATGTGTGTGTGTGAACAACAAGTCTCCTGGGCTCTTAAACATTTCAGAACCAATCAACTGTGTCTATTTTTGTCTTTGCCTGATCTTCTCTGTACCATCTTCATCCTGTCCTCTGCTTCACCTTCTGTCTGTTACTTTCTTGTCATCGACTTGACTTTTCTCTCTTAGAGACTTCCTATCTTAAGAAAGGTTGTTTGAGGTACATTACGTGTGTAACATATGACCTTATTTCACCTTGCTTGGAAAGCAGACCACCAATGACACAAGAACACGTGTTGCTGCATATCCCCACCAAACGCAAAAGCAAAAAAGATTAACAGGGCTTAACACAAGAAATTTGTGAATTATGTACATAATCTCCTTTTATGTTGTTCAACAAAAATCATATTGGGAACTTTAATTTTATATTTAATTTCATATTATTACAAATTTCATATATACTACTTGAATCTTCTCAGTCTTAAGATGAGAAGACACACCAGCCAATAAAGTCTGTCCTTTCTGCCACACAAAGTGGCTTTTAAGAAAGCATTTAACTGAAGTAAAAGTAGTGAAGCTCTGTATGAACAGTATGTATAGTCAGTTCCATAAAATTAACATGAACACATTTTAGTATTTATTTCATAAAGCGTTCATGCTTTTCCAGAGTATATGTGTTAGCCAACACAGTAACTCTTACTTTTTTCACTTTACTGAGGTTTATTCAAACTGATGTTGAAAACACATGTATGTATGTATTGCTAATGTTAAAAAAAGTGTATTCATGTGTCTGCATTTACTGTATTGGTTGACTGTGTTAAGGAGCTATATACTACTTGCTGTTTTGTAACAAACTGTACATAAATATGATTCTGTTGTATGCATGGGTGTCTAGTAAATAAAGTACTTTTATAAAACATTTTAAGTAGAGAATGGTGAAGTGTAACCATTAAGATGCTCAGCAAAAGTTCATATCTGAATTCCTTATATTTTGTTATTGATTATTTTCTTCTTAAAAGGTGTTTGGTTGAAAAAAGCCAGCCAAGGATCTTAACCCTCAGGGTTCTCATATAGGCTCACACAATCGCTGACCCTTGGCTTGGGTACTTTGGCTCATCCAGGATTTTTCACCACAACAACAGAACAACAATCAGTCATTACAGACTCCTGCTTTAAAGGAACAGGGCTGAATCCTAAGTACCTGCCTCTGAGTGGGATTTGACCCCCTCCTAAATCACCTGTGGACCACACATTAATATCACAACTGCCAACAGTATAATTCTTATTGGTTTCTTCATAGAAATACAGGTACCTACTTTTAGTCTGTGTGGAGAGTCCTTTGTTGTTTGGTCCACATGGATGCATACAGTCCTCTCTGGGTCAGCAGTTCTTCATGTCTAAAGAAAGAGTACAGCACATGACCACTTTTCCTTGATAATTCTGGCACAACTAACAGCATATATTTATCTACCTTTCTTAATTTGTTTTTAAAAACACATTCTGCAGATCCTATTTTGAATTAACAGACTTTGACAACAGTGTTGATACCAAAGCCCAATACTCATAGGAGTTAATTTGGTACAATGCACATAGTGTATATGACCAGGACACAATACACCAATCATACAAAGCTCCTATTGTACATAAACAGTATGTAAGACAGTATCATGACAGTAGTAGCAGTGATGCAGGCTGGCTTAGTGTAGATCATAATCCTTCATGATGTAAAAATGCTCTTCAACTAACTTCACTATAAATTAATGAAAGTTAGAGATGTGACTGTCTGGACCTAAGGACAAATGAGGAGAGTGAGTCTTAGACAAGATGAAGAACACATACAGGTCAACAGGAATATATGGTGGCAGAAGTTAGGGCTAGTTCCACTTTGAATGACTTTGTGTTGCATGTATCTAATTGAATGGAAAATCTATGGATTGTTATTTGCATGAATTCATCTCTGTTATTTTGTTTTTGTGACAGTGAGGACAAGCACCTGTAAAACGTTAATGAATGCATCATTTTCACTCGTAAACCATTCTGAGAATTAGAAGTATTTGTGCATGAAGCATGTTGGGCATATGGAGTGCCTGAGGAGGAGGCCTCTTCCTGTCTATGTGGTAAGAGACACTCCCACAAGCAAGCCGGGCCAGAGAGTGGCTGTATTCTGACACCGGACGCTAAATGGGCCCGTCTTGTTTACATCACAATGCCACTCTAAAGATGAATGGGTTATGGACTGTTCTCCTGTGAGTGGCTCCAGGGCATGGCCAGATCTCCAGATTAAAATAAATCAGATGTGACCTATTAGACATATGCCATCTTTTATTATGGTATTTCAACATTCCTTGGTAAACGTACCATAATACATTACGGCAGTTAAAATTATGTACTGCTTTTTTGTTACATAGAAATATATCAATATTGTTCCACAAATCTAGTTGTTTCATTATTTATTTAAAGTATTAACAACTTATATGAATGAGTTTCAGCTTCCTGTCAAGCCTTGGGTTGTACATTTCCTTGGGCTGTACATTTAAAAGTTTGATAAACTTCAGTTAACCCTTTAAAAGTTTATTCAACATCATCAGAAGTAATGCCCTACTAATATTTTAGTCTTCTTGTGTTCTAATGTCTCTAGTTTGTTACATGTTGGAGGCCTAAAAGCATTCTTAAAATGTGTGAGAAAGGAAGTTTTCCAGCCCAGCTCCTATATCAAAGGATTTTATGCATGGGTGGTAAAGTGGCAGCTCTATGGTGTGTGCGTTCCTCCCTCTGGGCATAAGACTGATACCAGTGCGTTTAAGGGTCACACACATAATGGTTGTGATGCAGAGATAACTAATTAGCCCACACTTAACAGACGAACAGTCACTCAGGAATTACAGCACACATACATTTCACACACTCACCAAAGGTGGAGTAAAAATAGGGATGTCAATATTATTTGATCAGTTTATAATTGTGATTATTCAGGTTACAATATAATCACAAGAAAAAAATAAAAATAAAAATGAATAATTGTGGGAATTTCAGAAACTCAAAAACTAGCCACTTAATTAGTGATAAACAACTAGAGGTGCCCAGATCTTTTTCCTGAATGGGTCAAAATGAATATGCGTATGAATGACTAACCTTTTGCATGTAATCACCTTAAAGATCTTATATTACACAAAATTGACTGTTGTGAACTTTAAACCATGTCAGTAGCAGTGTTTTATTTCATTCACACATGGTGGAATAATTCTGCATTATTAGTCTGTCTACATCTCCAAAGGTCTGTTTCACCTTGTGACGTCACAAAGCATTTTTCAAGTTAACAGCTACCTTTTACCTATAGTTTAGCAGAGACATTTCCAGGGCTAAAATCATCCAAATCATTCTTGTGAAGGTGTATGGAGACACAGTGGAGCAGTTCCTGTGTCACCATATGACATCACAAGGTGGAGAAGAGTGTTTTCTGTTTCAATGAAGAACCTTTAAATCAAAATAGATAGCACTCAACACTGCATTGTGAGAAAAACTACAAGTAGATCCTCTGCAAGCTCTAGTGTTGGTGCCCCTGGTCTAGAAGGGTTCATGTGCAAACTCGGATTGTATGTAATTTTGTAATGTGTAATTCAAAATTTATTGGAAACATACTGAATCAATGGACACCTAAATTAACTCTCTTACCTTCCTCTTTCAGCTATTTGGCCAGCATGAAGCACTAGAATCTGGTCTGCTTCTACAATAGTGGACAACCTGCAACAGATTTTCATTGTCATTGATGGGTTTCAGATGACATCACAACATTCTATCGTATAGCCAATAAGATTTCATACAGATGGGGGATGGGGCAGCTGAAAAGAATGTTATTAAAAAGCAGATTTTTGATGTAATATAATATAATGGTTTAGTCATTAATATAAATTATCAGGTTCAACTATTGTGAATCATCTATTTAGATATTACCTTCTTATGATATCATACAATCAATATAGCATTGTCATTGTCACATGAGAAGATTTTCCCACATATTTTCCCAGGGCTTTTGATTCTCAGATTTGTTTTCCATATAAAATATGCATAATAATAAGATAAAGGAAATAAACCAATTTGTATGTTACAAAAATTCAAATGTCAAATGAAGGTAAAAGACAGGGTTGTCCTGCAAGGATAAGTTAAAAAGACATATCTGAGTTGTGTCATTACTGTCAGTGAGTTTCAGCACACACTAACACACATATGCGCATCCAGCTGAGAGGGTTGCTCTGGGCTGGAGAACTCTGAGTGAACCTGTCTGTGAATTATTAAAGTCAGTATTTATGATGAGCGCCTGATTAAAGCCACACTCAGCGATCTAAGTGGCTCTATACTCCAAGTCAGGAAGGCCAGGACAGGGCTGAACAGACAAACAGATCAAAGAATGCAGAGGAACATGTTATCATTTTATTTTTAGTGTTTTGCAATGCACATTCCTGCAATAACATGTTTTTCCTTTCAAAAGAACTTGAAGACCTCTGGTTTAAGATATGAGGCAAGGGAGACTTTGGGCAGCTAATCCAATCCCTACTCTCCAATGGGCTTAAGTTGGGCCACACCTAGGCAGTAAGTTTCTTCAGTTAATTAGGCAATTTTCACCCAGGGTAAGATGCAATTTATTATATTATAAACTGTATTTTATGCTAAATATTATAAGGTAAATAAAACTGCAACATTTTTACATGTGAAAAGAAACAGACGCCCAGCCAGCTGGTTGTATGTCCTGGTTGTCCCAAAGCTGAAAGTATCTTTAAGCTCCTGCAGCGCACCACTTATAAAGACTATCTTTGGATGTCCACCTTCAATATTTGATGGAAAACCTGGGTCACAGGTAGGAGTATCTCCCTCTAGAGACTGCTGACGTCAGCTGCACTCATTCAGGCTTTTCTCTGTCACCGTGTCCACTGCAGTACAGATGTGGGCTATTGCTCACGTCCCATTTACTGTGACGTCCTAGTTAAACCTTGTTTGACTCACCACATACCTTAGCTGACATGTAGTCGAGGTAAACTTGTTATCTCTGAATATTGGTTACGTAAATGAAAAGATGCAAGGTAAGGGTGAAACAATTTGGATGTTTTTGTGTTGACGCCACACAATACACCATCTAAGGTCTTAGTCAGAGATATATTTATGTCAGAACTAAAAGATCTTCCATTCCAGGATCGGACACTACACCTTAACCAATGCAAGACAGGGACAATGTCTTTATTAAGACTCATTTATTCTGAGTGCTTTTAGACTGTGTTTAACCCAAGCTTATTCAAAGTAAAAACTAGATCAGTGTTACGGCCCCAGGCCTTAGATTGTCATTTGTTCTGTGTGTTCAAAATTATTCTGCTGGACACCTGGATTCCTGCTGTAGGAGTCCTGGTTTGTGATTGGTGGGGGAGGTCAACGCCCACCTCACCTGCAGCCACCTCCCCCTATTTAAGGAAATTTCCAGCACCTGATTGGGGCTGCTGGCCTTGGTAGCCAGTATGCCATTTTGTGTTCATGTGTGTAGTTTAGTTTAGTTCTGTTTTGTGCCTTTTTTGATTTGGTCACTTGATTCTGTTTGTGGGCTTATGTGGTTTAATTTGGGGAACTTGCGTTTAGTTTAGTGTGTGTCCCTCAGTTTTACCACTCGTTATTGTGTAAGCCTGCGTGACCCCTTTTGTGGAACGAAACCCTGTTTATTCTGTTGTTCTGTTTAGGTTGTTTTCTGTATAGTTTTAGTCTTTTGTTAATTTACCTTTTACATTCCTGTTAATTAAACATTTTTAATTTATTCCATTTTACATATTGGTTTTATTTGTTACTTCCCTGTCCCTAGCTGAACTGGGTCGTAACAATCAGTTTCATCAATCTAAATAAAATTATGTTGATCTTTCATATAGAGGTTTAACCAATGTAGATGTTAAGCCCAATCCATATGCTCCATTGTCTGGATGTCCTGTTTAATTTATTAAAAATGGCTTGGATATAAGAAGAAGAAGAAGCAACAATGGAGAGAAGTCAAATTTTCAAAGGTAGCACTGGGTGGTGCTGTTTGAACCATTAGGATTATTTTGAAAAGAAAATACATTTCTTAATTAGAAATTATATTCAAAATGGTTTTATGTCATATTGATATTTTACATAGAAAATAGTTAACACTATTGCTAACCATGAACTTTTTATGAAGTTGACAGAAGACTTTGTTCTTGAAGTTAATTTCATGACATTTGACCCTTGACATGTTTTAACATCAGCAAGAGTCAGAGACTTTTAAATTCACTCTATCTGATGAAAAAACAGACCCATGTATCGTTCCTTTTGTTGAACTGTCACTCCATGTTGTCACATACTTTTCAATCAGCTTATCATTTAAGCTCTCAAACCCTTTCTTTGTGTCCATTTTAATCCTGTTTTCTTTTACCATGACCCTGCCATTCCTTTCATCTATCGTGCTTATGTTTTTGATGTAGACATTAATTATTACAAGCTCCATCAGCCTTGACAGAGCAGTAAACTATGCCTTGCTTAATATTTGGATTTAAAACTTAGTGGTTTCACCTGTGTGCCACAACAATAGTGGTCCTCTTGGTGCAGATCTTAGCCAAAGAAGCCTGGATGTTTCTTTCTGTTTGAGTGTCCAAGGAGGAGGTGGCCTGGAAAATGAAGTATACCCATTTATTTAAAGGTTCACAGTGTAACGTTTCTGCTGGAGGGTCCACCACTTTCTTGTTTTCATGGAGATGCACTGATTTCCCCCATTTAATGAATTCTAGGTGATTCTATTGCAAAAAATACATTGTAAAACGTACATTATTACTGAGAGCATGCTCTCCACAGATCCGACCTGTATATTGGCCTGATGGTGTAACCCGCTTATCTCCATGGAGAAAGATAAGTTAAAGACATATTGTGGAACATTACAGATGTGATGGAGAGAAACAGTGGTGGACCCTTCACCTGAAAAGATGCATGATGCACCTTTGCACAAACAACATAGTGAATAACATGTGACTCACAAAATAACCCCTCATCCAAAGTGTAAGTGCGTGTCTCTAACCTCATCCAGCAGGATGATCTGCGGATTCTTGAGGATTGTTCGAGCTATGGCCACTCTCTGCTTCTCACCTCCACTGAGCTTCAAGCCCCGCTCTCCCACCTCTGTCTCATAACCTAATCATGATTCATGATCAAAACCAACATTATAAACATGACTCACATCCCACACAAAATAAAAAAGTAACAGAGCAGTATGTGGACAGCCTGACCCTGAGGCAGCTCCAGTATCCGTGAGTGTATGTCTGCTGCCCTTGCCGCCTGCTCCACCTCCTGCTGGGTTGCTGTGATCCGGCTGTACCTGATGTTGTTTCCAATGGTGTCACTGAAAAGCACTGTGTCCTGAGGAACTACTCCAATACACCCTCTCAGAGAAGACAGGTAAACCTAATCACAAACAACACAAAAAATGTATACCTAAATGCATAATATGACCTAAATCAATCAACAAATATGAAAGAATATAATTTCATTTCTAATTACACCGTAACATTGTGTTTTGTTCAGGCAAAAAGACCAATGTGTTTTACCATATATAAAAAAATCCAATATAAATGATTTGCTTTAAGCTTTATCTGATCCAATATAGGCTTTGAAATTGAATGCGTTCACACATAAGGACACACATGTACATCAATGTTGCATGGCATAATTTATAATGTACTATATAATGCATGCTGCCCCAGGTCACAGACTTCTGTATGTAATTTCCTGTCTCCTGACGTCAACTCTTAATGTAGTTTATGATAAACCACCACAGATGATAACCTGGATAAACAGACTGCCCCACTGTAAAACAGATGTAGTTATTAGTCTAACTGTTACTATTTCCTTCTCATTCACAAAATACTGTCTAAGCTTCATTTGTTGTACTAACCAATTTTTCCAACAATGATTCACAGGCCCTAATTTGATCTGCTTCATTTTAGTACTTGTTCCGTTCTTCCCTAAACTGCATGTGCGTTTGATTTTAAAGGAGGAAAAAGCCAAGATTAGAGTTCAAAATGCTGTATATTAAAGACTTGGAACACTTTAAGGAAATGTTCTCTAATAACTATTGAACCAGCTGCCCTCTGAAACAGAGAGGTCTTGCTTTTTCAAAGTTTTCTGGCCAAAATGCTGCAATACAATCCAGTCTTATTGTCAGGGGATATCGTGCGATTAGTATTGATGTCTAGGAGTTTTTTTAGGCAGTCCATCATTTTCACTCAAACTTTTCTGAGTACCACCTAAGGAAATATTTGGCCTTCCAAGTATCACCTGATCAAAAACAGAACTATTCTAGGTGCGACCTCCACTACTTTAGATAATATTACCATAATGTTGCTATCCTTTTTATCAGGGTTTAGGAATGATATAATGAATGAATGAATACATTTGCTTATGACAATCTGAGGATAAATATTTTTCACAGGTACTGCTGGAGAATTAACACAGCTCACAGCAATAAAAACCCCTTTACGGACATGACATTAAAATGATCTTTCCTAAAAAGCCGATGACTCATTTAATCAGATGTTGAAGTAGCATCGAACTGAGCTTAAGTCCATCTGGTGGCCATATGAGGACAAACATAGTCAGCTAAGCAAATAAAAACCTTGTAGCCAATTAGAGAAATGGGTTCAAGGAAAAGGGCTTTGGTGTGTCACAAGTAAGCACCGAAAGTTGGATTAAATGAGTACAACCTTACATATAATTATTGTCTAGTGATGCAAGGCTCAAATTAAGAACAGAGAAATAATTAGAGAGATTTCAGTTTGATGTCTGACTGAATATAAGAGCATCCTGTTCTCTGTACTGTGACAGGTGCAGTGTTTTTTACAGGTCATTGAAACATATTATCCCATCACAACTAAACACACTGACTTTAACAAGGCTCAGAGACAAATGATACATGATTATTCCTTTAATAGTGGTATGAGTAAAAGCATTCATAGTGAATGAAACTGTTCTTAAACACACTAATGATCTGAGGCATGAGACTTATATCAAGTGTGTGGACAATTAAATTAATATCCTATGTCTTATAGCCATAACATGTCCCAAAAGGCCTTGACATTTTTTGCTTTCCATCTTTCTGGAAAAGGTGTCTGCCACCTCATTGTCTCCTTAAAGATGGCATTTCCTTGTGTGGAATGTTATATAGCTCAGCATTAAATATCCACCGATAGGGGACACCACCATGGCAAGGAACAGGTCAGATTTGTGAGAGAGGTAACCCCAATCCCGGTAATGTAAAGTTTTTCATGGTATTTTTAATGCAATGAAAAATACAACACCTATAACTGAATAAATGTAAGATGTTTGATGAGTATTATGGGAAAGCAATAACATCTCTATGGAGACAGCTGAACCCTCCACCAAAAAGTTAGATAATGTACCTTTTATTTAACATTTCTAATATGTTCTAAAAACATTTAAAATATACTTGCAAATACATTACTCTACTAGATTTAATCAAGATGTTGGGACAGTATATTTCCTTTGTAAGTTACAGATAATTACTCTCTCTCTTTATTTATCTATTTTAGCACATCCCATTTCTCTGCCTCTTGGCTGGGTTTACAAAGATCTCAGTGACTAAGAGAATGAATCTAATAAACCAAAATGTGTACATACGTGTATTTTAAATGTTCTCCTGCTGTTATAATTACAGGAACATACTCTTGTAATTATGGCTTGTCGTAACCCACACTCCTCTGTCATAGTCAAACAGGTGTGCAGTAGAGCTGTTAATACTGCAATATTCACACTAACTTAAGCTTGCAACTACAATAACAGGGCTATCCATACACAGAGACGCACATCTGGTGTCTGGACCCCCTGTTACATTATTCAAAAACCTTTTACTATGATTTATTCACAGCATGACCAAAGCTGACACACTAAACCTGCTAAGTCTTTGAACTAGAAGATAGAGAAAGTGGAAGTCAATGTGTGGGAGAAAAAGCAGGAAGAAGCCCTGACCACAAAAGACAACTCAAATGCAAAAAGAGGATGAATCAGATACCACAAATAAAATTTTTGGACCTGGGCCAGCTGAAATGACTGGTTATCTAATGCTATGTTTCCTTTGTCATTTGTGACTAAAATATTTAAATTCAGTTTAAATATATAAATGATTGTTTAAGTAAATACAGAGCTGTGTACGTCTGGCACTTTCTTAAACAAGTTTAAGAATAAGTAATATGCAATACATGTCCAGTCGTATTGGTCAGACTTTGTAGGGGTATATAAAATATATTTTAAATATTATATATTTTATATAATAATAATAAAAAATAAGTGCCACAATTTTCTTGGGGCCAGATGCCAATTTCACTATTGGCACTAGGTATTTTTCTATAGTTAAATAAAGTCATCTGCTTTTTCTGAAAGTTACAAGTGTAACTATGGGTCTATGAGCCCCAGATAAACACGCATGCATTAGGGAATGCTTTCAGCACCATTCCGTCAGTGGAAAACCAGAACCAGCTAAACAGCATGTTGTGAGTACCTTGGAAATGTCTTGACCATCTATATGAATAGAGCCACTCTGAAGATCATAAAATCTAAACAACAGACGAAGTATGGAGGTCTTCCCCGATCCTGAAGGACCAACCTGCACACAAATACATGAATTTACTAGTATGTATGTTTCAGAGGGATTATCATCTCAAACAGTAGTCTCTAAATGTGTAATATTTCAAAGTGATGCATGCTGAGGGGTACAAGTCAGACAAACATACCAGAGCCACTGTCTGTCCAGGTTCAACTGTAAAGGTCACTTCATTTAAAACCTCCAGTCTACAGAGTAAAACAATCATGTAATCTAGACAGAAAATAAAGTCTTAAATGAATAGTGAAACTATTATTATTATTATTTAACTAATTTTATATAGTGCATATAAGGTTTTGCACAAATAGTGTTACTTGTATATAAACAGAGGTCTACTTGGAGATGGACTGGATAGATTTGTACCCTGGCACATAGCTGAAACAGATTTTGTCAAATTGTACTCGTCCTGCAGTGAGGTGCAAGTCCTGGGCATCAGCAGCATCCTGTACCTACAAATGAGAAGAATTACAGGGATGCTCATGAGAACCTCAATAACTGTGAACTGTGGAAAAAAAAAAAAAATCTCTATAGTATGTAATTTAAGAATGTCTAATAACCTTACCATTTAAGACCACTTCAAATAAACACACATTTTATTCATCTAACAGCTATTAATGACACTGTATAGACAAAGAACACAAACAAGAAACAAATTTAGAATACTTTTTAGTTCAATATTTATTTAACCTCCACATTTATCATTATCTTTCCCTTGACCTTCCGCATCTCCTCCTCTCTTTTCACCCAATCCGTCTGCTGCTTCCCAAGCCAAAGAAAAAGGGGTGCTGTGTTTTTAAGGTGCTCTAATGTCTTTGTGCACATTCATGCGCCTGTTTACCATATCAAGGGCCTGTGACTGTAGAGGACTTTAGTGAGGCAGTCGGAGGACGCCTTTTTCCCACCAAAACACACACATTTGGACATGGCACGCACTGACACACACACACACACACGGACACAGTGCAGACACACAAAGACACACAGCGCAGACACACAAACACTTGTTGACCTCATAATCCATTGAGCCATGGCTGCGGGTTACCAGAAAGACTTAAGCGGCCTGACAAAGTGACTGTGGGCACAAACTCACACCTGCTGCTGAATATTTGAATGTGATTCTAGCAAAAGAGAGCTTACGTTTGAACTATTTAAATTTAAAGATGCTCCACTTTGTTTTTAAACTCCATACACCTTCATTAGAAAAATGTGGGTAATTTTTGTCCTGGAATTACAATCACTACTAAACAAAAGGCAACCTGAAACCTACCACTTCATGACATCAAAAGATGGAACAGAGCATTTTGAGCTTTAGAGATGTAGACAGACTAATAATTAACAGTTACTCAGACAAGTGTGAATGAAACAAAACAAAAAAATGTTGGTTTCCATTTGTTTATTATTGTGGCTATTTCCTCATTCTGTAACCCAAGGATAACTGTAAGTATATGAGAATAGTAATTAAATACTTCAGGTGCTAGACTGCCCAAAATAAAACCAAAAACACAAATAACAATGACAAAAGCTAATGAGGTGGTTTGTTCCCAGCCTAACTAATGGAAATAGGCCAGCAAGTAAAAAAAAAAAAAAAAAAAAATCAGTCACTGACCTCCACCTGCTCAGTTAGCAGATCCAACATGTTCTCCATGTCAACAAAGGCACTTTGAATCAATCTGAAAAAGAGCAGTAAATACCAAATCTGCAAAAGTGTTGTATTCCAACCTGTATACCTGTAGTAGGTCCCAAACCAGTTGAGTGGAGTGTAGAGCTGAATAATGTATGTCCCAAATAAAACATAGTCTCCCACCTTTAGAGATAATAGTAAAAACTATGAATGATCTCTAAATGTGAAAATATAACACTACATATTACCTGAAACTGCCCCTCAGAGACCAAGTGAGCACACAGCAGTGATCCGGCCAGCAGACCCGAGCCTATGATTACATTCTGAGTTTGATTTAATAGAGCTAAAGATGCTGAGGTCTTCCATTCACATTGCTGCAGACATATTCAGAGAAAGTATAAAAAAATAAATAAAATAAATATATTATATATAATATATATATATATATATATATATATATATATATATATATATATATATATATATATATATATATATATATATATATATATATATATATATATATATATTATATATTATTATTATATATATATATATATATATATATATATATATAGTCTTACTTGAAATCTAAGAATAGCCTTTTCAAAAGAGTGGACCTCATATGTCTCAGCACTGTAATATTTTACCTGAGAAGAGAGTTAAAATTATGAATTTAAATGTAAAATTACATTGGTTATCTTTTAATTGTAACATATTTTAATATCAATTACAGTCTCAAAGTTGAGCAGAGAGTCCACAGCTCGACTTTTGGCATTGTTGTCCTGAATGTTCATCTCCCTCCTATATTTGGTTCTCCACTCAGTAATGAGAATTGTACATGCTGCAGAAAAACCATACATCAGTTTATATGAAATTACCTTTAATTTTGATATAACTGAAGCAATGCTGTACTAATAAGGACAGATCTATGGTGGATCTTCTACATAGTCTATGAAGTAAATCCTTCATTATTAGATCAACAACGTGGTTGAGATATAGGTTAACTTAGGCTATGTTAAAAGTAGTAATTATAAATGGTAAATTATCATATTTTGTTATGATTAAGATTTGTATTAGTAAAGCCAATGTCATATCAAAGTATGGCAACTCAAAATGTATGTTTATCTCTGATGGATCAGTGTGAAAATGCAATATAAATCCATGGACATACTGAGATAAAGGACCATGCAGGTCAAAACTATGAGGCCAAACCAAAGGTTGAAATAAGAGCTGAAGTAGACAATGGCGATGATGATGTCACAGATGGTGGGGAGGATGCTGAACAGGATGTAGCTAAAGACAAAAACAAACATTAGCTCTGATAGTTATAAGGCTTCTCCATCTCTACGGCCTTGGGCGCACCTCAGTAGGTTGTTAATGGACGATGTGCCCCGGTCAATGCTCCTCAAAACATCTCCAGTTTTCCGGTCCAGGTGCCACCGAAGAGATAGAGCATGCAGGTGAGAAAACAAGCGCACCTTAAAAGAAGAAAGGAAGACCATTGCTCAAGCTTAATCACGTGTAATGAAGCTCTTAGCACTGCTAGATTCTGAGGATGGTACCTGTACACCTCTGCTGGTAAATTGCTGCACTTTAATCCACAAAAACTGACGGAGATTACTAATAAAACCAGAGGTGCCTGATAATAAGGAGTTTCAGTTCAGTTTTAGTTTTAGTTTAGACATACGCTCTTTGTTTTGAATGATTACTCACCAGCGCCCCCTCCCTGCAGAAACTTTAGCAGTGTGTAGATGCACACAGAGGCAACAACTGAAGTCCAGTTACTTCCAGCAGATAAATCATTTACTGAAATGACAAACAAAATAGAAAAAAAATGAATGGATGGACAAAACCACACTCAAGGTTATCAGCTAAATAAACACAGAAACACCACAACTGCTTGAATGGAAACGTAATATAAAAGGTGACCATAATGTTGCATTTTAGAATCCTTTCTATTAAGAGTGTGTGATTAAAATGGGGCCTCGCACACTTGGCAGATGGAGTTTTGGGGGCGGGAATCGGTCCCTGAGACAAAATGCCCGTTGTAGAGCAGTGTTAACTCCACCAAAAGGCCGCTAATGCCCGTTAAGCATGACTGGCAGGAGAGGTGAGCTCCCATAGAAAATAGCAAGTACACATACACAAACACAATGACACACACTTAGACATAGACACTCCCTTTACCATTTCCCCATCCAAGGACGCACTTGGCCCCACTCTCCCTGCCCTGCACTTTCATGTCACTCCAAAAGCAGAACAAATGGTTTCTTAAAGAATTGTGACTTCTGTCAAGGGGCTACATAAGGTTAGACCAAGTGGTGGGGATTCTTAGCAGAGCATCAAATCAGACTTTTACCTAGCTTTCTAGTATTTTTGTTCTTTAATGTTTATTTTTAGGTGAAGTATAACAATGTGTAACAATTTTATTTATTTTTTAATCATAACTCCATTTACTTAGTTTGAAATACTACAACGTACTATTTTATTCAATTTCTTTGAGTACAGTTTCTAAATTAGGCAATTTCCTTTTTATTTTGCATGATTGTTTATTTAATCTTTTCGTTTTATAATGTAATATTGATTATTAATTATTTGCCTTGCAGTTTGCCTGTGTATCCCTCTCCTTTAGCAGTTCAGTTCCAAAAGTTTGAGAACACCGCCATCTACTGTTCAAAATGGAAACACCCCCCTAAATGAGTCAAGAACATAGTTTGTCCAACGTGAGAAGGCTTGCGTACCGATATTTTTTGAGTACAGAGGAACCAGGACGTTAACGAGGCGCTCGGTTAACAGCAGCCCCGTACACAGCAACACGAGTCCCTGCAGACACACCGAGCCGCGGGGCCAGACATACGGCAGCAGCAGACTCACTTTCCTCCGGATGCCCTGCCACAAGGGCAGTGAGGTGGGAGTCTGCACCAGGAGACAACGTTAAAACTGACATATGCCGTCTTTGGTGATTAAGAACAACGTAATAATTTACCTACAAGCTACAGTTAGCCTACATTAATTCTAACGAAGAAAGGTTTCAAAATGAGGAGAAATTAGGACCGTTGCCATAGCAATTAATTAGCCTAACTAATTTAGATTATATGTTGAATTAATTTAGTCTAGCAGATGTTTAGATGTAATGGAACTGCACTTACCGCAACATTAGCGACTCTGTGCCTCTCTCTTTTGTTAAAAACTCCAGCCATACCATCCACATTTTCGTAACTAGGATTAGCTTCAGTGGGTAGTAGGTTTAGAGATTAGTCACATGCTTCTTGTAAAACTACATTCTAAAATTTGACCCAGAGGAACTATTTGGTTATAAGACCAGTCAGTTACCCACACTGGCGTTTAGCTTTGCTTTCAATAAAAATGATGCATCAGCATTTCCTTTACGCCATTCATCCTTTTGTTTGACTATTGTGTTACCAAAAATAAAGGCTGAAGCTTCATTTCTACAGTAAACTTTTCTGAAAAACTGTGCCCTAACACAACAGTAACTTTTTAAAATGTATTTTAAAATTAAATGTGCACATTTCTTGTAAAATGGATGCAAATCTAAAGTCTCAACTACAAAAGAACAGAATAAACAAAATAACTAAATGAAAAATAGTGTTATTATGGCAAATAAACGGTACATTTTATTTTATGGTCTTGGCAGGTCTTCGAAAAAAATAAACATTTATCAGTGTCATTTGGTCAAATCAGAAATGAAGACCCCATAGAAACAAGCAGGTTGTTTATTAGTAAATAGTAACAAACATGGGTTTGATCGGGGGGGGCCTTATACTACAGCAGCATCTACGGACAGATCAGCATGAACAGCACTTTACAGTAATCCTAGAAATGCATCAATGGACTTGGAAAACACAAAAAAAGCCACATTAGAAGTGCATGTTTGAAAAAGAAATGAACATAAAAATAAGACAATAAAGTCACAATAAATATATCATTACAAGTTTTAAATTAAACACTTTAATACTAGTATTTACGGTCCACATTTTTCCAGACTGTAGAAGTAAATTAGAGTTCAATTAAGCTAAATTCTGGAGCAACATTCAAAGATTTGAATGGATTGTATGGAGCAAAGCTTTGAATATATTGGACTTTACAGTAGCTACTGTACATTCAGCTCTTCTAACTTTGTTCTTTTTTTCTATGTAGTAGTCTTTAAGTTAACATACTTACAGGCAACTATTAGGAGCCAAAAACTCACTCCTGGTCTGTCTTATTTTTTGTGATAAAATAGATTCTTAACTTGTGTGATAATTGCCAATGGGGTTAACTTAATAATGTATACATAAACTGATAAACATATTGATAATTTTGACTTATTGCATGCCGTGTTATTTAAACCAAACTTTATACTTTTTATGTGAATCATGATGCCACCTCTCCAGTTCGTATTTTGTTTGTTGCCATGAATATTGTCCATTTGAAACCACCAGTGGCACATAAAAGCGTGCTATTGTACATCGCAAAATGTCAGTTTGAGCAGTAAAGCAGCACAATAACAGCTAAAGAGTCGATCTGTGAGAAGTCAGTATTGAGCAGACAGCACTTTGGATGGAAACACATTCTACAAATTACAAAAGACTTACATTCATCAGTAAAAAGATGCAGGAGACAGAGGAGTGCTTGTGTCCTCCCCAGTAAAAGTTACATAATCTGAATGAATGGCAGCCACTAATATACAAGCAAGTCCACATTACTAAGCTTTAGCTCAAAAGAATGACTGTATTTTCTAACCTGAATTCTAAACATCCCTGGTGAGTTCACATGCAGGTTTCCCTGATTAGTCTACTGTACATGACAATGATTATTGTACAAAGTTTCTGTAAACAACAAACAAGTTCTTGTATCTTCTTTTGCAACAATCCTGTGCTCATTCCTACTCTTGCAAATCCAGTGATTTCAGGGATTTGTTGTTGTTAATGTTGTTAGTAGTCCAGCACGGTTCAGATGTTAACACCAAGCCATCAACATTTTGTATAACATGATTGCTGCTGCACAGTGCAGTCAACAGTCTATCTGCTAAAGATATCCAGTGTTCTTGAGTATTCAAGATGCAACAGAAAAGAAAATACGTGATGTTCAAAAGGCATCTAAGGAAATGTTGCTATGGCTTTACCTATAGATTCAAGCTTTATATATGTACAGTTAAACTCTAATGATATTAGGTAATGAATTTGACATTGCATTGATTGAAATTGGACTAAATAAAAAAGGGGATTACAGTTTCAACTGGTTCAAATAGGATGCGTCAAGGCACAGCCTCAACTTACACAAAGAATTGGTTCTCGTACGGAAGAGATCCATCATACTTTTAATGTCAGCAGATTGGTTCAAAAGATGGCTCATGAATTTTCCAATTCTTTCTAATCGATAAATATGAAAACATAATTTAAGATAAATATAATTACAAATGTCTTAAGAACATTCACAGTGTGTTGCCCATACTGCTGCTGACCAGACCTTTAATATTAGTGACAGGTCGGACATCATGCAATTGCTTTCTTCTGTCTATAAAAGTGGACAAGCGTGTTGTGTCCAGAGGAGTCTTAGAGTACTCTCCACCATGGACACCCCCTCGGCCCACCCATGGGTGCTGCAAACAGGATGTGGCACTGGGCCGTTTTCTGGGATCCTGTTGGAGCACGGACGTAACAAAATCCTTGGCAGCCTGACTCACATCCCGGAAGTACTCGTCCGGGAAGCAAAAATCCAGGCGGCAGATGTTGACACAGGTTTCCTCTGGAGACTCGTCCAGGAAAGGGGAGACTCCGCTGAGCAGGACATAGGCCAGGACCCCTATACTCCACACATCAGTGGACACAGAGACGGGGGTCCCACGGATCAGTTCTGGGGCTGCGAACTCTGGATTCCCCAGCAGCAGGTGAACGTATCGCCGATGAGCGATCAGATGCACGGCATCACCAAAGTCTATGAGCTTCACACCTGGAGTCTGGGAGTGCAAATCCACCATGATGTTCTCGGGCTAAAAGGGTATAGAAGAGAGATTCATTTACATTCAAACTGTTACAGCAGACTATAATACATAAAATGCAAAAGCCCACAAATAAGCCATCCAATTAAACAGGATTCTAAAAGTCCTAACAAATATTATATTTACAGAAATAAGTGGAGTTAACCTTTAAATCGAGGTGGGCAACTCTACAGGTGTGAAGGTGCTGCAGTGCCTCCAGTGTTTCTCTGATGAAGAAGGCAACTTTCTCTTCCATCAACTCATCATGAGCAACCAGATAGTCCAATAAACGGCCATCTTCCAGTCTTAAGTGTACACATTGAATTTTATTTTAGTGTGTGTTGGATCAATGAAAAATGTTAATTGTTAAATCTAAATGTTCCAATATATAAATAATAGTTAAATGTGACTTACAACTCTAAGACCAGCATGAGATATGTGGAGGACTCATATGCATCCAACAGCGCCACCACCTGGTGACTCTGTACCTGACGCAAGATGTCCGCTTCATGAGCCACCTGCTCTTTTTTCAGCATTTTCTTGCTGACAAATTTAACAGCAACCTGGGAAAAATACTTAAAATAAAAGCTGGACTATTTAACATTGCCTTAATTAATAATATTCTTTACCTCTTTCTTTGTAGATTTGTTATGACATTTTCGGACCACAGAAAATCTTCCCCTAAAAATAAATAAATAAATAAAAAACTACTACTAATATATTTTTTCAATATTTTTTATTCAGTGAGTAATAAACACTACTAGTAATAATTTCTATATCATTGATATAAACTTGGACTGATATTTCTTGGGAAACAAAGGGTTAATATAATGGAATGGAAATGGACAGATCACAAATTTTCTTCCAATGGCATCTGGTTAAATCAGTGACTCCTCCTGCGGCACTGAACTAAAACACCTGCGGGGACTTTGGTGGCTGGGACGAAGTTTGAGATTGACAGTTGTCTTAACCAATCATATTTCATTGAGTTATGGGCGGGATCATATCATGAAATCTTCCGGACTTTCACAAATACCCTGTGATAGAATTATGTAAGCGAGACCGAAGCAACGAAAACTGCACTGGACACCTTCTATTTGTACGGAGAAGAATGAGAAAGACCCTTGAACCGGAGCCCGCGGAAGCCCAGAAGCCACGGCTGGTCCGAGCCCGCTGCCAGAGCTGAAGCCCGCGGCCGGGCCAGCGGCCGGAGCCCACGGCTCGGACACGCTGCATCTCACGTGGTCAGAAAAAAGTGAAAAAAGGGTAAAGAAAAGACGTCAAACTTAAAGAAACGCTCGCGGTGGCCTTTTTCAAAATAAAAGCCAGTGAGCGACAGACGTTTACAATAAAATAAAGAATAAAAACTGCGTTAACGGCTTTAAAATTATTGTTGGCGATAATGAATTAGTTAACGCAAAATTAACGGACTTTGAAAAAGTCCACCGCGAAGGTTTCTTTAAGTTTGACGTCTTTTCTTTACACTTTTTTCTGACCACATGAGATGCAACATGTCCGAGACTCTGCGGGCCGCGGGCTCCGGCTCCAGCCGGGCCGGACCAGACGTGGGCTCTGAGCTTCCGCGGGGTCTGAGCTCCGACCCGTCTTTCTCCTCTTCTTCTTCCAGACGTCCCTGAGGCGTCCAGATAGAGGTATCCAGTGCGGTTTTTGTCGCTGCGGTCTCGCTTACATAATGCTATTTCAGGGTATTCGCGAAGGCTCAGAAGATCTCGTGATATGATCCCGCCCATAACTCAGTCACTGATTTACCCAGGTGTCCACTGGAAGAAAAATTGTGATTAATCCATTTTCATTCCTTTATATTACCCCTTTGTTTCCCAAGAAATATCAGTCCAGGTTTATAACAATGATCTAGAAATTATTACTAGTAGTAGTGTTTATTACTCACTGAGTAAAAAAATATATTTGTAGTACAAAAAAATCATTCAATATTTTTTCTTGACCCTTCAGAATACTTTGAAGGTTCTGAGGGTTGCCCTCTGAAAGAAATGCTGTTTGCACAACAAATGTATGGCTCTTTCATTTACATTTCCAATAAAAGTGCACTATACGCTACTTTTTAATTCATTAATTGGTTTTGCGTATAACATGCGATTGCACTCAACATGCACTCAAACTCATGCGATTAATGAGATTAATATTTTTTATTTTTGCCCAGCCCTAATTATATATGTGTATATGTGTGTGTGTGTATGTGTATATATATATATATTAGTAGTGTCTTATCAAAAATATTTGTAGTTAATTTGTGTAAATTACCTGCCAATTTCTGAGATTTCAGAAAACGATGTCTCAAAGTTTTCTTTCCATTGAATTGCAGCTCCATCATAAGTAGCATCTAAATCAACATTTGTTTTTACATAGTATGTTGATTCAAGTGCAAATAAATACAAGTAAAAATAAATTAAAAATAAATTCAAGGATAAGTTTCTTACTTCCACTGGGTAATGTGACCATATTTGAGGGCTCAGATGGAGGTCCAACTCCCCAACGATTTGAGGCACGCACTCTGAACTGATAATGTCCACCTGGGATCAGTGTGTCTATTTGAACGCACTCCTCTCGACTGCTGGCCACCTGCTGCCATAAAAACGAGTCTAAGGGAAGAACAAAACAAAAGGGATCATTATGCCTCACTGTTTTTAGTCAACAATACATTTCACTACAATGTAATTTTACTCCAAGGTTGGATATTGGACAAGAGTGATATGATAAATGTATAGGTAACTGTATAACTGTTACTTGGTAATAACTTGACAAATAAAATAAAATAAATATATAGCACTGTTATTTTCTGAAATGTATGTTTAAACACGGGAGGAGCTCGGAGTAGAGCGGCTGCTCCTCCACGTCCAGAGGAGCCAGTTGAGGTGGCTCGGGCATCTGTTCTGGATGCCTCCCTCGGGAGGTGTTCCGGGCATGTCCCACCAGGAGGAGGCCCTGGGGAAGACCCAGGACACGCTGGAGGGACTATGTCTCTTGGCTGGCCTAGGAATGCTTCGGGGTTCCCCCGGAGGAGCTGGAGGACGTGTCTGGGGTGAAGGAAGTCTGGGAGTCCCTGCTTAGACGGCTGCCCCCACAACCCGGCTCCGGATAAGCGGAAGAAAATGGATGGATGTTTAAATATAGATGGAGGGATTCCTTTTTAAACCCAGCTCCAGGTTTCTGTAATTTTATTGTTCCTGTAATTGTAAGTAAGTGGTTTATTCATATCCATACCCTCTTGGCGGTACTCTACATTGTAGCTGCTCACAGCACTGTGGGCAGATGAAGCTGGTGGAGGCCAGTGCAGCATGACTGAGGTGCTGCTTGCCTCCTGTGCCACGGGTCTCCCTGGGGCTGCTGGGATACCTTCAAACAAAAAAAAAAAAGTTCTGGTTATAATAAAAAGTGGTAAACATCATGCTTAATAACACTTGATTACATTATACCTTGAACTTTAATGGAGGCAGAAGATGAGGCCGAACCATGATCGTTGACTGCGACACATGTGTAAATGCCTGTGTCTTGAGGCATCAGGTTACACACTTTTAAGAGGATATCCCCAGTGTCCCTAAACAAATAGGAAAGTGCAACAATAAAGCAAATAGAAAGGTAGATAAAAAATCGATTTTACATTATAATCCTAATTTTGTGGGCCTTGCCTTATTTCAATAGTGAATCGGCTGTTGCTGGTGACTGGGCTTTGGTCAGGGCCCTTCAATGTGATGGTAGGTTTGGGACGCCCACACACTTTACAACAGAGAACCACCGTCTCTCCGAACGCACACACCACATCGGACAAAGGCACCAGGAACTCAGGGGCCACTGGAAACAAGTTGTATAGTAAATACCTTTTTAATAAATTGTTTTAAAAACATGACAGCATACACGTGAACATCTTACCTTTCTGAATGAAGTTGGGGTTGAGAAGCTAAAAAGAGAGCAGAGATTAACACAAGGTTTGTTGATTCTAACTTGTAAAACAGTTAACATTTTGGAATATGTTCCTACCTCCATGCCTGTTTTTGGGTCAAGGTCATCTTCACAATCTGACTCATCTGATGTATGAACATCCTGGTGGAGGAGGGTGGAAATGGGAGAGAGGATCGGAGGGAAAATATGAAGAGTATGAAGGAAAGTGACGAAAAGAAGAAAGGAGTGGAGGGAAGCAAAAAACAACAAGCAGGATTTCTGACAATATGTGCAGTATCAGGTCTTCAAACCCTAACAATGTGAAACAAGCACAGAAGCATCTCACCAGTTCAAAGGTTTAGCTTCATGTTAGTGCACAAAACAAGAAAATCTATGCAAACATACAATCTATCCATGCACTACAAATAAATCGAGGACAAATAAGCATTTCATCACAAAAACAAAGAGTTAGTGAAAATTAAAAATGACTCAAGGGTACAAAAATAGGTTCTCAACCCCTTAGTATAAAGATTATGCTGAACTATGGTTTAGTGTGTGGTGTGGTATGCACAAAGGACAGTTACACTGTATTTCAGAAGTCTAAACCTGACCTATTTCATTTTGTAAATGTGCTTTAATGTAAGTTCCAAATGAGTTGTGTGCAGGTTGAGAACCACTAACACACAAAAATAAAACTGGGAGGAGGCTGCCAGGTTCGGGCACACGTCGTCAACCTGCTCTACTCACTTTGCCCTTGGCCTTGGTGGCGGGAGACCCCATTGACGAAGGGGGTGTGGTTTCTTTGGGTTTACGGACAAGTCCGTTCTCTTGACCCCTCACCCCCAGAGGAGCAACATCTTTGGCTTCGGCGCGCTTCCTGGCGCGCAGTGTGTTCCATGATAATGACTTTCTGTGCAGTACAGGAACAACAAAGATCAACTGACCAATGAGAGACAGACTCGGGAGCAGAAGCTGGCTGCAGAGGCAACACAGTGTTTCAACATACCTTGGGCAATTATGTTACAATAATACATGTTGTTCATATACATTTGAAATTATTCTTTTATATATAACCATATGGTACATCTAAAATGTGCATTTTGATTTTAATGCTTTAGCAATATATTGAATATTTCCTAAACTATTTTAAATACTTTCACATACATGCTTTATATGTTGTTTTAGAAAGCAAAATGCCATCAGACTCTTCAGGTGCATGAAGTGACAGGAGAGGAAAAAAGGCCACCATTTATTCAGAGACAAAAACACAACTCAAAGGAGGACACACATACTGTAACATAACAGTATGATGCTTCTATCACATCCAGATACTGAACATTTATGAGCTTTGAGTTTTTGAAAGCAGCTGCTGAGTCATTTGATCAGTTAAATCAAATTAATAAAAAAGGTTTTAGATTCACATGGTGTATGGAGTGTGAACCATCAGTGTTAGTACAACTTAAAACAAACTCAACAGAGAATCAAAATACATACAGAAAGGGCAAAGACCACACAGCTACATCCAAATATTGCTTCAGGTATAAATATTAGTGCAAGTAATTCACTATCATTGAATTCAATCAATTTACTTTAAGTATTTTCTTAAATATGACATGTAATTTAAAGCATCCAAATTAGCACACAGAAGTAGCAATGTTTATGTTTACTGTTGTAGTTTATTTACAAATATTAAAACTACAAACATAACGCAGAACAACTTAACCTTCACGTTGCATTGCTAAGCCATGCTCGAGTCCAAAAGATTTATTGTACATATTTAAAATAACATTTAAAATCAATATTAATAGACTATCAACAGTACATTGCAGTACGTTGTGTTTTAATCAAACATATTGCACACTTAATTCATTCATATTTTTTCTTAAATAGTGCAAAAGGATTTTTAACAGGAATGTTCTAGAGCCTCAGTCAAAGCTGTACAGTGAAGTGTCAAAAATATGAACAAAATCAACACCAAGAGGGGAAAATAAAAATAACAGGAAAAAAACATAAATTTGTATAAAATTGCCACAGACAATAACATAAATCTCCAGTTCGGAGAAGAAGGCTGAGACCACTTGAATGCCCCAGCTGCATGGATCATTATTTCATTATTTTACAAAAAAAAAAGAAGAAGAAGAAAAAAAAAAAACATTAATAAGGACTAAAATACAAAAGGAGAAAAGGCAGGTGTTAGAAACTGAAATAAGAGTCCGGTTTTAGCTCCACACTCAAGTTCTCTGTTTTACGTTTATAAGTTTTACCCAGCCTAATGCTGCACAGCTCTGCTCAGTGTTTGTGTTTATTGTGAATCCAAAGTTACTTCATGTAGTTGCCAAAATGTACTGTGACAATGGCTCAGTAATGACGCTGTCTACGCAGCAGATTGACAGACTGGTTTTGTACCTCAAAGAGCAACAAATCAGTAACAAAAAAACAAAAATGTCCCCTGTGAGGTCCAATAGTTCATTTTTAAATAAGGATATTTGAATAGTCTTTAAAAAAGGGATTTGAGCACTCTCAGTTTGTCTCCAGTTTGAGCACTCAAACCCAAACAGAAGTGCTGGTGGAGGTGGGCGGGACTTACTTGATATTGTTTGCGTCGGCCACTGCTGTGGAGAAGGAACAGGCAGAAGAAGAGTCTCTGAGGGGCTTGGTGACCGGGCCGAGCACATGTCCTGGGACCCAGCCCTCCGCAGCGGGGGACTGGCTATTGGCAGGACGATAAACCAGGTACATGTTCTGCTGGTTAGTAGCCAAGACTTGGACCACCTCTCCTTGAGTCACATTGATCTCATTCTCCTTGAGTGCAGAGTAATCCTGAGTGACCAACATGGTGGACGAGACGCCATTACAGCCGCCATCACTGTCCTGAGAGGGGAGAGGGTGTTACAGGTCGGAGAGGAAAGAGAAAAAACAAAACCAAGGTAACAGGAAAAGAGGAGGAAACATGGGGAGAGGATGGAGACATGAGTGGACAAAGTTAGGAGTGTTCATGAGGGCTGGATCACAGTCCTGCTGATTGTGATACCATCAAGTACGACCTGAGGAACATCAGGGTGCGACCAAAGAGGAAAGGAGGGGGCGACAACAGGTTCAGGAATTAGAATGTGAAGAAACCAAGTATTTGCACCTAATTTTTAAGATGTTTTATTAATAGGTCATTTATTTTGCATTTCTGACTATGAATTTTGTATTTTTGACTTTGAAAACTATACCGTTTCTTTGAGTTAGACTTCTGAAGTCTAGAACAAGTGATTAGATTCATGGCGATACTTGAAGGATGTATATATTAGAGCAAAAACAGTTAACATTGCTTAAACTATTTTTTAATAATAATTTCTTTACAACATCCAACCTAAACTTACCAAAGAATAATTCACATTATAAAGTAGTTATAGTAACCCATTTTTGCTTGATTCAGCATTTTTATTTGAAGTGAACACTTGATAGACAACAGATTGCAATAATTTACAGTAGTTCAAAGTGCTTTGATGTTGTAAAGCACATGGCAAAAAGTGCAAGTGCCAAAATTGTGGGGCTAAAGTCGGTTGGAAAGAAAAAAAAAAAAAAGAGTATAAAACTGAAGTAACATTTACCTGCAGTGGCCCAGATTTTACCCTTGGTTTTTAAGGACAATGTGAAAAGTATCTACAGTCACTAGAATGCAAACAGACCCGAAAGCATCTCTTACCCTGGGAGTGAAACACGAGCCCCCGTTGGAGGTAGACAGTTTGATCTGGCTCTTGCCCCTGTCCACGTCTTTGTCACTAAGGCCCACTGCAGACGAGGGGCGGCTGTGGGAGCCCTGTTGACTGCTGGAGGTCGAGCGATTTCTGTTTAGAGAGCCCTTCTCATTCTGGTACGTAAGGGGGAACTGTAGTGCTGCATTGAAAGACAGAAAACTAATTATCAGTTTGTCAAATGGGGTTCTTTACACCAAGCTTTAAGGCCTTCTCTATGGTCAGCTCTAATCTCTGTTTTTTAATGCCAGATGTTACCCTGTCACCTGTGAATCTTATTAATTTGATTTAATTGGTGCTTTGTTATTAAAATAGATATTTTATATGAATCTTTATTTCTTATGATGACCTACAAATTACATAATACCTAGATTTCTTGTGTATTCAAAAAATACTCTTACCATTTAGCAATGAGATTTGATATTCCAAGCGCTCTTTTATGTGCTGGACCCAGACCTGCTTGATTTCAACATTAGCTGCCTGAAGAGTGAAGCGCTCAGATGTCCCACGACACAATAGCACAAACTTACAAGGGTCATTATCCACACTCTCCTCCAAACCCAAGTAAGACACCTATGAAAGAACAATGTAATGCAAGTTTGACACAGACAGACTGTTAGGGTATCAAAGAACCTTTTCTATAAAAACAAAACAAAAACAAAAACAGGCACCTCGTCTGAACCTCTCCATGAAAAACGACATAATAGTGGACATAAACTGTATCATGCTGAATAATACTACAAATGAATAACAATAAGTAGGTGTTTTTTAGCCTTTTTTTTACATTTAGAATTTATTGGTATTGGTATTATTGGTATTACAGTACCTATTGTGAACAGAACTGGAATTCTAGTTATGGTATCATATAACAAGGCCAATATAACCGTTGTCCCTGCAGTACCTTAATGCTCTTTTTGAACAGGTATCCAGGTATGGAGGAGCCTTTCCGGAGCAACTCACTGAAGATGACGATCTGCTCAAAGAGGAAAACACGGCGTTCTTTGGAGCGGGACAGTACCCCAGTGTCCTGCTCTGTCACAAAGAAGGTCTCCTGTTGCAGCAGTTTGCCCTGATTGGTAAGTTTGCCCTGAAGAAAGATGTCACTTATTAACAAACCACTGCTTGTTTAAAAAGAAAATACATGATAGTTAATTCACAACTTGTTTTACCTCATAACCTTGCAGTCGACCCAAATTCATCATGTCATTGCAAAGTTTAGGAACCTGGGACATTATGTCTACAGCTTTCTGCAGGGGAATTAGATGTCAGATAAAGCAAAATGGAAAAGCTAAAGAACAATGGCATAGAAAACAAAATATTATTTTACCTCAGTTTGTTCACAGTCCATTCCAGCCTTTAAGCTATACTTTAGAAAGTCCTTGGAATGAAACGCAGAATACAGTTTTTTAAAAATACCAGAAACAGCCTGCACCACTATCTGGATATGGGTATTAACAAATTACATACCTTTAATAGCAGCTGATATTTAGTGATTCTTTGGATGGGTTTTATAAGAAAATCACTGATGCTTAACCTTGACTGGATATCTTGCTGGATTCCCTATAGATAAACAAAACAATTTAATACACACATTACTGGAGAGACCATTATAGAATTTAGGTGTCACAGTGTCTTAACTTACATCAAAATAGGTATCATATTCTGCTACAATAAATTCTGACTTGGGTTTATTCTGGCAGTAGATTACATACATGTGAAGCCGTCTCTCCTGGAAACAAATAAATAATAAACAGTAATTATGGTTGTTATGCAAATAAGGGGCACTGTTTGGAGGTTGATATTGACAAAACAAGTGCTCACGTGTTTGATAAAGAGTTCAGCAAGGTGGTCATGGTCATCCAAACATTTTTCCAACTCTCCCACAAAATAGCTACAAAAGCAGATACTGGTTAGCATTTGACCAAACAACTAATGATCCACTTTCGTTTTTGCTTTATATGTATTAAACGTCAGGCTTACTCTTTGTGCCACTCGTAGATTTGGTGGATGTTCCCAAAAACAATCTTATCTTTGCCTTCCATGTTTTCAGGAACACCTTTCTCCTTTATCCTCTTCATGAAGCCCTGTGGAATGAGGAAAACAGGGTTATCCAACACTATTCTAAGATATACGTTTCTGAAATACATTTTTTCTTAAGGGATTAGTACTTGGGATAATTATCTTAGTAATGGCACACTACAGCCACTGCATTGGTGGCTAAGATTGAAATTTATTTGTCCGAAATAATTATATAGTTATTTCACTATCAGGTTATGGTTATGACAAAAGATTAGATTTATTAGATTTTTTTGGAATAGATATGCTGGACGGGTCTTGGCGGAACTATGTTGTGAAGAAAATGATGCATATTCACTTACCTCCACTACTGTTCCAAGGTCTTTGACATAGTCCTTTTCTGTTTGAACAAGCTCATTCAAGACAAACCTATGAAAATGAGAGAGATAGTGACTGTTAGAAACCCAAAGAAGCACACCAGTATTTTGAACATATCTTGGTACTCACATTCGCCCCCTCATGGCCTTGGCTCTCTGCTCCAGCTCAGGATTTCGAGGCTGGACTGGTGTAGTCTGTTCTGGAGGTGACAGGGATGGGAAAACCGGGTATGATCCTGACTCCAGGGGCTGTGGACAAAAGGATGTGTTAGGATATGGATTATAATTCAGTTATTTTGTGGTATGGTAGTTCTGTATTGCTATATAGCTCTGGTGTAAATTTATGCAATCAGATTAAATTCAAGTCATTAATTAACACAATAATTGCATAATAATGACTGAAACCAATGCAATTCTTGATATTTGGCTTAGTGACAATGGGACACATGCAGGTGAATAGTGGAGTTTGCTCTTCAATTACAAAACTACACAAAACTCACTTGAAAATGGACAGCTAACTGAATAAACCTGAACTCACCATTTTGGTTTTAACCAGTTTTTCTATGGCGCTAACCAGCTCAGCAGCACTGGGGACCTCAGAGGAGGGCTGCATGGATGTGAGTAGGGTGGAGGACTGAGAGCACAGGTGGACCAGAGGAAAAGGTTTGAGACAGTGGACAGAGTTAAACCCAAAAGGAATGACACAGAGGAAAAGCCACAGAGATTTGCAGTAACGAAAAGGTACATTGTAAAAAGATATTAGTAGAAGGAGGTTTTTTGCTCTTGAAAGTTTTGCCCCATCTACCCACCTTGTCATCTGGGGCAGAAGGGTCTTTGATTATGTCCATAGGGGGAGGCAGTGGGGTGGCTGTCTCTTCATCCTGGTCCTCCTCTCCACCGCTCTGCATCCCAGACTTCGACAAATTAGCCTCTTTGGCCGTCTACAGAGGAGAGACAACAATTATAATAATATATTTTTATATAGTATTAACTAAATTATTGTAATCCTCCCAGGCCAAGCTTAAACGTCCACGATGGAGCAATGAAGAGCTTGGTATGGTATGAAAATTGAGGATGTACTACATAGTAAGAATCATATAATAAAGCAACACCACAAAATTTGGATTGATTCACAAAAAAGGCTCAAAAATGGGTACATGACAGCTAACATAATGTTCTTGAACTTCACATATGTGCAAATGAATACTTCAGCTGTCAGATTTGGCCTTTTAGCTGAACATACGGTCATTAAACCAGTGTCAACTCTGTTATAACTGTTACATCACATTTCAAATGATTCACTGCTAACTGCTGAATAAAAAGTATGCTAACTTTCAGTCATGGAACCATGTCCCTTGAAGCCCTGATTTTTTAAGTAGTTAGTTCAAACTACTTCAAGCTTTGAATAAAGAAAAGACGCAGCATTTTTCCCCTAAGGTTGATTTTTCGAAAGCTCTTATTCATGTTGAGTGCGTCTGCTTACCTCATCGATAATATCATCCTGCAGAGCAATATTCTGTCTGTGCTCAAAGCCCTCGTTACCAATGCCTGTACCTAGGACATAAAACAGCAGATCAATCACAAAGAAACAACGCATGCATTATCTACAAAAACAGACAGAATAATATTGGCTATGTTTATTGATCATGTTATATGGCCTTTGTCTTACCAGTCTTCTTCTGTTTGTTGTTGGGTAGTTTCTTGACAGAGCTACTGCTGAGACGTCGTACCGGGCTGAACCATTTCTTCAGAGTGTTCCCTGAGCGTTTGGGCCCTGGAGAGCTGGAGTGCAGAGAGCTGAGGGACGGCTGGGGCTGTAGGTTGGCCACAGATTCAGTCTTCACATCGGATGGATAGTTTTCTGAAAGACAAAATGTAAATACCAAATAAATAATTTTATTCCTCTGGCTTTAATATGCATAATAATTTCAGTTATTACATGTCATAAAACATTGCAACAACAACACTGGCATTTTAATGTAGGTTGGTGCAATTACAGGAGTAATTTTGTCGATCGTCAGTACCCATTTGACATTTACGGTTTGATTTAATCAGTGGCAGTAACTGCAGTGCTCAAACCCACAGCGAATCATAATTAAATGATTGCCATCGATCAAGCTGTCTGCCTTTACAGATTTTCATAAGATCAACATTGTGCAATCTTTTACATAAACTAAAATTTTACACTCAGATGATTTCAGTGGGAATCTTTATATTTGTTGTCTTGAATCTGGACAATGTGTTTGACTCTTAACCTGTTTTGGAAACAATAAAACCAATTAAGAGCACTGAAAACCATACAACAGCAGACAAGATGTTTATTACATTGGTGGAACACAAAGGGGCTGGTTCATATGATTCTATTTATAGCAGATCAGTACATGTAGCTTTTATCTGAGTGTCTGAACGGCCTGAGTGTGTGAAAGGAGGAACTGGCGTCATGAGTTGGCATGTGGTGGATCAGCTGGGCTAAAATGAAGCTGGGAGCTGCACACTGTGGCGTCTGTGGCTTTATATCTGTTTTTGACAGGGTATCAAAGGTCAAAGGTTCAAGTGACTCTCCATTGGTGCACCACAACACTTCCCTCAATATGTTTCTATTACTAATAAAGGGTCCAGAATATGTAATAATTATGACAATCAAGATCATTGATGAGATGTTAAATGTAATTTACATTTAATAGCAATTAGATGGATTTAGAAAGGTACATGTCTCCCATAATGGAACAAATTATCAGGAGAAAAGATGAAAGGTTACTCCTATCTGCTGCACTCAATATATCTTTTTGCTAATTATTACAAAAGGAAAAAAAAAAAGCAAGCAAAATGGCAGAACACCTCCAATCAAATTGAGACATGTTTTGGTTCTTACCATCATAATAACTGTTTTTAAATGTATTTTGAAAGCAATGACCTACTGGAGGCCATTCACCTATAGACCATCTGACTTTTGTTCTGTGGCTTTAACTGTGGGTGTTATCAGGCAGCACAGATAAAGCTCTGACCACAAACCAAGGTCAGGTAGGATTTGAAACTTTTTCAGTCTTGTGACACAAAATTCCTGACACAATATGACAAATATATGTGCAGGGAAGGAGTCAGATGAACAGTGTATCATAATAAAGCATGTGAAAAACAGGATGCCTCAACAAACCATAAATGTGCATTTGTAATAATTCTTTGAGAGCAGCTGTTTCCCTTGACACTGACCACAGATAATAGATGCATCACCAGAGACATTTTGTAAATCTGCTAAATATTTCTACCACTGAATATTTTAGATGGGCATTTCTATACAAAAGAGCCAGTGGGTTTGAGTGGGTTTGGTATTATTTAGGTTATTTAAAGTACATAATATATTACGTATATTTTAGTAGAGATGTGAAATAAGTGTAAATCATGCTATAAAAAGTTTTTTGTGCTTTCCATGTGGTGTGTCAGTGGGTTTTGCCTCTTAGAAAATCCTTATGTACAGTAATTCTGAGGAAACTACTTGAAGAAAAATCTCCTTATATGAACACTGAGGCAGAAAGGTCAAAGCTTACAATGATGGACAGGTGCTTAGAAGTTCCCCTGTATAACGTAAGGGATTTTAACATGTGGCTGACCACACCATCTCATTAAGCTCTGAAGTACAGGGAGCTGTGACGTCAGAGAGCCAATAGTTCTACTACATGAACTGAAGTATCATCAAGTGGTTTATGATTGTTTTGGACCATTATGAAAGTAATAATAGTTAAGGTCTTAAGAAACACAAACAGATTAGAACTGAATGTCTGTTATGTCAGTTTGCTTAAAGGTACACTATGTAATTCTGGTGAAGGAACAGCCACCTGCTTGTCTCCATGGGGATGTTATTGCTTTGCTCAGTATAAACTTATCTAAATTTAAAGATACACAGTGTGCCTTTTAACGTAGGGAGAGAGATTAAAATTATGTGTATTAGTACTAAAATCTACAGCATACAATTTACATGTGTTTTGGAGTGGATTCTATAAAATTATACCAAATATCTTCCCTTTTGAAAAGAGATGTGCATACTCAGCACTACTGCAAGAGAAAGTACCTTTACCCTACATGCGCTTTGCAAGTTTTGTTTTTCATTATTGCTACAAATGAGCAAAAACAATTACACATTCCAATCTTATCTCAGAAGGAAGCTGATAATATACCAAAATATTATCATGACTTAAATAAATATATATTTACTGTACAGGCACAGTCAAAACATACAAGGTATAAAACAATACTGAATTAATTTGCAAATACATTGTAAATACCATGTTTTTCTATTATTATGCCAACTATGCATATGTCAAGTTTGAAAAACTAAAAATTCCAGTGGCAGAAGTACTTTGTGAATGCACTGGAAAAAGGATAATGCAGTATCAATTTGAGAATGCTGAAGTCAGGTGAGACCCAACAAGGGAACTTTTGTTGTGCTGCCTAAAGCAAAGACAGACTGTCCACTGTTAAAGTCCACATCACTCAGTATCTTTAATCACACACACTCAAGTGACGAGCAGGCTGCATTCACTGTACCACTGTCAGAGAGGCGACAGAGCCAGGCTTTGTTCAACTCCACAGCTATAAGGAAATAATGCATAACATGTGCTAAATGTTTACTTAACAAAAAGAGCACAAAGAGATCACTGCAAAACACAACACTGAGGAAGGTGTTCAAGGATACGTTTAGTCTAGTGTATCTGCACTATTCTGAGACATGGAAAATATACAAATTCAACAAAATGACTATTTGCAAGGAGTTGCTCCAGGTTTTGAGTGGTAGAAAGACAGCACATCATCACCATTAAACTGAGGAAACAGTCAGTCAAAACATTTTCGTAATAGTTTAAATTACAATTTTAAATGCACAGCCCTAGTTAATATGAATGTAATGATGAAACCTATTGTCTTATATTTGCTAAACATTTGAATTCGGGCAGCACTATGAACAGACACGATCCCTAAAATTGCATTTGTGTTAGTAATGAGAAAATTCATTTGTATTTGTTGATCTTTGCAATAGTCCACTGCCGTCCACAATTGCAATTGTGCACGGCTCTCCTCTCTTTGTGCATTGTAGTCAATGACAGGAGAGACAGTAATCTGGGAAGATCACATTCCTATCATACCTCCCATACTCTGACTCCTGTCTTTACAGCTTTACAAAACCATACTTACTGAATCAGTCATACTTACAGATATGTTGTTATTTTGCCTAAAATGTATTCTACACCTGGTAACAAGAGTATGGTTCTGAACCCAACTAAAAACTAGTTTCCCTTTATGGTAGAAAGTGGTATATACAGTTGAGTCCAGGGCATAACAGGGCAGACTGTATCAGTGCTAATGAGGGAGCACATGGGAGATTTGTCTATGGGTACCCTCCATTATAAGAGCTGGCACTGGGTCAAAGCAGTTTCCTGTCCATCCTCAGGTCTAATGAGCAGTAGAGGCCACACAGAATCACTTTACACTCCCAGCAGACAAGTACTCTCTACTTCACTGTGTACAACATTGCTACAACAATTTCAAATATTTGAGAGCATTTACATGCCTATGCTAGAGACTGTATAAAGACGTAGAATGTGGCATCACCCATAGGCTTTGGCTCTAGTCAAACGAAGTTCATGAGGCTAGCAGTTATAGGAGCAAATTTGGAACTGACATCTATATTATAAATGGGTATTTTTAACTGATAAATAGCTAAATTAAAAACACTGGGATCATGTAGAGAAGGTTCACACGAATTTTTCATGACCAAATGACAAAGTTCACCGCAGCAGTTACAGAGAGAAGGGTGCAAATTTTCAATGTAAAGTCAATAGGAACCAGATTTGATGGAGCCGGAAGCACCCTCAGCTACTAGCTTTTATGTCCATTTATACAGTCTATATCCATTTATACAGTCTTAGGTTTGCTCGCAAAAATGAGGAACATAAGGCCTGCAGTTGCTTTAACAGGCTTCAGGCCATGACCTGTCATCTCTTATGGAGGATAAATTAACAAAAGAATTTGACAAACCTGTTTAGATCATTGCATCATGACAGGCCTCCAATAACTGCCACCATTCCTTAAAAAAATGAGTCTCATTGTATTTGCTGTAATGTAAGAAAAGTACTGATTACATTTTAACAACACAAAAGGCTCATTCAAACTTGCATAATAAGTCAGGTTAATGATTAAAATACTATGTTTACTTAATCAAAAATGATCAAAGAAAAAAACAAACAGTTGTATTAATTGAAACAGAAGTTTTCAAAAAAACATAATAAAAACAAATTGAAAATAAAGCGCATGTTGGTACAAAAATGCCAAATCATTCAAATTTTAAAGAAACTATTGGTATCAAGTAAGATTCAAATACCAGTCTGACCAGTCCACCCACATGCAAATGCACAAAAAACAGAATACCAAGCTAGTATATGAATATTAATGACACTGTGGTCAAAGTCTATTTTTATATCTTTAAATACAAATTCTCCAGGTAACACAGGTGAAAAGAGTAGTAACACAAGCAACCTGAAATATGACTGTAATGGAATGGATGGACACAAGCCAAAACTTAATCTGTCAGAACTAATCTCTAACCAAACACAGAACAACTTATATTTCAAGAAGCCTGTAACTTTTACTCTTGTTACCAGGTGCATACTGTATGGATACTTTTTGGCTCAAATAAATTAGCAGATACCTCTAAAAAGTTACAGTATAAGTCTCTAGCTTGAGTCAACGTCTACTAAGACACTGGTCCCATCTTACAGAACTGCAGTCTATGATCAAAATTATTCTTGTTTTGTCTAATTTTACTATAGTATAACTGCATGCTTTATTCTACATAGTAATATTAATTTAACATAGGTCTAATGCAATAAATAACAAAAATAAGCAGAAGGAGAAGAGCAAAGTTTTAACAGAAACCATAGAGTGTTTGCTGAGTTAGATTTTAATTGTGAATTGCGCAATCATTCCTGCATGTTCACAGAGTTAGTCAATAACATGTGTCACCGACCAATACACACCCCATAATAACACACCCGAATGGCAGCTAACACCATGAGCAGCACAAGAACTTGACCAAACAAACATATGATTTTACACAAAGATAAAAAGCATGCCTTCTCTCTTCCTTCTCTGTGTGACAAATTGACTTCCACAGTCATGGCTCATAGGTAAATTTTCCACTGAACGCTGCAAACAAATGGCAAATCATGTGTTCCCTACAGATATATTCTTTTTGTCATTTCAAGATGCACATGAGCCATTAAATAATACAGCCATGAAAAATACATTCTCACAGATGTTTAGTTTGTATCCCACCTGTGCCATTGTAACAGCAGCAACAACATCGAGTCAGGATCCAGTCACTGCAACGCCAACCTCGTTTCATCTTGTCTTGTCTTATAAAAACATCCCATTGACCTCCTCTTTCAAACTTTAAAACAAACTACAAAAATATAGACACAGAAAAGCTCCAAGTCCACACAGTTGAGATTCACTAACTGGGACAGAGAGAGTGGAGAGAGGAGGAGAGAGGAGCAGAGCAGAACAGGGAGAGGACAGAGGGGGAGGAGCCTTGTATTCAAACTGCTCTGACTTTCCCAGACACACAAGTTGGGTTTCTCAATCACACTTCACTGATCCTGAACAGAAGTCAGGGCAAGTTAATGGTCTCTACAATAACATGTGGACTCACAGCACAGGAAGGGACGGCTGACAGAATTATATTCACAAAATGAAAAGGGTAGTTCAAATTGTTCAAGTTAAATTTTGTATAACTGTGATAATTAGCCTCAACAAAGATCTACCAGCAGATTGTGCCAAACAATACACACATGCATGCATGCTTTTCTTGATCACTGTTCCCACAACATAAAATACTATAAACATGAAATTAATAATAAGTAAGTAATATTAAGTAATATTAAAACTATACTTAAAAGTCATAACCAGTTTCAACTGTCTGCAATTGCAATTGTGATATTATCTAATCGCAGTAGGCAGTACCCGGCAGACTCCACTTATCCTTTCACACAAAGGCCACAGTGGCAAAATTCTGTACATAAATTCTGATTTTGTTCCTTTTTCTGTTTGTGACTTAGATTATTGCCTTCAGCTCTTTATGCCACAATTAGCTAAAATCTTAAGAATTATCCCATGAGTTTGTAGTTGTTTTTAGAAGACTTTAGGCACTAAACAATAAAACATTATGTAGTAGAATTAATATTTTTTAGCTAGTAAGTTAACTCTGTCAGAGAGTATTATGTTAATTCTGACAGTCATTAAAATTAGTTCCATTAAGGCCAATGTCATTCAAATAATTGTAAACTATAAAAAGCATACAATTTGTGAGGCAACTTGATAACAATGTGCACACTTCACTGCAGCAGTTAAGTGCCTCTAGCAACTACAGTTTTCCTGCAGTGTCCCATTTATTCAGAAATTACGAGACATGATACTAAATAACAAACTTGCTCCAGCCGAAAACAGACTTCCCAAGGTCCTTTCACCAGAAACTGCATCATCACCTAAGTTCAGATAAAGGCCAGCTATTGCAGAACTTTTAAACTGTGCACTGCATATTCAAGTGTAAATTCATGTACATTCATACTGTGTTTCAATAGAGTGTACAGTTATTGAAAAGGACATGGAGACCTACTTTCACAGTCACAAGACACGGGAGAGACAGAGGCATGTGGTGCAGTAACCAAAATGCAGCTCAATTCTAACGATGGATCAGAAAACTCAAGACAGAACATGGAGATAAAATACTGCGTTGTCTTTTAAATGCCAGTTGTTAGTTAACAAGGTAAAACATGTACATTGTTTTGTATTAACAGTGTATAAATATGTTTTGTAAAAGAAAAGTCCAGTAAACTGCGAATTCAGATCACTGATAAGATACAAGTGTTACAAGAGGGATTTTTATATTTTCTGAGGGTATAGATTAAATGAAACAATACTAGTAAAACTTTTTAATCATATATTTTATTTATATTTCTTGGTCCTTCCATATTTGCTTATAACCTGTTGCTAACACTAGCGGGATCTTGGGGAACGCAGGCACCAGATGGTTCTGTTACTACTGTTCATATCTTGATTTAAAGAGAAAATAAAAACACCAGGATCATGCAGAGCAGGCCAATATGAACATTTTAAGACCAAAATGATGAGCCTGACAGCAGCAGTTACAGGGAATATTTTTCAAGAGAAACTGAATTACAACCAGAGCTCGAAGAACTACTTCATGCCCATGTTCACTTCCTACTTGGAACGCAGTGGCTATTGTATTAACTATGTCCATTTTTCTACACAGTCTATGGCGTGGGCAGCCAGTGAAGGAAGGACAAAATCAGGGTAATGTTCTCACATTGTTCGTGGCTTTTTAACAAGGACAACACATCAAAATGAAATGATGCAATTACTTGAGGCTGTTTGATGGTTGCTATAAATACATACCATATTATCTGATATGCTTGGGTGCTACAATAATCTCTTCCTAATAACTAGAACACTAAATGCATGTATTGTCACTTCATGGGTAGCAGAACTGTCTGGATTTGCATCTGTTCTGACAAACACAAGTGCTTCTTTTCATGAGTCAGAGAGGAAACTCCATGTGGCCACAGCAGGCAAATCAGATGATGCGCCGCTGTTCACATGCACATTAGTGTCAATACAGCCCAGCGCAGCTCCACTCCCACACAGCAGCAGCAGCCTCAGGCCTGACCTGTGTGTGAGCTGGAGGAAGCTTTTTCACTTTTACATCAAGTGGTGATAAGATGTATGGGCGGTGTTTTCCTCCGCTCATGGACTTTGATCAAATAATAAATGCAATAATACCTGCAGGAAAAAGTGGTGCTTGACTAATAAGGAGATTCAAATATATTCAATTAACACTTGAATACAAGGTATCTAGGGTTTATGAAAAGCCTTACTTTTTGACAATAACACAAATTTTTTAAAAATTATTTTATTGTGTTTTCCTTTGTATAAAAAAAAAAATTATCAGGAGCTCCACAAAAAATATACAATACTATAGCTCCCCCTATTGGACTTTACCTTGATTTTTAAAATATTTTTTTGTCATGTTGCTGACGTGTTAAAAGGGTGTAAATAACTACGTTACTGATATGAGGGCATTCATAAGTGATAGACTATAATGTGTGTCTGTGAGTGAATGATCATTGTATCAGTGTATGAACAAAGGTAAATGTCAGGTGCAATGATGACATCTCACCAATAGAGGACAATATAGGTCCAGTTATACAAAATAACTGACCTCACTTTTACTTTGACCAGAAACACCGTCTGTTGACCTTGGCTGTGGATAATCAATCTAAGTGCATATTGAATACAGTAGTGTGCATGTACCTTTTCCTGAGAAGAAGCAGTCCATCTCCACACTGGAGCGTGAGTGGGACACACAGAGGGCGGAGCTGGGCACCAGTCCCTCCTGAGGGGGGCTGCGGTCAGTGGTCCGCACCAGACACCAGCCGGGTCGCTCACTGGGCCGCTCCAGCAGCTCCACAGTCTGACCTGGACACAAAGAGAAGGTGTCAGTAACTGTACACAAACACATGAGACCTATAAAGGCTCATGTGACAATCGAAACGGCATAGCCTACCTGTGCTGACAGACATCTCTGTGCTGCAACCGGCTGTGAAGTCCTGAAGAACCACTGTCAACTCACAACCTCCAGAGAGCTACAAACAAAACACACACATCATGCATTATTTAAAGCAACATATTTAAATTCATGCCAAAGACAACACATTTCTGTAAGCAGTGAATATCACAGGATTGGGAAAAACACTGACAAAACAATTCCACTGATGATTACAATAGATGGTGTAAATGATTGGTGTATATGCTAATCAACTGTAGTCATCACTGGGACAAAGGCTTTTAAAATAATTTTATTTAACGGTGTCATGTTACAATGTGTCTTTAAATCCACAGAAACCGAGAAATTGACTGGAGATTTGGAGCGTGTGCCAATGAGTGAAAGCCTGTCCAGAAGAACAGGATGAGCAGGGCCCATGTGGACACAGGTTGTTGCTGTTCTTTTGCTTCCAATGAATCTGATTGGACCGTGTTTAGACAAAACATTTTGTGGAATTTCAAACACTGTCTTTTTTGACACATACATCTCCTGGAGTTTTACACTGTCTCTGACCAAAGTATTTTAATCTTTACAAACAAAGCTATGTCACACTTGAAATACTGTATGAGTATGTCATACACATTAAAATACATTTTAATACAACTGTATTGCCTTATATTCAGCCTTTCAGACTTTTTTTTTTTTTTAAACAATTAATTATTAAATAAATTATTAACATAAACACTGTGAGAATAATTTGAAATATGTTGTTAACAGAGGAAAAAATAATGTAAACAGAGGTAACAGACATCAAAAGATGTGGAGAGAAAACACAAAGGTCACTGATAAGACTTCCTGGACACCTGTTTGCTGTCAAAACACCAGTTTGATTGGGGACCTCCAGGTAATGGAGGTGACAGTTACTACAACAGTCTTACAGTGCCATGTCCTGTGTCTATTAACCCTTCTCCCTGTGTAATGCACCAATACTAGTATTTACCAAACAAAGCAGAGTCGATTTTGGAGTAGCTTTACAGTGTTGTAGTCTGTAATTAGGGCTATAGTTGCCCACAACAAAGTGATAAATTAATTGTAAACCACAAAGTTGTGTACATAATATGAAGCACCTAAAATAACTCTCCTAGTTGCATTTAAAGCTGTGTTTCCAATTGTCTTCTTGGAAAATGTTAGCAGGCGTGCGTAAGCAGACACTTTTAGCTGGGCTGAAGATCTCCTAGCAACAAAGACCCTGTTTCTGTACAGGTCCAGGTGACTTTATACCTGACAGATGGCCAATCGCTTACACAGGCGCACAAATCCAATCAAGATAGTCTAAGGGAGAGCAGTTCTACATGGAAAAATATTGATAAGACACAAACTGTTTCTTTGTTTATTAAAGAATACTGTGGTTTTGTCTACTATATAGTTATAATCTAAAACATATGTGAATCATGTTATAATATTAATTTAAAATTGCAATATTGCCGAATCATATGTTTATCACCAATTAAGAACATAAAATTGGAAAATGAAGTACAGAGAAGTGAGGACAGAAAAATAGGAATTGATCAGCAATATCGCTTCTTGAAAATAAGTGACTACAAATTGCTCAAAGATGCACTGCGAATACAATTTACAAGAGTGCAACTGGTGAGGGAAACAAGTATAACATGGTTAAAAGCTTTAAATTGCAAAAGCTCTAATAGCTCAATTTTGCATAATAGGTCTGCTTTAATAGTGGGAGAGGCAGCCACATATGCTGTCCCAAACAAAAAATATAACACAATTAAGTTTGAATGGTGAGAGAAAAACATTAGGCATGGTGTACATGTAAGTATATTCTACAGAGAAAGTGGCAGTAGTTTTGGCTCAAAGTCCAAAATTAATGTGTGCTAATGGACACAATATGAACACACCCAACATCTGATGACGTGAGTAAGTAATCAAAGTTGATGTGATAACAGTTAATGCAAAGCGATTGCTGATATTACATGAGAAGCAAGATGAAAAAAAATGCAACTATTGTAGTCATCTCTATAAGTTTTGAACAATATAGGAGCAATTAGTGGTTGTTTTAGAAAATCAAAGATCCAGTCACCCAGTATTGTTCCTAAAAAGGCTACAGAACATAAACATCCTTGGAAGATCCACTTTTTGTATTTTGTATGAGTGCTACTGTTAATGGGTGTGTCCTGTGGCCTGTTGGCTCCTGTCATATGACCATAGCCGAGTAATGAAAAAACACAAGCGCGCTCACGCGCACACGCACACGTACACACACACACGCAGCTGTGGCTTGTGATGGTCATATGTTTGAGAAAAATTGACATCATCGAGTTCAGAACTTCAGCATCCTACAAAAACTCAAGAAATATGAACTGTACCTCAACAATGCAAAGAGGATATCGGCAGCTGTATTTGCTTTTGCCTGAGCATATGGTTCTGTGGTGTATGGTCACTACAATTGGTTCAGTTACAATTTGATAACTACACCTTAATTATTACTATACTATAAAGCATGAAGCAATGAAGAAAGTCTTGAAACATAAAGACCAAATTGTTTTATTAAGTATTAAGTAAGTGGTTACTTAGGTGTAGTTATTATAAAGTGTTACCAATGGTTCTACTGGTGCTACTCAACAGCAAATGTTTAGCTATAGTAGTCATACAACACACAAAGTCTTAAAGTGGGACTAAACATGTAAATTCCACCCACAGACACAGTCCAAATGAGCTGTTAAACGGGGCAGTGCCTGGAGGACTAAAGGGGTTACTGAGGGGGGAGGAGGGGGCGGGATCTAGACCAACAAGGAACTCAAATACCGCCCCTGCAGGTGTGTCTGTTGCATATTTGAAAAATTCAAAGATCCAGCCTTTAACTCTGTTTGGGATTGGTTGACATCGTGGGAGAGGAATTTGTTTTATACACACTAACAATTGCACAGGGCCCATTTGGACACAGGTTGTTGCTGTTCTTTTGCTTCCACTGAATCTGAATGGACAGTGTTTAGGCAAAACATTTTGAGGAATCTCAGATCAAGTTTTTCTTGACACATACACACACTGACTCTAACCACACCATTGTAATGTATGTCACTCTTCAATTCATATACTATAAAAGACAAGCCCAGTGTCTGGCAGGATAGACATTTTCATATAATACAACAATAAAAATATAACCTTTAGCCTATTCGGTCTTTAAAAAAAAAAAAAAAAAACCTACATTGGCCATGTGACTCTTTGCTGGATTAACAAAGGTAAAGGTTTCAACAATCATGACAACTTAAACAGACACTGAGAGAGGAAAAAAATAATATATCATAATATAAAAACAATGGTACATCTCATCTCTTGCTTTAAAATGACAGTCCAGAAATCTGGACATAGGACCTCATTTCCTAGTTAGCCAGCGTGTTGAAGATGTATGGAGACACTTTTTTAAATATTCCATCCAGTCCTTGTATTTGCAAAGGTCACTGGTGCTAGGGCTAGCGCATGTCAATGGCCATAGTTAACCTGCCACTAAAAACAGTCTTACCCACTCCACAAAACACCCGAGGCAAACCTATTATCAGACTGTGGATGTGAATGTCTGTGTCAATAGAATAATGTTTGAAATAAAAAGAAACTTTGCATCCCATGAATCATCTCACGTTGAGGGACTATTTTCTCAGCAGCAGTGGAATTTTACTGCCGGTAAGATAGGTGCAAGGTGACATCAGGATGTACATATAAACATATAAAGTGTTCAAATGCAAGGTTGGCTTTACTTCTAAAATTATTCTAATCGACACAGACATTCACATCAACATTCTGGCGTTATAATTGTTTTGCCACAGGTGCTTTGTAGAGTGGGTTTTTAGTGGCAGGCTAACTATGGCCATTGACATGCGCTAGCATAGCACCAGCGACCTCTGCAAATACAAGGACTGGATGGAATATTTTAAAGTGTCTCCACACGTCTCCAGCACTCTGGCCAAGTAGGAAATTAGGTCCTATGTCCAAAATTCCTGACTGTCTCTTTAAAACACTTTAAATATAACTAGTCAGACTGCCTTGACCAACTGAATGACTTTTAGACTTTAATAGACCAAAAATACTAAAGTTGCAAATTAACCTTGTTTGCACTAAAAATGAGGTGACTGATGCTACAAGTCACCAAAATGCTACAAAAATTTACATAGTTTAGTATGAGTGAAATAACACAGAAGAAGCTACTTGATTGTGCACTGCCAAAGCACACTCAAATGCTGTATGGCACATTGGTAAAATAATGCACTAAAACTAGATCATAATACTCCATTTTATACATATATACATACATACATACACACATATATATATACATATATATATATATACACACACACACATATATATATATATACATATATATATATATATTTTTAATATATACGAAATTAAAGCACATTTTTATTTGAAAGATTTTTTCTTTTTGCGCAGTCATACGACTCCAATGGTGATGAATGAAATTTGCTTCAGTAAGCATCAATGGAAAATATTTGATTGTTATGAACCACAAACTCTATAACTGACTAAGTACACTAAGTAGTATAAGTCACACTTTGGACATTTGGTTCTAATAAGCAACACTTGTGCAAATCGATCATTAATTGAGCCACAAGTGCAGCAATTATGCCATTCTGGCATTATAACTTAAGGGAAGATACATGTTTAATATTTGTGTTAAGACAACAGACTAATTCTATAAAAGTTGTAAAATAAACAATATGAATTTAAGTGAAATTAATAATTGCCCAAGATATTCACTAAGAAAATACACAGAGAAAAGTGTTGTGCCATTAATCAAATTATAACTGAGATCAAGATTCAATCATTTGTAATTGTTAAATATTAAAAAAGAAAAAAAAAAAAGATCTACTTTAAATCTTCTGTTCATAAACTATGTAGTTTGGAACAGATGTTGTTTTGACTAAGACCAAATAAAGGAGAAGAAAAATTTTTTGTTGTTGTTGTTGTTGTCATATCGATAAATCAGAAATGCTTAATTGTACAGTGCAAGAATGGAATAAAAGTAGTGAGGAATCTATGTAGCAGTACACAGTGTTGGGGAGTAAC